GACGAAAACGCCAAGGACTTAAACTTTGGTATCGATGGAAAGGTTATTCAATCTACTTTTCAAAAATGGTTTTAGTTTTGGGATACTCACTTACATTTAAAAATAAATCCCCTACGACCGTCACTTGCCGTTAACGAACTGCCGAAATGGAACGCGCACGGAAGCGTGATTTTATGTTTGTCGGCCTGCTACACGATTGTTCAGGGGAATTAAATCATGGCGATTGATGCAACTTGTTCGGAAATTATTCATTATTCCACCATACAAATATAAGATTTGAAGTCTTTGAATTTTTTTTTCTATACCCACCAGAGTAACTGCTGGTCGTTTGGCCGGTTCCGCAAACGCATTCATACTGCCTATACAATACACTGGCCATGGTGTGACTGTATTAACCAGTGCTGCTATTGACAAGTATTGTTGATGACGGCCCCCTAGCGCGGTGCACTTTATTTATTTTGGCATGAATCTTTTTTTTTTTACAACTTACAAAGAAATTGAGAATTTCTATTAATCCTTGTTTAAAAATGTCGAATGTGATGATCATTTCTGGGTGTTCAGTGCAAAAAATTGAAAACTAAATTGAAACAAAATGATTTTGTTTCTGTCCAGCTTCCGGACAGCGCTGTAGGTTTTGGATACAAAAAATTTGGACTTCAAAATTTAAAATACAAAAATCTTTCTTAATACTTCCCACTAAACGCTTTTCCTTTGCTCTAAAAAAATTCACCCCATACTTGATGTTGAAGCGGTTGTGCCTAAGGGGTTTGAATCCATTTTAGAGTTACAACTCTCCACATCCAGGGTGCATGAGTCAGCCCAGGCTAGGAGGTGAGGTTTGTGGGGAACAATTAAGAATAGTGCAATAGAACAATTAAGAATATGTTTCTAACCCAAAGGACATTTCCAGTAATTTAGTAAATTTAAAATTATCCTTTTTTCGGTGGGTTCTAACCTGACTCTTTACCCTTTTAAACAAAAAGAAAAATAGGACCACTAATATTTCATAATGAAGACCAGTCTCTCGTCAGTACAGAGACACAAATTTTGATTGTTTTCTTGGAGCACAAAATTTGTCAAATACTATAAACCATTTCTCATTTTTGTCTCAATTGGTCATAAACTAAACGTTTTATATAAAATTTCTTTTTCATACAGACAATGCCAAAGACAAAGAAGAAGATTACGCCAGCCTCCTGATAGGCCATAAGAGGCCATCAGCACATCTTTTTCAGTTTTACCTGTGAAGGTCAAGAAGAAGTTGAATATTATAGTGAAAGTACATGTAGCTGTGTGTCTTCATCACCATTTCTTTGAATTAATTTATTTATGTGACAAGTTTTTTTTGTATAGTGCTAGCTTCTGGAGTGCTTAAATTATTTGTGTATAACAATTAAACAGACATGCAGGTGTCATAAAGGCAATAAATTTAAAGGCGTTACATACATTTTTATTAACCAGTACATGTGAAAGAGAAGTGAGGTGTTTGAAAAACAATGCTACTTTGCATGAAAAACTCACAGAACATGTCTATTTCTGTGATTCATCACCATTTATTTATATGACACGTATATTTTTGGATTTAAAAGGGGTAGCTTCTTGAGTGCTTTAGTTTTGTATTACATTTACACATGCAGGTATCACATGTCAATATATTGAAAGGGTTATTGGGATATTCGTGATGAATGTGTTGACATTTTCTTTTAAGAGCATCACCGAACAGTAGACGAGGTTTGCTAATACAGTTGCCCAAGCATGATACATGTACATAGTTAATATGTGCAACAACGTATGAGGAGTAAGTGAACATTATAATTAGAAATTGCCATTGCTATGAAACAGCCATAGGATTTATGACATTTTTAACAACTTGTTTTAATTTGTTTGTGAAATTTAATTTGAATGTGAAACAATATGTATGTGGCCTGTATGTATCTGGCCTGCTGAGGCCTGTTCCCCCTCCCCTCCCGGCCCCCAGGTTCCCCCTACTGGATGTTGGTGCACACAAAATTAAGCATATTGTGTTGTAATTACCCTGAACAAATTGAAACACTCCCCCCCCCCCCCCCCCCCACAAAAAAAGTAAAATGAAAAAAAAGGAGGAGGGAATAAACAAAAGTAAATAAATAATAATAATTAAATAAACAAATAATATTAAACTCCCCTGCAGACAATGATTCAGTTCCAATTCATCCAGCCATGCAGTAACCATGAGTAACTTCCTTAAGTGTCATAGGAATTAAAAATGATCCTGGAGAAAATATTAATTCAAATTCATGAATAGCTTGTCTGTGCTTATGTGAGAAAAAAACAACCAACTGGAGCAATTCGGTACAAGGTTTGTGTCTGGTTCTATCCAACGTCAGAGTGTGTCTAAATAAAAATAAGACAACCAAAAAGCAAAATATTAGTGATTGCAAGATGATAGACAGAATGCACAAAAAGCAAGAAAGTCATTTACATGTAATTGGATTGAAGCAAGTCAAATAATTATAACGTAAAAAAAATCCAACGAACCATAACATTTTCATGGAGTTACATTTTGTAAATTTGGACGCATTATAATGTGCAGACCTTGGCTCATGCACAGGGAAATATAATCCATATCTTTTCTTGGCTGGTTTGGGGGCAAAAACGATCTAGATTTGGCCAGTAAACAAGGAATATTTTCAGTCCAGTCTCGCAGAGGGCGCCGTTTGCGAAACCGGAAAACATTTGCGGAACCGGTCAAAGCACCGACCTCTACAAAATGTCCTGGCAAATTTCTCTTTCAAACGATCACAGAAAACTATTCATATCATGAAGTAGGTGAGTAATTTGCGCATATTTATAGATAGGTAGCTTCCTGTGAAAGCGCGTTTTTTCGCCACAAGAAGCTTCAGACGATTTGCGATTGCGGAACCGGTCAAACGACTGTAGTCATGTCTACTCCTAGAACTATGTAGGACTAAGTCATGTCTAGACCCGTGAACGTGGCGTTGTATACAACAAGCCACGTTCACGGGTCGGGGGTCAGACAAGTCGACCGTTGAGACAACTCGACTCGGGACAAGTTGACCGTTGAGACAACTCGACCATTGAGACAACTCGACCGTATGTGCGATAAATGGAAAGACAAGTCGACCGTTGAGACAAGTCGCCTCGCATGTTTGGGGCTTAGTTTCGGGGATAGTACCGGGGATTTTGACTCCCATCCCCGGTCAACGTGGCCGTACCGTGCACGGTGGCATCGTTTTTGCCGGGCCTGTGCGCCCACTTATCTCATCCCCGGTCAGTCAACGTGGCCGTACCGTGCACGGTGACATCGTTTGTGCCGGGCCTGTGCGCCCACTTGCCGCGCCGGTCGACGTGCCCGCGTGCCGGGCCCGGCCGGCAGGCGCGGTTCTAGAACCAATATTTTTGGGGGGCTAGCAGGGTGGATCCAGAATTTTTTTCAGGGAGGCGTGCTGAAATGTAGACCGGTTATTTTCTTCAGACACTTAGGCCTCCGAAATTCAATAGGGGGGGGGGGGGGGGGGGGGGGGGGCTCATGCCATATTTTCAATGGGGAGCGCCAATAAAATCCTAAAATCATTCACACTATATTAATTACAAATGCACCCTTGCCACGACTATTTCTTTAGGGGGAGACCGTTCGCATGTACATCACAATCCGTCTTTTTGCTAATGCATTTTTTTTTTACGGAATTTATTTTGGGGGGGCTAGACCAAATTTGGGGGGGGGCTAAAGCGCCCCCCCCCCCCCCCCCCCCCCTGTAGAACAGCGCCTGCGGCCCGGTCCTCGCAGGCGGGCGGGGCGCACCGGCCCGACGCGACGCCCTCTGTACATCAAGTACCATGCGTGTCTTTGATTTTCTGATCATTTTGAACACGTCCATTGTGCCAAAGTTGTGCCGTATTTTTCATCAAATTTCTTGGCAATGACAGATCCAACACTCGCGTAAATTCACAGAAAGCCTAACAAGTAAGTGATTAACCTATGGGCAAAATTATACATGGTTATATGTCGTGGATCAAAATATAAAAGACATCGAGTGTTTCAAAATTACACCAGAATGTGGCGTTTTTGTTTACAACAATAAGCCAGTTCAGTATTTTGCGCACAATGATATGGGTCACGAGTCATTTGGGATAATTGAACGCTCATCGAAGGTGCATGAACACGCACAGAGACAGGTGCACGACGCTCACGTGTTAGTTACAAGCAAAATGGGTGTCCACGTAGCATCGCGTATCATCACGTCATCGATTTTATTCTGAATGACCTTTGACATAGATTACCTCATCGAGATACCGAATTGGCTTATAAAAAGGTCTACTAGGCCTACATGTACTATCATTTTTCGGATATGCACTATGGCCTGGGATTTGAAAAGGGATTTTGATAGACGAATTACTTCTATCTTGAATTCCACTTTCTGAAACACAAATCCAACCAAAACGTTGCCCTGCCTGTTTAGTGGTTGATAATAACTCTTTAAAATTTATGAGCGATTAGACCCACTAACTGGGGTGCTACAACTCCCTTTTTTGAATTTTGGATTTTGTCTGTCATACTGGAGCCCCACCTCTTATAAAACCAAATTTTGATATTTATTCAGTTTTGCAGACCATTCACCTCAAAAGTTGCCAAAATCACGCAAAATACTTGACAAAAATACCTTTTAAAAGCACCTTCTGGCTCCTCCACATATCAAAGATGAAGTAATGGGGCGTCAATGGTACTCATTTTTTGGGTTGCAAATCCGTGAAATTCAACCAGTTTGGCACAGACATCGGAGCAGAATGTTCTCCGCGTTCAAATGCCGTTGCATCGATGGTCACACAGCACATTGTCTATAGACGTACATACGAACACGTCATCGTCGTGTCCTTAGTCTTCGCATACATGTTCGTATGTAGACAATGCGCTGCCTGACCAAGCAGCAGCGTTATTGAAAGTTTTGAACAGGGAGAACATTTTTTTAGAAAAAGTGTGTGTGTGTTATTTTTGATTACAGATTCTGTTGAGAATTTGAGATCCTTTGTGTTGATTAACAACTGATCTCGTTGAAGATGGCGGCAACTAACTATGACACGATCATCTCCTATGCTAATGCCTACGACACCATACCCATGTTTCCTGTCTTTGAGGTATCCCACTACATTCTTATGATTCTGGCAGTGAGACAGGACTTCCAAGAAGGTAACAGCAAACCCCAATCTTTTGTTCAGTGTACCTTATTCTCATAATTCCTGACTTTGGTTTTCTTCTTCATTTTGGGAATGTTGATGTTGGGCGCAATCGGTGGATGTGCGCGATTGGTCGATCATGCTGCACTATCAGTAGATCGTGCTGCTATGGGCCGATCGCACTGCCACCAGTTGAACACATTTTCTTTCTAATGCACGGCTCCAGAGGATTATTTTTAAAAAGGTAAGTAAAGTCCAAGATATCCGTCATAATCAACTGATAGCACACATCGACCGATCGCACCCAACATTGACAATACCCAAACTTTTGATTGAACTCTGACAGTGCATACAAATTAGTACACGTATGCCAATTGTGTACAATGAATGTACATGTAGGTTCTTTCTTCTTCTGTGTTTGTAGGCTCTGATTTTTTTTTTTTAATACTAAGTACCAATTTACCAACTTTTATTATTGAAATTTGTCCAAGAATAATTTCCGATGCTAAATGGCAAATCAATCTAGTCAATTTTTCAATTTCAACGTTTGGTCAACCAATTTAAGCACTAGGTCCAGAATATTCATCAATACTGATTGAATTCCTCTCAGCTGTTGCCAGATGGCAGCCTTCCGAGATCAAATTCATCTTGTATCAATCGCATTAGTCTAAGCATTTTCCTTGTGTCCTCAAGAACATTTTGGCAAATTCATTCGCATGATGTTATCAGACTAAGGTGTTTTTAATTCGGAGAACAGTTTTTTCAGAGAAAAGTACTGAGCATGAAAAACATACGGTGAGTGTTATGATGAAACAAGGATATTTCTAAAACTACGATGACCCTTAATTCCCCATACAACATTTGTGTCTGCCTAAGATTGAGTCTGATGTATTTAAGTCACTCCAAAGAAACAAACAATAGTTTTATGTATAAAAACAAAGAAAAAGAAAAAGTGGAAAATTATTTTTTTCAGTGGCCACGTAGAACACTGCCTTCTGAAGATGTGACAATGACGTATGACGAAATTGAACAAAATTATGATTAAATTGTGTAAGACAAATTTGTTTTCTGAATAACACAGTTTGGCGTAGACAAGACAAAATTGAATACTCCTTGACGAACATGTTGTACTCGTGGTTTGAATTTCCTTCAACAAAAATTGAAATTGTATGATGAGGACGAACTTAAACATTGATGAATTTGAATATTATAATCAATAAATTTCAATGATAAACACTTTAAAATAGCTGGGAAAACCTACATGTATAATAAACAAGTTCCAAATATTTTTTTCTCATTTCTTTTTTCCGTCCTGTTACTAGGCACTAAGCATCTAGCCCAGACCAACCCCCTGGTGTGCTGGTTCTGCAGCATGCTAAGCAGCTTTGCTGGAGGAATCTTGGCTAATTTCCTGCTAGGCCAGCCAATTTTAGCAGCATTCAGCAATCATATCAATATTGGAATAGCAACAATTGTCTGGTAAGGCTACACACAACTGATTCATAAACAAAAAGAGACACGGTCATTGAAAAAAATTGTTTGAACTGTTTGTTCAATATTTATTACCTCCGCCAAGGAGGTTACGTTTTCATTGGATTTGGTTAGTTTGTTGGTTGGTTTGTCTGTTAACAAGATAACTTAAAAAGTTATGGACGGATATGCTTGAAAGTATTTTTAGGGGTGGTCCTTGGTACAAGTACAAATCGATTAGATTTTGGAACTGATCCGGATCTGGGTCTGGATCCAGGATTTTTTTTAAGGATTCTTCACCATTTATGCCGGTATTTCTTTTGGGTGTACTGGCACTATGGCGGGGAATTGTTTAGCCTTGGCGGAAGTTTGCGCTCTCTGAGTGCTTTCTAGTTATCATTGAAATGGTGTCAAACTCATATACCTGTATCACAATCTTGGCGAGTAATGAAAACTAAAACCTAACTATCCGGTTCGTCATACACATGCATGCACTACTGATTACTAGCGGCCACTGGCTGAACATGCCACTTTGCACTACTTCTGGTTCCATTGGTTCAAATGATTTTCAGTGTTACTCCATGTGTAGTAGGTGTGGTTTAAGTTGAAATGACGTCACACCTATGAACCAGGTTCAGCAAATAGCATTAACAATATTAACCCTAACCTACCCAAATCCTCCAGAATCCTCTTTGTAAAATGGAGGATTTTGCAGGATTGCGGCTGTATGTACATGTATATGGCAAAAGTGTGTTGCTCATTTCGGAGGATGCACTGTATCAAGGTTTTGGGCTGGACCTTGTGTTGTTTATGCTCAGCTGTGCATAAATTTAGGCCTATACTTTACTTGCAATCCTCCGCACTGCTCCAGGATGTCACTGGCTCTGCCTCAACATATTGACAATTTTTGCTGGAGGTTTTTGCAGGATTGAGGCAATGGTCATCCCGCCAAGGTCCACATCCAATTTCAAGAAAGAACGGAGGATTTTGCAGGATTGAGGCTAGATGCAATTTTTACGTGGAGGCAGTTGGAGGATTTTTCAGGATTAAGGTTACATCCTAGCAAAAATGCCTAGGGCGGAGTTAGGGTAAATCGGTAGTTGAAGTGTAGTAGAGACTGCTGAATCCAACATTGCCCACCAGCCAGAACAGAAAAGACCTATTGTTATCTGTTAAATTCAACAGGATCCAACAAAAATTGCTACTGCTGGAATTTCTTTGGTTCAGTGAAAACATTTAATCTGGTTCACTCTCACGACTTACATTAACATTAACCCCAACTCACTGTGCTGTACAAACAGTGGTGTACAGGTACAGTATTCTGTGTACATGTACATGTGTTTGGTCAAAGAGATATATGTGTACATGTACACGCATTATTAAAAAAAAAAAGAATTTGCTGAAGAATCAGATTGTCATCAGAGTCCTTTTAAAGACAGTTTACATTTCTCACATCTGTCTCAGCTGTGTCTTCAACATACATGTACCCTCTTGTTTATAGTGCCCAGTCTTGTCAGCGTTGGTGCCTTTGCATGATTTCTGTTATGTCTGTACAACCTTACAGTTTAGTAGCTTTCTGGTGTCAGAAAAGGACTTGACTTCAACACTGTTTAGCATAGTGTGTTTGTGTTAACATTCATTATGTAGATTACTTAGAAACTGCTTAAAATGTCATCCAGCAAGTCATTTTTTTAATGTAAACTGGAAACTTGTCACAAAATCATTTTACCCAACCACAGTTAATGTCATCTTATTTTGCTCCAGGTATCTGATCTTCTACTGCCCTGGGGATGTCTTCTTCAACCTTGTATCCTCATTCCCTGCCCAGCTTCTCTTTATCCCATTCAAAGAGGTGATTAGGATGCGTAAGATTGCTGGTGGAGTGGCACAGGCAGCAGCCATCTACCCCAGTGGGTTCTTAGTTATGCTGATCATTGGTACTGTCAAAGGTAATATTAACATCATGGGTAATTGATTTCACAGTCTGGACAATAGGAGTGAGTTACAATACAGTCAGGCATGCAACTTTACCTCGGATCCGCTGATTTCCTTGTTTTTTACTTCTCATGAATGCCATTGCAAATTGAAAATCACTGTACAAAGTCATGTGTGGTTTGGAATTTCCTCCTTTTTTTCTAAATTCCCAGTTGCATGCCTGTACAGTGTGTCACCAACAAGTTACATTCGCTTGAACAAAATATTTTCCTTCCGCACAAGGGCTCAGCACTTTTTGACCTTTGTTTTGCACAAGAATAAGTTGGAAATGTTTGGTAAATAATGAAGGAGAGCTGTCTACCTGCAGGGTTATACATGCAGGATGTCAACTGTCAAGTTAAAGAGTGGCAAATATTTGATCCCTAAGATTTGGTGTTCTAATCTTATTGCGGGTCTTAATATATTATATTATTTACTGTCTTTTGTCAGTGAAACACTCACATACTATCTGTTTAATACCTTTAAGACCACAGGATGAAATACAAAACATCTTTCATAAAAATGCTTGTGAAGCTTTGCTCAATTTAATCTTTAATTCTTGACCCCTTATTATTTGAGGTCACTCTGGTTAATTAAGGATCTTCAAGCACAAAATCCTTTAAAAAAAAGCTTTTCTGTCACAAAAATGAACATTTTGTTATATATAAAGCCAAATACTTCAAGCGAACCAAACTGGTATTTTCCCTCTTCCCTTGTCATCAAGGTACTGGCAGTATGCAAATGAGGAACATTGAACGGTTGCTGCGGGGTACCAGTGGTCCCTCCTCCAATCAGCTTACAACTCCATCATTGTAAGTTGATCAGTGCATTTCCAGCTAATTTTTTTTTCAAAATCATAGCCACAACCTTGAACCCCTGTTATTTCCCATACATGTATGTACAATGATGAACTTCCCGATTCATTTTGTTTTTCCCATCAGCACAATGAAAGGCTCCATCTTGATCAGCCTATTGATTGTACTTCAGCGCTACATGATGCTCCCTGTTCCTCTCTCTCTGTTACTGCTTTGTTGCATGCTAACCATGGCAACAGTAAAGGTATTCGTGCTGTATGGCTCCAGGGATCCCTTTGAGCCACTAGAGGGCATGCTTCGACCAGTTCTCTTTGGTAAGCGACCCAAAGACACGACCGGTAGGAAAATCAAAGATACAAAAGATGGCAAGGACAAAAAGGAGTGAATCAAGTACCATATGCGGCCTGAAAAGAATGTACAATGTAGTATTCAAGAATGGATTAGAGTCTGGAATTATTGAAGACTGGCTGTGCTTGAAAAAAAAAAACAGCACAAAATATAAATCAGGAACAATTGGGCTTTATTAAATGGCTCTGCTTACTGTAACCTACGAATTTAAGCTGTGAAAGAAATTTCGGTGCTAATAGTGAGCATATTCTGCAGGGCAGCAAGAGATTGGGTTGGTATTCATGTGTACATCCCACAAATGATTTTGTGCTTAATGGGTTAGTGCAGGATGTCTATACTGGCACCGGCAGCATAGACTTGTGATCATATCTGCAGCATGTTTCAATTAGCAGAGCAATGAAATTGGTTTGTAAGATGTTAATGTCAATAAGCTTCAAGGAAGGAATCAACCTCTAGATCTGTAATTAGTACAAGAACTGACCCGTGATATATTGCACACTTGTCTTTGTGAAAGAGAGCATTGGGAGTTAGAATGTCAGGCATTTTGAACAGGTGTTTGTTGCACAAACTATACTTAAGAATGTCATTCTCATTTTCTGGTTTCTATAATGAAACGTTACTATGGAGGGAATGTAATAAGTTTGGGGAACTTCTCAGGAAGTTAACTCAACTTGTTGGTGTACCAGGTTATCAGATGTAAACTTAATTATAAAGCTTGCTATGCACAATTCTTTTAATTTTTTTTAAGTTGACCAAAGACATTGTAAGGAGAAGGATTTGAACATGCGACCTCCTGATTGCTGTTCCGGTGCTCTACCAACTGAGCTTTTCAGCCCCGACTAACCACCTCGACAAGGACATTAACAGAATGGGAAAACACCAACATGGGGTTGAATATAGCTCAGTTGGTAGAACACCAGAACGGCAATTCAGAGGTGGAAGGTTCAAACCCCGCTTTAGTAAACTTCTTTGTTAGCTTTTAAAAAGCAATATAATGCACGAGTCACCTTCCCTTTGTTTGCGATTTCACAATTATTTTAGATCACACGGGGTTTATTTAACATGAAATGATTTTATTGGTTCCAACCATGTCATATATTTAAATGCGTTACAGCGTACCTTGCTCACAGTATTAGATTATCAAATGCTACACTACACCTGCAACCTATACATCCCATAACGGGAGATTGCTTGTAGTATTGATCCAGATCCAGATGCTATAGATACAGGAGGTTGGATATAGAAGAGCACTTATAGCAGTACAGTAATGGAGTTTTGTAAGGTGAATATATATAAAGAAACAACTCGGTTCATTCACTGTAGACAAGAATTTACCAACCAGTACTAAATTGAATTGAATTTTTTTTTAATTGAAGGGTTTTTTTTATTGTTCGTACCATTCTCGCAGTCCGAAGACTGAATTGCGATGGTTTACAATTTACAATTAACATAAATCATTAAAAAAAAAAAAAAAAAAAAAAAAAAAACATTTATACATATGTTCGAGATTAAAGTATTCTAAAAAGACCATTATTTTTTTTTATGCATAATGTTAAAACATAGAAATATTCTAAAAAGACTCTTATACAAACATGTGGATTAACAAATGTTAAAATGCTACCCAGACTAGATAAAAAAAAAGAACCGTGTTTTGAACATCTACACGCCTATCAATCACATAGTGATAGAAAGAATGCATTGTGTTTTACATCCAGACATAACCATTTTATTACATTACATTAGGTGTTTATTAATGAGTCTGACTAGGTAAGGCAGATAAAATGCCAGGTTTTGGTTACAAAACAAATCAAAATTTTGGAAAATGGCATGGGTATGTAGCGTATTGAATTGAATTGAAGGTATTTTTATTGTTCGTACCATTCTCGCTGTCCGAAGACTGAATTGCGATGGTTTACAATTTACAATTAACAGAAATCATTGAAAAAAAAACACATTGATACATAATGTTCGACATTAAAGTATTCTAAAAAGACCACTATTTTTTTTTTGCATAATGTTAAAACATAGAAATATTCTGAAAAGACTCTGATACAAACATGTGGATTAAAAAATGTTAAAATGCTACCCAGACTAGATAAAAAAAAAGAACTGTGTTTTGTACATCTACACGCCTTTCAATCACATAGTGATAAGAAGAATGCATTTTGTTTTACATCCAGACATAACCATTTTATTACACTACATTAGGTGTTTATTAATGAGTCTGACTAGGTAAGGCAGGGTACTACTCCGCAGTCTCTCCGTTCTGCACTTAAAGTCTCTCAGTCGCTCACTGTGCCGAAGCTGACGCATTGAGCTCTGTGATTCGGGGAACCAATGTCTGAAATTCTTATACAAGGATTTCGCAAACTTGATACAAAGTTGTTCCCTTCGCTCACTCAAGGATATCAGGCCAGTCACCCGGAGAGCGTTATCATACGTCTCATAGTGATCGGAGAGGATAATGCGAAGAGCTCTCTTCTGGATCATCTCTACGTCGTTGCTTTGTTGTGTGGTTATTGAGGAGTGCCAGACTGGTACGCAGTACTCCAGCAAGGGACGGATGTAACACGTGTATATGGTCAATAGGTCTTCCACTGGCAAGCGGAAGCGTTTCAGTGCGCGAATTACATAAAATTTGCGTGAGGCTCTCTTGGTTATATCCTGAATATGGCTATCCCATCGGAGATCGCTCTGGATCATAACGCCAAGTAGCTTTAAACAGTTCACTTCCTCCAGGATAGTATCATTCAGCTCTAATTGGAGGGGTGGTGGAGCAACTCGTGAGAATGACACTCGTATCACTTTGCATTTAGATGCACATAGTTCCCTCACTTACCTCTATAACTTGACAACTCTATCTATAAAGAAAAGATTTCTATTTGGAGCCAGCAACTTGAGTTAAAGGGGCATTTGTTGCAATTAAGCCTCGACCCCTGTGTGCTAACTGATATAATGTTTACTTGCTTAGTTTGTTGGCTTGGATTGTAATAACATATTGAATTTATATGAAGTAGTATTGCATTTATTATAAACTACATGTTTATGAATGACTGAAATGATTGTATTCAAGGAATGTTAAAATTTAACACAAGCTAAGAGCTTTAAATAAATTCAGTTCTGTTCGGTAACCAGTTAGTAACCCCATGGTAACCCTGATGGTGTTTATTTCTTAACTTGAACGAACAAGATAAATGTCTATCGTCTTTAAGGTCCCTGTAAGTTGTATGCCACTTGCTCACCATCACATATCTGATGGCGGTGACATATATTTTGCTACCACTGATTTTTTTTTTCTTTCAAAGAACAAAATTGGTTTCAGTGTACCTCAACTTGAGGTGGAATACATGTATACTGTTGGTATTTGCCTGTCCTCCAACTATTGCAAAAGAAATGCTAGGTCCCGATTTGGATCTTTCCTTTTGGCTACCCTTAATCACTTCCAGAGTCTTTGCTTATCTTAAATGATAAGGGACTTCATCAAGATTCCTAAATTAACCTGAGAAAATTATTCGGTTAATGACAACGGCATTATTAAATCCGAAAAGCATGGGCGTCACGGCGTCACTTGCGCCCCCCCCCCCCCCCCTTAGAAAACGAGGGGGGGGGAAGAGGTGCGAAGCCATATTGCTGTTAATTTGATGGGGGGTAGGGCAAATGCTCCCCTGCTCACGCTCGAAAAAAAATGATTAATTGAGAATATAATGAAAAAAGTTGAGGAATTTTTGGGGAAAATTTGCTTTGCCCATGACGACGCCCATGCCGAAAAGTACCAGTTTGGGAACTTGCATACACTTACACATGCACATACATGTGCAAACTGCAAAGTTAGATTTTAGCAGTGCGCCCTCAATTGACATCTTTACGCCTTTCATCAGCGCATGGCATGCAGCAGACGACATCGATCGATCTCGATCGAAAGTACACACTTTCTCGATTTTTTTGTCCACGACTACGATCCATGTCCTAGGGTTTGACCTCCATACATGGTTTGTTTTATGTCTACTCTTGTGTTTATAGTGGAAAGATTCCCATATCTGGCCATCAGTTGTCACCCTGTCATGCCTGCGCCTGTGCACAAATGCTGGGACCTGGGACTGGTCTGAAAATTTTATGTGTTTTCTCATTAGTAAAACTTCAAAATTTGTCTCTGCTAATTTTGACTTTTTAGGACATATTACCACTTTTTAATGGCTGATACTAGGCCTAGGTTGTTTAACTTTAAGGGAAAAATTACTGATGGCCAGATATGGGAATCTTTCCTTTACAGTATTTGTCTTTCATTCAATTTTACAAAACACTGTCAACTGTTCCGTTCAAGTCGCAGTCTTGTACGAATACAGGTCAACTCGTACGCGAACCAACTCGTACGCGACCAACTCGTACGCGGGTCAATTCGTACGCGAACCGACTCGTACGCGGACCGACTCGTACGCGGACCGACTCGTACGCGGAGCAACTCGTACGCGGACCAACTCGTACGCGTGAGTTTAGACGATTGGTTTAGCTCACATGGACAGATGAAATTAGGTTCGGTACGGTAGGTCGGCATAATTTTACCTTTTCTGAAAGGTTGAGATTTTCAAATTAAATGTAGTTGATTTTTGAATCCGCCAGTGCTACTTACATTCGCGATTTTTTAGAGAAGAATTCTGCGTTTTTTTTTATTTTTACAAGTTCGCTTGATTGATTGGGAAGTTGTCTTCGCGATAACCAGTATGATTGGTTCCCGCCGCACCGCGCACTGTATAAAGAATGCATGATTGAATCGCTGAAACCTGTGTATGCCGCGGTACAATTGCTGGTTGGTTAGACAAGTAAAATGACAAGAAAACACCGATATTTGCGAGGTCTATTGCATAAAAAGGAGCTACTATAAAAAAAGGAATATAGCATCACGCATGCTTATACAGTTGTACGGACAGTGTCCGCCAGTTTTTTGCTTGGGTCAGATAGTTTTTTAGTCCTAATTATTATATATCCAAATAATATTTTCTAAAAAAAGAAAAAATGGGGAGTTGATTTTCATTTTTTGTTAAAATCATAATTTTATATAATTTCACCGGAAATGCGAGGTTGCCCTGAAAATATTTTTTTTTCTTGGGTCCGAAAATTAATTTTTAGCTTTGGTCCGATAATTTTTAGTCCTAATTATTATGTCTCCAAATTATATTTTGTAAAATAAAACCCTGATGTGTTATGTGTTATACCTCCATGGTTATACCAAGCATTTCAGTTGTAAATAGAAATTGCTAGGCCTACGGATGTCCCCGCGTGTCTGCTTTTTAATTGATCAATGGTTGTGAACCACAATGAAAGTTGAGTGACAGGCAGTTGACAAGTCTGATCGATCTCTTTTGATCTTCTAAACCCGCCGGTTCTTTTAGGACACCGAACCGCGAGAACAGATCCATGGTAGTCCAGAGCGTTGCAATTGGGTCAGTTTGACAATGGTGACAATTAATTGACTGACAGGTACATTGATTAAAAAAACACGAAAAATGCAACTGGTACATCGTTGCATTAATATATGGAATTAAATTTGACGTGACAAGGCTACAGGTATGCACAAAACGATACAACACTCGTCTAACTACAAAAATCAGTTACTTTATTATCATCATTCACGGGTTCACTCCCAATCACACACAACGGTCACACATTGAACTACGGACTACCCGTCACACTAATTCCCAAATTCTTCCCAACCATGCCAACCCAACTACCCCTAAAACGGCCCGCGTACGAGTTGGTTCGCGTACGAGTTGGTTCGCGTACGAGTTGGCTCGCGTACGAGTTGGCACGCGTACGAGTTGGTTCGCGTACGAGTTGTCTCGCATACGAGTTGACCAATCCGCGTACGAGTTGACTCGCGTACGAGTTGGTTCGCGTACGAGTTGACCTGTTTCCTCTTGTACCTGCTTAACTCCAGCTTCAACCTCGGGAGCCAATCATGCCAGGCATGATGGCGCTCATGATCTGGAGTTTCTCAAGCTAGTACTTGATTCGTCCGAGCATGCCGAGGGCAGATTTGCACAATAATGTGTCCGTATGTTTACATCCCAACTACTGTCAGGTCCCAACTAATGATTGCCCAATATTGAGGCAGTCCTCTCTCTATGTATTGTAACACAATTGGGTATTCCCAAATAAAATGGGACCCTAATAGTAATACATGGACGGTGATTGTGTAGTTACGGTATACGGGCTTCTTTTTAATTTAGATCAAATTAGAGTCGAGGGTGTTTTTTATCATTCAAAAATGACCTTTTCAACCTTATTGCTAAAGCAGGCTTCTGTGTAGCTTGAGTAACTCCAGCTCCAATGCTTATCTCAACTCAATGACACCTTTTTGTAAATTTTAACATTTCTTGGTGTACAAATTACAATTTTCGTATACGGTTTACGCAATTCAACGCGCCTTGCATGTGCACGGTACATGTACATCCCGGTGATCGCCATCTTTTTTGTGTGTTTCATTTTGTCATCATCGTCATTTTACCCCAAAATTTCCCTCACAAATTCTATATCCTGCTCTCTATCTATGACGTATGTTGTGCCCATTCTTGAAAATCACGCATTCTCGAGAATGGGTATGCACATTCTTGAGAATGTGCAACTGGATCCTTGCTCAATCTTGGCAAAAAATAACTCTTCCAGATTGAGCGCACATTCTTGAGAATGCGCGACAAGATAACGGTCTTGTCGATGCCGAGCACCGGCTGAGCTTGGCAAGTCTAGCTGAATCCTCGTTCACTGATTCTTAATAATTATACTGTTGCAACGCAAGGCGCTGAAAAGTAGAGTGGATATGAAAAGTATACGCGTATTGGGGGAGGGGACCGGGGGGAAAAATAAGAATAAATAAGAAAGAATTCAGATTTTTGGGATAATAAAAGAGGGGGGGGGGGGAACGTAAGAATGAAGAATGTGAAGAATGAGAATGAATACTGCGACATCCCATAGTGCTAATGCTATTTCCCATTTAAATTGCCACCAATTTATTGTTCACACCCCACCATAACGTCGCAGAGCTGGATTCTATCTAGTCAAAAGAGCAATTTTGGCAGCTTCTGGACATCGTTTTTTTTTCGTGGCACGCATATGATACATACAGGGACTTGTACTTGTCTAGCCTAAACAAAGCACTTCCCAGACTAGTTCCCAGTCCTCCGTTATTACAAAACTTCCCATAAGTAGGCAGGAAAAAGCAATAATAACAGGTTTAATATGATTCAAATTATCGTAGTTATACGAGTACAGAAGCATAGAACATTTTCTTTCCTCTTTATATGAATTGTTTCCCTTTTAACCGCTATACAATTCATTTAACATAATTATGTCGTGCAATGTTTGTTAAGATTGGGCAAAATTCATAAATTGTGCACGTGATATTCCCACCCAATCTTAAGAATGAGCGCTCATTCTTAAGAACGCGTGCTCGTTCTTAAGAATGGGCGCTCATTCTTAAGAATGCGCGCCCATTCTCGAGAATGCGTGATTTTCAAGAATGGGCACAACATATCTAAGGTGCATGTTCTTAATGTCGCCAACTACTATGGTACGTCAAATAAATTAAAAGTTGATTTTGTCCTTTTGTACAATAAACTGGGCCAGTAACTACACGATCGCCATACTATCTCCGTATACATGGCCCCACTGTCATCATACAGTACTTCATAACTAGTGACGAGTAGGATTTGTTTTTGGGTTTTTTTTTTTTTCACATAATAAGTATGCAGACTTTGCTGCAAGTTTATTCATGCTTTGGAAGCACACTGACCTTCTTACTAGCAAGGAAAACAAATTGCTCCTTTCTCAGGTGTCTACTTTTGATGTAATTTCCAGAGGAAATTTTGAGGTTCGTTTGTACACGTTTGAGTGTAATGGTTTTCCTGCAGAAAAAAAATCACGCTAGCAGCAATGCATGCTGGTAGCTTGACCTGCAGGCCAACATGTTTGCTGTCAGTCACGCGGTGCCCAGCGCGCGCCAGCTCAGCAGCTGTTGCTTGACTTTTCGTACTTCTCGGTGTATAGTAGCATGAGGGCGCTATGAATCGGTCTAATGCCCATTGTGCAGACTATCCATCGATTGCACCCAATAATATTCATGACACTTTATTCCCTCCACTTCTTTGAAAACTCCTTTTCCCACCACTGTGCAGCTTTCCAGATCAATCTCATTGTAAGTGGATTTCTGCAATCTGATTTGACCCTGATTATATCGCATAATTTGTGTCTAGTTTTATGGAATGCTGATATTTATTAACCCTCCTGCTATTGAAGCAGTCACAGACAGTCAAAATTCACTTCCACTTCCCCTGCTATACTTTTAACAAAGGCTAGTCACCAGCAGTCAGATCACATGTCAAGCAAGCACTGTGAGTAGTCAAACTGGGTTAGCAGACAGAGCAGGCAAGTTGTGGTCACAGCTGTTTTATCACTCACCCAGATTCAAAGCATAGCTGTATCACATGTCAAGCAAGCGCTGTGAGTAGTCAAACTGGGTCAGCAGACAGAGCAGGCAAGTTGTGGTCGCAGCTGTTTTATCACTCACCCAGATTCAAAGCATAGCTGTATCAAGTTACTTAAGCAGTCCAAGGCAGTCAATCTTGCTTTGGGCTGTAAACAGTAGCTTGATTGATTTTGGCTGCAAGGACAACTTGGCACAGAATTTATGTTTGCAGGAGGGTTAACGTTACTCATATTCCTAACTTTTTAAATGATTTACATTTTTTATGTTAAAGAAGTTTTTAAAATGCCTTGTTTTTTATAAAGTGCTTTTTTTAATTAGTGGTATGGCAGGGGTAGAGACAACAAATTAGTGTCTCCCATTTACTTTAATTCCTTATTTAAAAAGGAAAAAATGATGTTTTTTTAATATATTTTTTTCATTAAAGTTAATTCCGTGATGCTTGTTTCATCATGGCCACATCTGTCAGTGAAGAAGATGAGAGATATTGCGACAGGAGACATGCCCAGAATCTTCTGGATGGCTTGGCCTGCTTACGGGCTGACAGTCAATTCTGTGACATAGAGCTATGTGTTGGGAAGTCCAAGTACCAGGCCCATCGTGCCGTCTTGTCTGCTTGTAGTCCATACTTTCAAGGCATGTTTGCTAGTGGGATGAGAGAGGCACACCAAGACTCTGTCGACATCCTTGGAATTGATCCGCATGTATTGCAACTCCTTTTAGACTTCATGTATACAGGTTAGAGAAATTCTGAACATTTCTTTTACATAGCACTTTCCAAATTCTTGTTGTTAGTAGACATGATCTTTTATCTTCAAGCAAACTGGATCCTGATTGGTCGATCCATGTTAACATTGTGATATTTGCACGGCCGATATCATGCTCTGCGCAAAAAGCTATTCCATGATGCGCGTGCTGTTCCTTCTGCACGCATGTGTGTAATAGGATAACCGCTGAAAATTTCGTGTACCGCGTGCGTGTTCCATCTGTACTGTGCGTCAAGTTTGCTTGAAGATAAATTTGTTATCCCACTCGTGCTCATGGAACACAAAAAAATGTAGTGCGTCTATACTGTGAGGCTGAATAGACGCACTACATTATTCAATTGTCACCTTCTGTGACAGGGTCCATGGTATTTTGCAGAGGGTGCCATTTCCCCCAAAGGGTGTACAAAACCCATGGACCCCGTCACAGCAGGCAACAATTGTTGCCTGCTGTGGCAGGGTCCATGGTGTTTGTACACCAGAGTGGGAAATGGCATCCGAGGCGAAGCCGAGGGTGCAATTTGCCCCCGAGGGTGTATAAAACCTATGGACCCCATCACAGCAAGCAACAATTGTTTTGTTATATTAAGGTAATAGATTACAGCTGTCCAATTCTGCCACCGGTAACGTCTGAAACTGTGGGTCTCTTCCTTTTGCGGTGCAGAATTGGCGAACTGTTTGCACAGAATTTTCCGTAGTTTTCTTCGTGCTGATGCTGTCCTGTTCAAAAATCAAATTTCTTAAAAGAGAAACCTCTTTTTTGGAGTTGACCTGTTGTCATATGCCGACATTATTACGGTGAAATTACTGCGAAATTGGCACAGTTAAATGTAGCAGACAAAGAGTGACGAACGATGTAAACAACAATGGCGGTCATAGCAGAAATAGTACTTCACTGTCCCCCATGGCGCATCTCACAGAAACATACATCAATTCACGTAGTACCAGCGTAGCTACAACCTTGTACCCGAGGTCACACTAATAATAATACAATGCGGTGGAAACGACACTTTCAACAGCAGCAAGATCAAGGTAATGTACCCCATGGGGTACATCACTCATGTACCATGGCGTACAACGCTCATGCATTTTTGTGGCATGTCACATGATCTACTCTCAACCAATAAATATTCACAATCTATTACAGTGGTATAAGAATTACATTTGTAATGTGGCCAAAAAAGAAAATTGGTCAGCTCTTAGGTAGACATTATTTGTATACACAGGTTAACAATTATTTGCCAATTCTGCACCGCAACAGGAAGACACCCACAGTTTCAGACATTACTAGTGACAGAATTGGACAACTGTAATCTATTACCGTGATATAACAAAACAATTGTTGCCTGCTGTGACGGGGTCCATTGGTACACCCTTGGGGGAAAATAGGCACCCTCGGCTTCGCCTCGGATGCCATTTGCCCCCTCGGGTGTACAAAACACCATAGACCCTGTCACAGCAGGCAACAATTGTATATTGTTGACTGCTGTGTTGTGAAATAACTTTTTTAACACCCGAGGTGTGCATAGCCGAGGGTGCTATATGCGCCCGGAGGGGATTAAAAATGGCATATCCCACATCGCAGCAGTCAACAATTGGTTTGTTATATCATGCCAATAACTCAAAAAGATAAATGGTTGTAACTTACTGTGTGAGAAATAAATTGAAGTATTGCGATGTAACCTTTTGTAACTAAAGGTTCTGAACGTTTGATGTTGCAGTTCTCATTGCGCTTAGCTAGCGTGCCGGCAGGCTCCACACGCACGTGCAACGTGCGCAATGAACTCAATGCGATGTCACCCTCAGTGTGTGACATGCATTTTTATTGTCCAGACGCGTGGCCATCGTAGACCAATGAAATTACAGTATCCAAGCACATGATATAACAATGCTAATTTCATTGCCACAAAGCCACATTGTGGTGAACCATGTCATCAGACAGAGAATACTCTAGCATCATAGTGAGAGAAGATTGAATCATCCAAAATGGTTGTGTGTTTTTTGCTTTTTTTCAAGGATATGTGCAAGTTGAGGCAGATACTGTGCAGGACTTATTGTCAGCTGCTGATATGCTACAATTGCAAGGTGTTGTCACCATCTGCTGCTCATTCTTAAAAACCCAGCTTCACCCATCTAACTGTCTTGGTATCCTACGCTTTGCCCGGTCCCATGCCTGTGATGATCTGGCAGCAACCTGTTTAGCCTATGCCTGTGCTTACTTTGCTCAGGTGTCCAAGATGGAAGAGTTTCTAGATGTGGATGTTGATGACATTATGTCACTCCTTAAAAGTGAGGAGCTTCGAGTTGACAACGAGTTTGAAGTATTCCAAGCAGCCATGAGTTGGATTCTCCATTCCCCAAGTGATCGACGCAAGACTCTTGTACGGGTTCTAGAACCGGTACGATTCCCCATCATTTCCCAGCACCAACTTTTTGAATACATCAGAGAGTGTCCAGACTTGAGTTTACGGGTTGCTATGGGAAAGTTGTTGGAACGATTCAACCCTGACAAAACTCAGTCTTCATCAGTCAGACCTGCAGCAGCATTCTCCAACCCCAGCTTGAGCAGGCCACGACAAAATGCAAGGAAACACCTGGTGTTGATCGGTGGTTATAGGAGGAACCCTGGGGAGCGCTTTGATGACATGGAGACGCTGGACTCCGTGGTGCAGCTAGACACCTTCACACAGAGATGGGCAACGATGCCAAGCCTACAGCAGCCAAGGCATGGTCATGATGCAGCCTTCCTCAACGGCTCACTGTATGCCATGGGTGGGGAGTGTGATGCTCTTATCAATAATAACGTGGAGACGTTGGACCCTGTTTCTAAACAATGGAGTGACATGCCGTCTTTACTCAGTCCACGCTGTGGTCATGGTGTGTGTACAGTTAATGGTGTCATGTACGTGCTAGGAGGAATTGAAGGAAGTGACGTCTTGAAAAGCATAGAAAAGTTTGATGAAGAGAGGGGTGCATGGTGTCTGGCAGGAAATATGACAGAGGGACGAAGTTATTTTGCTACTGCCGAAGTTGATGGTAAGTTTTAGAGTGGTTGAGCTGATGTAACGAGACAAGGCAAGCCTAGTGAATCTGGTGACAGAGCACACATAATCTGATGTAATTGATTCAGCATGGCTATGTCATGCATCTGGTTCATACATGTACATTGTACAATGGGTTGGATTAACATGTAGCCCATTTATTGGTGTTAATGGGTAATCATATGCGATAGCACTGCCAAGCTCACAAGTGACAATCAGTGAGTCAGTCAGCCAGTGAGTCCGTCAGTTTGATGGGTACAAAGGAGACACTAGGATAGTCCTAGGACCAGCAAACACATAAATAGAACTTCCCTCTTGAATGAGCATAATCAGAATCTGCAGCACAATCGGTCTTTTTCAATCACCACCTTTAAGTTTTACACATCTTGCCCTTTCAAAATATGTCAGTAACAGCAAAAGTACATGTCTATACATTTGCATCAAGGTTTAAAGTACTTGGAGCAAAATAGCAACATGGAAAAAAGGTGCTTTGGCGCTTTGGACCAGTCGGTCGGGATTCCACCTTACAACCACCATGAATGTTTCCATAGTTCTGAGCACCCTTTGTGTTTGCCATTCTTTGTTTTATGTGTTACATTATCATCTCTTGAACGCAGGATTGATTTATGTAGCCGGGGGATGTAACGATCCCACCAGTGGGGAACTCAAGTCATTGGAGAGCTACAACCCCATTACCAATGAATGGAACAGTCTTGCCAGTATGAAACACAAGAGAGCCCACTTCAAAATGGGGGTGTTAGGAGACCATCTTTATGTTGTCGGAGGAGCCAACAAAGAGAGGAATGTGCTGAGCTCTGTTGAAAGATACTCTGTTATAGAGGTAGGTGCTTGGAGTTAGGCAAACATTGAATATGGACTTATACTTGGTCTATAATTCTATCCTTTTTAAAGATATAGTCCATCATTTGTAATTTGTGCATTTTGTTCGTTTGAAGCAAAAAAGTGTTCAGAATCTAATGAAGGATACAGCTATACGCAATGTCGCGCACTGGTCCGACGAATTATAGCAACCGCGTACGCTTGTGTGTCGTGCCAATGCTTGCGCGCGCTTCGCCGAATAACAAAACTAACTACTAATTTAAATTTCCTACGGTGTGTCTTAAGACGCACCATTGAAAACGACCTTCTTTCGTTGATTACTTCAAAATGACAGCTTGCCAGAAAGAATAATTTCACAGGGAGTTTTGTCCACTTACTATCTTTCAACCAAGTATGTTTTTCAACAATAATTACGCCAGTTACTTTTCGGATGGCTGCAAATGATGGACTATAGCTTTACCAATATTTGTGTGTTTAATCATTCACATTTGGATGGTGTGCAGTAATTTGTACAACTTCTTTTTTAAATAGAAGTATGATGTTTTAGAAGAAAATTGAAATAAGCCATAAAATTTCAAATTGATGCACCTTTTGTAATATATGTTTCCTTTTTTTCAAAGAGCAGCAAGACCAGTCCATGGCCTTTGGGGTTTTTGAGGAAAAGGATTTATGAAAACCTTATATTCAGAAACAAAAGAAACTGAAATCTCTGTAAAGGATAACTCCTTGTTGGACATACCATGTATCAAACTTTGATCATCAGCATGCCTTGATGAACAAAATTCTTTTGGGTTTTTTTTTAACCAGGAGAAATGGACGAGTTTGAAACACATGTCAACAGCCCGTGCCGACATGTCTGTGGCTACTGTGAATGGACTTATATATGTCATGGGAGGGCGCTCTTCAGGCAAGAGCACCCGTGCTCCTAAGACATTGGACTTGGTGGAGTGTTATGATCCACGCAGCAACTCTTGGATTACTATGGGTAAGATGCCAACAAGCAGATGTGAGGCTGCTGTAACTGTTATATGACCTAGTCATTAAAGGGTTATTATGGCCGGAAACCCCCTGATTTAAAGGAAACTAACCTTATGTCATACAGATACTGTTCCCGAGAAAAGACAAAAATAAACCACCTGGTTGTTTACATCGGACGTGGTGAACATTTTGTGGCATATGCATACATGTATGTATTATTTTCAAGCCATGGCTATTCAATGTGCTGTACACATTGAATGTGTGTCTCACATAATACACACAGCACTATTGCGCAAATGTTGTTTCTTACACATCTGCAGAATGCGAACCCCTGTGCAGCAGGATTCACAATTACATGTATTACTCATAGCTCAATTTGTTTTAGTCAAAATTTTGACCCCCAAAATTTGTTCTTGCATGCTTCTCGCAAGAATAACAAAAACTCCCAGTTTTTAAAGGATGGTTGTGTGGACGTTTGTATCCTACTTTTATATTCTCTTTCCAATTACAATGTAATATCGTTTCATTTCAACGCGTTTTGTAGCCCAATTGGGCGCATTCCAGGCCTTAATGAGGAAATAAATGTGTGCTTGGGAGATTTTAAACACTCTGTTTAAGACCGGTTGGAGTCTTGATGCTGATTATTACCCAAGCCAAAGGCAAGGATAATTATCAACATGCAGACTCCAACCGGTCTTAAACATAGTGCTCAATACCGACCTAGCACATATTTATTCCCATTCATAAATACCTTTATGGTAAAAAAATCAAAACTTTTCGGTCCAAAAGTCAAAACAAGTCACAAATTAAACATTTATTACAATTTTGTTCAACAATTTCACTTCATATTTTTTTAGAAACACCCCTCCAGCTATAAACTGGAGTGTCCAGCTCGCGAGTAAGACGTAAACAACTTCTTTCATGGAGATTGGCGTGCGCGTTGCACGTACTGCGCTAGTGGCGCAGAATGCAGCTGTGGCAGTAATTGTGAATTTTGGACTATGAAATACTGACTTACTGGCAGTACTGCGCATGCCTATGTGAGGATTGTGAACGTTTAACTAATAAAATGGTCTTAAGGCACTGGATTTCATAAGGAGTCCAAATTTCATAAGACAGTGTAAAAGTGTTTAAGACCAGCCAGCCGGTCTTTATGTCTGTTTAAGACCGGCCATGTGACGGGCTCTAGACCAATAAGAATGGGTAAACTGTCATAGGTATTTATGAATGTCCCTTTAAGGTCTGTGAAATGTGTGCTTTTAACCAGTTACAGAATGGTGTAAACATCATTAGGTAACTTGTTTTTCCACTACAAATTCAGATATGGATGGAGGAATTATTTCTCTTCTTTTTCAGTACTGTCATCATCAAAGATCTTTATGATTATTTATTTTTACAATTCAGTGTTTCTGCTAGGCTAAGTGTACATTTTGTTCATTTGCAATATCAGAATGTTTTCCAAGTGCATAGCGCATAGTCAATATATGACTATCATTATATTGTAAAAAAAATTATATCAAGAGCAAAAATCTATTATTAAAAATATGTACATGTATAAATAAAAAAAATGAACGAGATCGAACGAGACTTACTTGCAACTTTGATGTTTGTTGTTGTATTTGTTTGCTGGGGGGGGGGGTGTCGCATCAAATGGGGCAAATCTACAAACTGTGGAAATCATTGCACCCTCAGCTCTAAAGGCCATAAGTTGTTAAAAAAAAAAATTGAAAAGTATCTTGCTAAATTATAGATTTCCTCAGAACATGGATGTAGGATTTTTGAAAGGGGGACTTCGGTGTTGTAGTCAAGGACATATTTTAAAAACCAAGAGGGGGACAAGTAGCAAGGCATGTACTATCTGGCTTTCAATTTCGTATAGCAAATCTTGGCTTCCTGTCCGTCTTCTGCCTCGGGCGCCAGCTTTGTCATGATAGATCCCTAACTGGGAATCATCGGCTCAGTACAAGCTGCACTTTCAGCTACTGTTTGTCAAATTCTAAAAAATATGATGCAAGAAGATTTAGTGTATGTTATGTTGTTCCAAGCATTAAAGGTTCTTAAATATTCTGCAGCCAGAGACGAAGCCGAAATGGATACAAAGCCAAGGTTTTGAAACATCTCCCCCCCCCCCCCAAAAAAAAGAGTGCATTTTTAACCATAATTGGACTTGGGGGACTATCAGCACGTGGGATCGGGATACGATTCAACCCCTGCCCTCAGCTCCCTTTCTCCGGCTGGATCCTCTTATGCTCTTATCTTTTGACAGCGTAACCTGCACGCGATAGCCCCACCATCGGCGATTGTGCAGTAGCTTACAGATGCCGATTATCATTGCGAACAATTTACGAACGTGTCACACTTGTCCTTTACAACAAATCAAAGAATATTCTTTTGTGCCTCCGTCAGTGCTGAAGTCGATTGGTTGGAGTTGAAGACTGCCGAAAAATACCTTTTCCAGCCTAGAATCTTTCACAGACAACGGTATAGACGGTGCTTTGCTACATCGGCTGACAGCAATCGCCCAATCATTGGCTTTGGACAATGGGTGGCGATCCTAGGGGAGGGGAACATCGACGGCGCCTCACATCTTATTATTATATTGGCCTCCACTTGACAATTCAATACTGTGTGAATCAGTTTGAAGTCATGAAACTTGGCGACGATGTTATATGATGAATGACAACTTGATATGGGGTTTCTTCGATAATTCGTTAATTAGCCTAGTTGTCAACCAAACCATCAAAAAGAGGCACAAATCGTCACAGCTAATTTTAAATAATTTCCGTTCTAAAGGTTCTAAATATTCAGGAATAGTCCCCCATTTCACCCAATTAATTTCTGTTTAGGCCTATGTTAAAATTTCAAACTTAGTGATATATCAAAACGAAGAGCGATTATGCGCTTCCTACTGCGTGGGAAAAACTACACAGTGTAAAGTTGTCCCGAAGACTGATGACCATTTCTGTGGCTGTACTTGACCGGTTTCGATCAAATTTGGGTCAAAGTGTGGGGTATTCCAGGGCTCGAAATCGGACAAACAGTTTGGTGTTTTACGCTACCGCCTGTAAATTGACACTTGTGTGCTATCAACATACAAATTTTACAAAATTTGGTCAGAATGTGTGCACGAAAATGCATGGAAGTGAAATCAGAGAAATGTGTACGGCGAGTTGATTCCACCTCTAGCACTTTTAGGGTTTAATAGAAAGAACTTGCGCTGTATTCGGAACCAAGGAGTGTTCCTAAGTATTGTCTATTGCAAAATTTGAAACTATGGGCTTTCCCAAAGTACAACACATGACCTATTTGTACTGTTCTAGTCTACAGTTCTTGTTCTAGTCTTCAGGTCAAGTTGAATGTCTTAGTGATTATCCAATTAAACAAAAACACAGAAGCTGTGTGAAAATGGCAAGTCCCAAAATATTCGATCATAGTTTACAGGTTGGGGCAGCAGCATGAGCCCTTCAGATCCGTCGTGCACCACACACTACAGGGTGAGTCAAAAAAGCGAAACCCAAATGTCGGGACTATTGTTTTAGTGAAGTTCTGCATGTAGCACTTTCAAAATATAGGATATAGGATATGAAAGCCCAATCCATAAGCTTTTTTTAGTATAAAACTCATTCAAATTAACTATGTACTTTTCATGTTACGGAATTTTAAACACAACCACCGTCTGTCCACGGATCAAAAGAAGGTAAGTGTTCTTTCAGCAAAACGAAATCAAATCACAAAGATGTGTGTGAATTGTGCTCGTTTTGCTGAAGGAACGCATACCTTTTTTTGTGATCCGTGGACAGAACTTTAAAAGGTCGGTTGTGTTAAAAATTCTGTAACTTAAAATGTACATCAGTGATCTGAATGATTCTTGTACTAATAGAAAGCTTATGAATTGGGCTTTCATATCTTGTATTTTGAATGTGTTACATGCAAACCTCTAATTCACTAAAACAATGGTCCCGACATTTGGGTTTCGCTTTTTTTACTCACCCAGTACACCATCCTTCTCCAGCCTGCCCCCGCCTAGCGCCTCCCCACCACCAAACCACGTCTTCTTGCTATTTGGAAAACCCGTTTGACAATGACAAATTTGCCCTATGCAGATTGTTTTTAGAAGTGTTCTTCAATAATTTGCCGTATAGTACAGAAAAGGGAATTCAATATAGCACCGACTTAAACTTGACAGGTGCAATTTCGTCCGGATACGTGTACCTCGAAATAAATTCGTGCGATAACTTCACGGAAATTGTACGTTCTCAAGGTTTAGTTGTGTGAATAGTATTACTTTACTTGTTAACGATCCTTCCATCAATAAGCAAGACGTTATTGGGCGTATTCCGGTCCAAAGTTCCTTTTAAAGGACTTGATACCAGCAAAATTCCCAGTTGATTAAGGAACAGATCTATGATTTAATCATATATGATTAAATATAAATCGCCAAAGAGTTCTGACTCCTTGGGCCCTAGTATACTAGGGCCCAAGGAGTCAGAACTCTTGGGTTCTGACTCCTTGGGCCCTAGTTGCTTTCCAGTGCGGCGACCATCCTTTTACTTTTGAAGTCTTGGAGTTCGAACTCCTTGGGTCCTAGCTCTATGATTTAATTGACATATTGTATTTAGGTTGCTCTAGAAAATGCGGGGAAAAAGTGAGTTTGAATACTAACTGTTTGCTCCAATAATTGTTACCCAGCCAAGACAGCGACACGATTGCTAGATGTATTGATTTAGAAGACGTACCTGACGTGGGATGGGCGTCTTAAGGTTTTTGAACAGACGAGAGAAGGAATTCATAGTGACAGTGTGAGTACGACATGACTTGACATGAACGCTTTGAAAGTATGTTTCCGTGTTTTCCCCATTTTCGTTTACTTCAAAGGATGAATAGTGATTGTAATGTAATCGTTCGATTTTTTACTTTGCAACACAGCCGACAAAACATCAGAAACCTCTTTGACACACGACACTTCTGTTCCGACTTTTCCGTATCCTTATTGGCCACACAGCAAGGTTTGTTTTTTATATTTCTCGCATCGAGATATTTAGCAGATAGAGTAAAGACGGAGCAAAAGCGAAGGCTACATGTGAGATTTCAAACCATCATCCATGATATCACTTCAAGATCATATCATAAAGGTTATAACGTAGTGTCCCTGTATATAAAGAAAGATATTTCGCTTCGTATCTTTATAATCTTTGGCTTGCGGGCGGATGGTAATTATGTCCTTGTCTCAAGCTTCGTAGTGTCGGATGACCCGACAGGAGACTACCTAACCGGTGATTTTTTCCAATTTCCCGCGGATTAGAGGAGGATCTTCACCTAAACCCGCAGCTAACATTGCGGTAACGGGATCTCTTACGTATAAATAAGGTTTCCGATTCATTTGACTTCAGGCCCTGGCCACTTGTTCAGTTCTTCCTATAGGTGTAGCTTGCATCGGTCAGAAACCCCTATCTCCCCCGCATAGTCCCATCAACTTCTGACATCCTGTACCAGAGCGTGCGTGGGATCAGGGCGGGGACCAGACAAGTCGTACACCTAATTACAATTCAAGCGTACAATTGAAAGTGATAATGAGCAGGGGCGGATCTAGCTTTCACGAAACGAATGGAGCTGGAGATTGGGGGGGGGGGTGATATCTGAGTGAAGGCGTACCCCATTATAGGGGGTCCGGAGTAATGTCCCCTCCCCCCCCCCCCCCCCCCCCCATTCTAAGGCAATTTGAGAAAAAAATTAGAAACTCTTGAGTCAAATCCTATGATTGTTGGCCAATTTTACCAGTATAAGATTTTCAATGGCTGAACGGGGGGGGGGGGGGTGCAACCCCCACCACCCCAGATCCGCTACTGTTGATGATGTAAGTGTGAGGAGCCGAACAACTGTGCAGGATTGGTACGAAGCCCCTAAAGGACATTCGAAAAATAGTTCACACAGGAACAAAATTTCACGTCATTATTTCGTGCGCTCAAAATCATTTCGTGAGCTCCAAACCACTTCTTGCGCCCTAAACCATCGTCAGCTCATGATCATTTCTTGTGCTCGAAAGACACTTCCTTTTCTGATTTTTTTTTGGGGGGGGGGAACCTGGGGGGGGAAGCACTGGGAATGTGTGCCCCCCCCCCCCCCCCCCCCCGGATACGCCATGGTTAAGCAGCACATGGAAGGAGCGTCGCATTAAAGTAAGAGTGTAATGAGCAGGGACAGGGACGGGTAGTACAAAAAAGAGTGAAATAAATGACAGGATATGAACTAGCCTATAAAAATAAATAGCAGTAAAATAAGGGAAAACAGTTTCTCCTGGTGATTTCGCTGAAACAAGTGACGTGGCTCTCGAAGCCACTGCAGGACATGAAGGACCTTTTCCATTAATCATCGCCACAGATGCTAATTTGAACTTGTATATACACACACATTAATGGTTTCTCGTATACAAGGCAAGGAAGATTCCCAAGTCTATCTGTTTGAGTAGCTTCTTGGAGCAATTTCAGCACTCACTAACGTCACCAAGCCCATAAACCGGGATTATACGGGGGCTGTCTTCCTGAAAGAGGATGTTAATGGAGGTTGCCCATGGCATGGCGGGATTTTTCGCAGCAAGTTATAGGATACCTTATGTATCGCGACCATGGTAGAGATCAGTGCTTAACGGTTCAGCTTGGATATGCATTGTCGTTGCTGAATTGATTGAACAAAACTTAGGAACATATAGAGTAGAAACATTAACAAGCTTTTGCTGTGTTACTTTGCAGGGTGCTATTATTTTTGCCCCAACCCTTGTATAGAAAAGCGGCGGAGATATTGTTTAGAAAGAAATTTTAAACATACAAAGGGTTATTTTTAGCGTTACACATAATATGTAATTCCGAACTTCAAACAAATAGAAGCCCAAACTGAGAGCTGGAAGTATACCAAATTATTCGATTTGCAAAACGGTGAAAACAATCATCGCCTGCGACCGACGTTAGCCTGACGTTAAGGAGCTCCTGGCAGCCGACACATGGCTTGCAGATAGTCAGTCGGCATTTCTTGGTCAAAATTAAATCAATGGCCACGCGAGAATGGCAGTATCAAGTAACGACAATATGAAACCACCAACTTTCATTATTTTGGTTATGGAGAAAATTATTCAACACAAAATTAAACTGTCAAAATCAAAAACTGCCTGCAGAGTTTTCAAAATGACACGATTGAAAAAAAAAATACTATTAAAAATGTGCTTTTCCTCAGTTTGTTGTAACTATAATAACCAACGAAATAGAGTTGGGCTTCATATGAAAACAAATGTCGAACGGACGGCATGATTCTGTTTATTCTGTTTATGTGGGGTTTTTAAATCTGTCTTTATATAGCTGGTCATCATGACGTAATTATTTTTGAAAAAATACTCGTGCGACAATCGCTGACGATATGTACCAATATACTTAACGATAGAGCAAAGTATACGATTTCACTCAGCATGCATGGAACTTAGAGGTACTCCTATAAGGGCTGTTAGTGACTTGTTTGTGACGACATGATGACGATGATAGCATCAGTTGTTTTGGTAACTTCCGACGTTGGGCATAGGTAGAATATAAACCTCCACGATGTGTTTCAAAGCTAGAAGTCACGCTTTTCTCTCGATGTTCTCATCAGAATTTCCACTTATCATCTCCTGTACCAATTTTATTAGAGATAATAATTGCAATCGGCCGGGCGTTGAAGTACATGTAATTGCTTCTGATATCGTGTTCCATAGTTTGTGAATAATGGAACTCACAGAAGTGGACATGGATGGTATTGACTGTAAATTTAACAATATCTTGAATCTCACCGTGCCGTCTGATGCGGAAGAGTACGTAGTCGCTATCACTGAACAGCTAGGTATCATCGTGGGGATGGTAGCGGTGCTAGCCTTCGGGTTACCCGGTAACTTGGCTTTCCTCTTCGTAGTCTACAAGCTGCCGCACATGAGGACAATTACCAATTTCTTCCTGGCCAATTTAGCAGTTGCTGATATCCTATTCTTGGTAGTGACAGTCTTCATGTATGTCATCTACCTTGGGGCTAGCCCTGTCCGCAGTGATTACAATGTGGCCAGTCTCTTCAGCTGTGTAGGAGTGTTTCTTGTTCCTCACATCACCTATTTCACCTCTATCTGCTGTGTGACTGTGGTCTCATTGGAGAGATTTTATGCCATTTGTAAGCCTATCCAACACCGGGCAATGAACACGAAAACCCGGGCAAAACGACTGATGCTGGCGTCATGGGTGGTACCGGTGGTCCTAACGGCTATAGCTATGCCCAAGTACGGCCAACTGGACTTGTACTGTATCATCTGGCCGGATGGGGAGAAGTACCAAAATTTACCGCAGATATTGGGGTTCTGCCGGCCGGTGGTGCCCTGGTGGTTGTTGGTTGGCGAGTTCACCACTGTGTCTCCGTTTCTTATTGCTCTCCCCTGTAACATCTTCATGTACATCCGTATCGTGAAGTCGCTGAGTTCCCGATCAGTCTTCAAGACAGAAGGTCAGCAGCGCCTCCCACCGCAGGCTGTCCAAGTACGCAACCAAGTGGCTAAGATGCTCATCATTAACGGCATAGTCTTCTTTCTGTGTCAAGCCACCAACCAGTTTGTCACAGTGGCCTATATGTTGTCGTTCGTCACTGGTGTCCCCATCAATGACATTTTCGAACGCTTGGCCACTGTCCTCGATATCGGTCGCATTGCTGTCTTCGTCAACTCTGCCGTCAACCCACTGATTTACAACGCATCAAGCCCGCACTACCGCACCGCTTTCAAGCAAGCATTCGGTTGCTCATCCAAGAAATCCAAGATGGCCACGGCCACACCTGCAATTATTAAATCCGAAGAAGCTGCTCATGATGGTAACGAGCTCACTCCTTCCAATTCATCGCCAAGACTTCATGACGATTATCCACTGACATTAGTCCAACAGACTGCGGATGAACACCGCGCAGCAACAACCGAAGACGACATCAATCTGGTTTCTCGTGAGAATGACGTAAATACTGGCGTTGATAACGAAGGCTTCCATGCATCTCCTATCGAGAATGCGGTGGAAGCCAGCCTCAGCCCACCAAGTGATGATTCAGACAATTTGGATGAACAGGAAAAGCCAGATGCATTCAATATTCGGCGGAATTTAGAAAGCATTGTGGAAGAGTCTAGTACTTAAAGAAGCTTAATAAATAGTAAGTAACAGAGACAGCAGACAAGATTGCAGATCTTTTAAATTTGAGCTTGAAGAAAAACCACATAGTTTATTGGAAACTTGCATGGTTATTTGATATTGGTTATCATGACCAATAACTGATATCTAATCGAGTGCAATCTGCACCTCCCTACACTATTACGTTAAATTACAATTATCACGCAACAAATATCCAATTTAATCAATCAATCAATCAATCAATACGCAAAACCTTTAATTAATTTTGAAGGTTCAATTAATTTTGTGTTAGCTGCTTAACGATAGTATTTCGAACACCACTTTTAAAATAAAGCATAATTAGTCGAGTCGTAGCTTGTAATCGCTGAATTCAGATTGAATCAATAAATTGTTTGATCAATCAGCCAATCGACTGACAAAAATCTTTGCTTGTCACCTGAAAATTATTCCATCATTTTAGGCACGTTTAACTGTTAAGTAATGCATTAAGTATGCCGTTAGTTATAATAAAACAAAAATACAGAAAGTAAAGTAAATCAAAACCTCAATCAGTCAGTCGATTGGCGTGCATTCTCTTCCTCACTATATTAAGTTATTGTGATTTTGTGAACTTAAAAATTGTGTGCACTTGTATCCATGTTAACAATAGCGTTTTAGTGTGTCGTAACTTAAAGTATTATTCAGTCGAACGACGAAAGTATATTCAGCAAGTAGCCACCAATAAGCTTGCTCTTGATGCTCCCCCTTGTCGTTATATGGGTGGTGGTAGGGGACTATTATAACCCCCATGGACAATCGTGCAAAAAAGTAGCACATGCCTGCCATACCCATCCCAAACTCCCCCTCCCACACACCCCAACACCCCCTCCCGCCCTAACACAACACCACCACCACCCCTGCTCATTAAGCCAAAGTTGGATCCGCCACTGTGCTCAATCAATTCATGCACATGGGGCTTAAATATAGTAGGCATAAGTAGAGTGCTTCACTTTCTTCTATATATTCAATACATAAATACAAATTACTAAAAATGGTTATCATGGTCTGTTTTTGATTATCAAGATACATGATTATTTGGGTATAGTACGCCTCCATGGAGCGTTTTGCGAGCGTTATTTATTTTGCAGAGAACCTTCTTACAATCCATCCACGTAAACGTTTCCATTTGAAGTATCTGCTAATATGTCTCCAGTGATGACGTCGGCAGCGGCTTGTTGGTCTAGTGGTATGATTCTCGCTTAGGGTGCGAGAGGTCCCGGGTTCAATTCCCGGACAAGCCCCTTTTGTATGTTTTTAGATTTTTACTGTTTTATCCCACTATCCGTTTTTCATTTCTCAACGAAAGATCCTGAAAAACAAGTTAAGTTGTTTTTTAATCATTGGTGAATACGTAATTTTTTTGGTGGGGGGGGGGGGGCAAAGTTCGATTCGCTCGTTTCGCTACAAACACAGATTATGTATCGTTACAGATCTTTGTAATTTTTACACAACGCCAGTGCCGTTTGTGTGCCATGGTTTCATTGTTTTTGCACCCTGAAGTTCATAACACAAAACAACATAATGACATACAGCGGCTTGTTGGTCTAGTGGTATGATTCTCGCTTCGGGGGCGAGAGGTCCCGGGTTCAATTCCCGGACAAGCCCCTTTTGGTGGTCCAATGGCTCAGTAGCGAATTAGTACGAAGAGTGTCTTGGAAAGATGCCTCAAAAGACGTTATTGTGCTGTGCCAGGCCGAAATCGGTCAACCGTAGCGCCTACTATGAAAACCCTGCAAGTGGGTTAGTTGGGTCCGAAAAGTATTTTTGTCCAGGATTTTCCTTAGATATATTTTGAGCTGTAACACAAGCGTTAGCACCAACAGATTAAGCTGAAATTTGGAATATACTTAGATGATATAAGTGTTCAACTACTCGTGAAATAACAACTCTAAATTCCTAGAAATTGATATAAATACACAGATTTGGGGACGTTTTGAACGATTTCTTCCAGAAGGTCTGCTTTTCCAGTAACCAGTATTGAGGTTTCGGCATCGATGACGGTGATTTTTTTCACTGACATGAAGTTTAGAATTTCTTCTTCCATTTTCAATCATATATTACTGAGAAACACAACGTTAAAAAGGCCATGTTTTTTTTAGGGGTTCACGAATTTCACTGCTCTGACACAGCGTCTTAGTACGTAATCGGATGAACTTTACTTGACAACCAGCCGAGCTTCACCCTCGCAACCATATGGCCGGCAGTGCGTTCGATTACTTCCCCGCGCCTACTCGTGCAAGCGCGACAGCGTTCGATTTACCTCTCACGTGACTTCTCGCGATAGGCAATTTAAGCTTCGTACCCAAGTGACCGACTCACCGAGCCGGTTACTTGGGTAAGTATCCCATAAGGCCATGCAACGTCCGGCGGGCGCCTCACGTGTCCGAAACAGGCTTCCACGGAGCATAGAGCTGCAAACCCGATGTAGCTCTATGCACGGAGCTACGGCTTATTGTCAGCGCGTCCCCGCGTATTAGCTGGGCGCGGAGGCCGTGGACGTGCTCTCGGATGCAGCCTGGGAAATATCTGACGCCACTTGCGCAATTGTGTACAAAGTCTATGGAGAGTCAAGAATTTTTTTTCCTAACAAAATTGGAAATATTTCTCAGTCCCAGATTCATGTCTTATCAACATTTTGGCAATGAAAGACATTTATTGAGATGATATATGAAGAAAAAAATGTGGCGTCGTGCAGGTTGCAACATCATCCCCCCCGGAAAAGCAAAAAAAAGGAAGAAAAAAGAAGAGAGAACAAAAAAGAAAAGAGGCGAGAAGTCATATTGGTGTAAATTTAATGGGGGGGGGCACTATTTCCCTAACCCCCTCTAAAACTGATAAATCGAGAATATGTTGAGAAAAACAGGATTTTTTTGGAAAACATGTTTTGCCCCCCTCTAGAAAAAAATCCTGGCGACGCCCATGTTTCCAGCTCTTGCGCGAAACTTTACCCGAAACCGTTCTTAGCTCCACTGCGCATGTCTGTCATTACGCGAGGAGCCAGGCGCGAGTAAGCTGGGGGAGTAATCGAACGCACTCAAGCAGTGATTCCATGGAAACTACTGAATTATGCATGCTTACAGTCTGAGCAGTTCACTCGCCCAGGTTCTCTAAGACGTTCTCAAAGATAGAGATATGCATCTGCAGATGGTCACGCATTGGTATGTATTATGCATACATATACGTGGGGGTTCAATCCGATTACTTTGGGAACTGTGGTGTTGATCTGTTATGACATTATATCCTTATCCTGTGCACGCGGGTAAAACGTTGAATAACGACGAGGTTTTACCATCTGTTCATGTTTCAATGACCTTTTCAAATGTTTCAAATTATGCGGTTCTTTCAGCGGCTTGGTCCAGTAATTCTCGCTTTGGATGCGCAAGGTCCCCCGTTCGATTATTGGACTTTCCCTTTTTGCTAAAATTGAAACTTTGAGACGTTTATGTTAAAAGACGACGCCGACCTATACGGTCTGCGAATCTTTTTTTTTCCAAACGACATCCGCTTTCCAACTTCTGATTGGTCCATTACGTGAATATCTAATGCCTTGTTCTCCATAACACAAACCCAAGATAGGCTTGAGAAATGTTCCTTCATCACTTTACTTAGTACTTAAAAGGTAAAATGTGAAGAAGTGAAAAACGCTCACTGGGATTCGAACTCGGATCACCTGATTAGAAGTCAGGACTACTTCCAACCAGTCCACGAATGAGCTGCCAATCATGGGTGATTTAAACACCATTATTCCCTAATTCTCTAATTTCCCTGGACAGCATGAATATGCATAACGCAGAGAGAGCGCCTTCTTTTGATATTGTTCGATCTTGTTTGGGAAAAGAAATTTCGCATCCGGTCTTGGGTAGGCCTACGGTTCTCGCTTGCGTATGCAACACTGCCAACAGGCCCTTGGTTCCTATTCCACAACCATTAATGTTTAGAACTTAAAGGTAACATTTTGTCCGGGAATCGACCGTATTTAGTGCTTGTGATTGTTTGCAAACCATTAATGTCTTCGTCATTGCCTCTAAATGTTAAAATTCGTTCAGAAGAAGCATCGAAGATTCAAAATCACAAACAGCACGGGGATATACAAGGGGGATATACAAACATTATAATTTGCACTACTTTAACAAGAAATCGCCACTGCTGCATGTTTATACATGCAGCAGCAAATATGGTAATCGAATTTTGAGCCAAAACATTGGAGATATATGTATTAGAAAAATTCATATTTACTACAAATGGTAATCTTGCTAAATTTAATGCGAAATGGGGCCCATTCTCTATTTTATGTAATGATTAATTTATTTTGTTTATACTTATTGTAAAACGCAAGAGAAACGTTTCTTCTAAATAAATAAGTTTCCCCTGAGGGAAAACAATATTGAAGATGTATTCACCATGCTATTTGGAGTTTCATCCCGAAAATGTATATATTTTATTCCAATAACTATTTATCTAGCAATATAAAAGTTATTCACTTTTGAATGAGACATCGAACGAAAACAATCCATAGACTTTAGATGTTGTTGAAATAATTCGAATTATTGGCTGCCGGACATTGATTCGGCTCTCCCTGGGCGGGTTCATTGTGCTCAACATGAAAGCCCATTTTCAGAGAATTAAATACGTCCCAAATCGGAAAATGTAGGGTTCGTCCAAATTAAAATAAAAATTCGTCAGGAAAAAGATAAGGTTTTTTCTAGGAGTACGGGGACACTTCTCTAATGTCAGCCTTGCATTGCACTGTGAGCCCAACCTCGTTCCCAGGGTGCTGAGCAGTATTGTATCATTTGCGTATTTAAAAAAAAAAAAATTGGTTACGTATGCTAATGAGGAATAGTCTGCTGCCTGCCCGAGCTTTACATTAGCTTTTGTTTTTGTATGTGGTGTCTGGGGTGAAAACAGAATCAATTCGAGACGTGAGTTACGAAAAGACGATTTTTTTTTCAAAGTAATTATGTTGGCAATTTGGAAAGGAAAGGATTATTTTTAAGAAAGTGCGGACGTAGTAATTACATTGAATGTGAAAACACAGACTGCACGTTGGAAATAACAACACCAACTACACGATATTAATCCATCATTTGCCCATTGCAGTATCGAATAAGGATTCAGAAAGTTTCCTATCAAGGGCTTACTTTGGAAACGAGGTTGAAAACAAAGTAAGCCCCGGGGCGAGATTGCCTGGAGATAGCTCGTCCTGCCCCGTGTGAGTTTGACTTTCACACAATATGGCGAAAGGATCTAAGGCGCACTCGTTTGAAGCAACTTTTTTTTGAAATGAAATGTGTGCAAGCGCCCAAACGACTCTATTTTTTAAGCCAAAGTGTTGTACATGTATACGCAGAAATTCATTCGCGCGATAAACATGGAAACTAAAGGTTTTGCAAAGTATAGCCGTGCGATACTATTTGAAATGTTCGTGAAAAACGCGTTTTAAAGCCTATAAACGGGCGCATTGCCGACGACTTTTAAACTTTCAGTCTTGTATTCACCAGTATTTGTAGCGGCTAATAGTCTTTATTGAAGTGTCATGCAAAGAAATTACATTTTCACACATTTTATTTGATTCTTTTCTTTTTTGTAAGTAACAGTGAATTATCTTTATTGGCTTTGACCGCCAGTGAATTGAAGTGTAGGCCTATATAAAATAATCAGGTATGCAAGGATTTGTCTCGTAGCTGCAGTTGCTCTGCATGCGATTTGTCATAACATGCCTAAAAGGTACAAGAAAAGTTTCTCAGCCGTACCCAATTCAACTTCATATCTCCCAGCATCCGGACAAAGATATTTACGGAGAGAAATCCTTGATATCGAATAATTTAATCAAAATATTTTGTTAGAAGAGATTTCATCGTGATCTTACAAGGTTAATAAAGTTACGTCTTTGTCCTCCACCTTGACTGCATGCGGCTGGTTGCAGACCCTGATCACTCCTTATTCTTCCTGCATTAATTTTATCTGATATTTTTTTCTTCACAATGTGTCCTCAAAGATCTTTGGATAAGATTGAAATGTCAACACCTTCAAACCTTTCGGTAAGACAAAGGTAGTGATGGATGCAGGATTTTCTTCCTCCGTTCCTCCCTCATGTAAATAAATACCAAACAAGGAACAGGAAATGGCAACACAGTTTTTGGTGAACTATTTGCAATGGCCGAGCACTGAAACTCGCTCGTGAGATGGAATGCGAGTGCACGTTACCGGTACAAACGCAACCTCAGCCCTCAAATCGGCTGTATACGACGGCAAATGGTCGTGCTTAATTGAATTGAAATAAAGAGATGGCAACGTAACCATAATAAATCTGAACCAGCCAGGACTTAATAATCGCCTATAGCGATTGACGTCTTTCAATTTGCGTCTTGACAAAGAATCAAAAGGTAATCAAACCCGGCCATAGCAGCCATATTGTCTTTGCTGCTTCGGCCTTCTTGCGGCTGTTTTTTCGGCTTTTCGAAGGCCCCTTTCGTCATCGGAGTCTTCTGCCAGATTCAAGTGTCGGTGACATATTCTTGACAGTAGCCCAGCCATGCGGAGAGCGGTCTGCAAGCTTGATGAGTTTCTGGCGTTTCTTGATGGCCTTTAATGCTTTTTCCAGGCTACGTCGTCTGCTTACTAGTCTAAAGCTGTCTCGAGCAGATCCTTGACCTTTTCGAAATGTTCGTACTGTTCTTGGTTACTGTCGCTCTTGTGGGAGGAGCAGAGGCTTCTGAGAGTTTTTGCGTCTTAGTGGTCGAAGCGAGCTTCTGATGAAGCGACTGGATAGCTGTCGAAATCTCCTCATTAGTAGAAGCGACACTCATCATGGGTGATATTGTGATGCGTTATAAAGGGACACTATAATACGTCCTGGATAACGCCCAATTTGGGCTACAAAACAAGCTTATTTTTTACCAAATACAAGCTTTGAACGAAATGATGCTAATCGGAAAGGACATTTAAAAGTAGGATATATTAAAACATCCACACAACTATCCTTTAAAAACTGCGTATATTGAGTTATTCTAGTGTTATTCGTGCGAGAACGAATTTTGGGGTCCAACTTTTGCGACCACAAAATATCGGGCTGTTCATGCTATAGTTGTGATTCCATGCGGACGTGTAAGAACCACATACACGAAGGGACGGGCATGTCAAAATTTACCATTTTTTCGATTTCGAGTTTGTTTTCACTATTTTGCTTTAAAACATGGTACTTAAGCATTCCGACATGTTTCTGTAAGCAAAACATCATTAATTCCTGAATAACATTAATGACGTCAGGGGCAGGCATCTCGATAATTGCATTTTGCGATTTCACGAAGAGACGCGAACATGCCTGCCCCCTTCGTGAAACCGGGTGACGATTTGTTGAGACACATATAACGTATAGTGCACTATACAGGCATGCAACTGGAAAATCACAAAAAAGAGGAAATTCACATTTTTCCCAGACTTTGTACAGTGTTTTTCTATTTTCAATGGCACACATGGGAAGTAAAAAAAGAGGAAATCAGCTGATCCGAGGAAAAGTTGCATGCCTGACTATATTGTTCGATTACGAAATACAGGCTGTATGTATAACACATTATCTTCAAGCAAACTTGATTCCTCGATCCTGATTGGTCGATCCATGACAACAAGCCGTGCTACATATGGACACGCAGCCTATGGCGCAATGAAGCCAGATTTTCAATACACATGTACATGACACTTTTTTTCAGGACAATTAAGGATATTATTTTGGGATTTTTCCTGTAGGCTACATGTACTATAATGTTATTAAAATTGAGAAGGCACAAGAGGTGTTTAGCGAGCCAAATGAAATCCGCCTTTGCCGTCATGGGCGTCGCCAGGATTTTTTCTAGGGGGGGGGGGCAAAACATATTTTTTCCCAAAAAATTCCTGTATTTCTCAACATATTTTCGATTTCTCAGTTTTGGAAGGGGGAAGGGACAATTTGCACCACTATGACTTCGCGCCTCTTTTTCTTTTCTTTTCTTTCTTTTTTTTTCTTCTTTTTTTTCTTTTTGGCTTTTCCTTGCCCCCCCCCCTCGCGACGCCCATGTATGCCGTGTGTTTAGCGGCGAGATACGTTGAGTGAAGAGCAAAGAGAAGATCTCAGATATCGAAGATCTCTGCACGCATTACGTCACACGTTCGCCAGGATTAGAGTAAGCTCCTCTGTTAATGGATGATACTCAGGACTACAACTAGAGAATGACCAGGGGAAAATCAGGAAGCTTTGCAAATTGGATTTTTTTTTTAAATTCTTATTTCGGAAATTTGGAAATTCGACAAGCATGTGCTCTTGCTGACATGGCCATCGGGTATTTCTTTAATTATGTACTAGAAATGGGCAGATGGCATTATGGCTTTTCCCAGGCAAAAAGTGGCCTATAGATTCTTGTCCTCCTCAGCCATATGGTTGCGAAGGCCGATTTCTACAGGTTACGTAATACTTTATTTTGAATGAAACAACATGCACACAGACATGTGGATGTTCGCGCTCCCGTTTGGAAGACCGTGTCTTCATGCATCTTCCAGGGTTTGTTTCCCTTATAAGATCCAACTATGTGCTAAAAATCGTTTTGATATGCTCAGTACGTTTCGTTTAAATTGGAAAAAAGGGCTGGTTACATGCATTGTTTTTTAAAGTTGTAACACTGGTGTTTGCAATATCTGTCAATCTTTTTAAGACTCATGAATATTAACAAGTTTCCTATTCATTGGCGTGCAGTAACTATTTGCAGTATCGCCTCCTTCAAGAGTTATTAATTAATAAATATCACCCTTTTTGCCAGCTAATTCCATTGGTCGATACCGAGACCAACGCGAAGTCACGCTAATGAATATGCTAATATGCGCTTCGTCAGCATTGTTGCTCCAAAATCGGCCAACCTGGAAACCATGCACGTGAGTTTGGTTGGTAAAAAAATCCTCGTCAAACTTTTCCTTGGAGATAGTTCAAGGTGTAACACAAGTGTTTGCAACAACAGATTAAGTTGAAATTCGGAATATATTTAGATGACATAAGTGTTCAACTACTCATAAATTGACAACTTGAGGGAATTCCTAGAAATCGAGATAAATACGTAGATTTGGGGGCGTTTTCAAACAATTTCTTCCCAACTTTAAGGTCAGCTTTACCAGTAACCAGTATTGATTTGTTCACTGACATGAAGTTTAGAATTTCTTCTTCTGTTATAATTTAACATTTCAATCATACTTAGCATATTTTCTGAGAAACACAACGTTCAAAAAGCCATATTTTAGGGGGTAATTTCACTGCTCTAATATAGCGTCCAAGTACGTAATCAGATTAACTCTGTTTAACAACGGGGACGCTTAGGCCTTCGCAACCGCATGGCTGTCCCCATTCCTCATAACTTATGATCAAGTCTCATCCTAAAAAAAAAAATATCTGTCAAATTGTGATTCAAAGAAAGTACATTGCTTCTGATTTGAATTAATGAGCTTGTAAACCTCTGCAAAAATGCAAAGCAAATATGCTGTAAGGACTGTAAGAGGTGTGAATAATTTTTGGATGAGGTAGAATAAAAATATACACACTAGGTGATCCATGGAGCGCTCTGTTTTCCAAGCAGTCAATATTACTTTTATAACACCTCACGCACTGATTCTTCATGAATTTAGAGATAAATGATTAAAAACTTAACAGCTGCCAAAAGAATAATGGTTTACCCAGAATGATGGTTTATGTCAGTGCAACATAACCCATTACATGTATAAGCATAACGAGAAATACTTCAGGGAGGGGGAGGGATTATTTTTATAAACAATGTATACTCAATGTTGCCCAAGTGATTGTGAGAAAAAAATCACTCTGGTGGGACTCGAACCCATGACCTCCTGATACTAGTGCAGACGTCTTACCACTCGACCATCGAGCTTGCCTGGGTCGGCTGGCTAAAAGATGCTATCTGATATAGCAGCGGGTACCGCAACCAAATCATTTATACAATGGGGTTTGCGTCGGAACGGTGTAAATTCACATTTTTCTCACAATCAATCGAGGGTAACATTGAGTATACAGTGTTTATAATAGAAATACGTTGGTGAAAGGCAAAACCCAATATTGAATTACATGATCCCAACCCTATTCCATCTTAATGAACATTCATAATATGTTTTCAGTTTATACATTGCTCACCTTGTTCTTGGAATACTTAAGTAAAGGTACCAAAGGATCACCAAGGCACCAATGGAAGAAGTAGGTGCGCTGTATATGTCATTGTACAGTAATTAATCCAGCATTAGAGTTGGAAGCAACAATGTGTCCACATGTCATGTTTCTTCTCAAGAACTGGACAGCCAGAATGTTACGTTACTGGACAACACTTAATATCAGACCAATACTCTGCTCTTTCTCAGTAGCACCTTCTTCCCCACAATGTCAGTAGGTCAAACTGAGAGAGGGGCCTCCCCGTTGCATTTGGCAAGTCTGTATCACTTTCCCTTCGTATACAATGTAGTTCCTGGTTATAAATAGATGTTGGGTCACATCAATCACCTCTGACCTGATGTGTTGACCCCTGACCCTCACAACATCATATCTCCATCATCCTGTCTGCATTGCCAATGACTTCACTGCTATATTTAGCTGAAAATAAAGAAAATGTATCACAGTGACAAGTCATTAGAGACATAATTGTTTCCTTTCTCCAGGGCTGGTAGAGGGTTTGGGTAAAAGGGAACTCCTAAAAGCTACCATTTCTTTCATGTAAACCTTCAACCAATAAAATAATAAATAAAGTGATGAGGACTTTTCATTTACAGCATTTTAAACCATGACTAACAGTGCTGTAGATAGGTTCATCACAAGTAAATCACAAGTCAATTTACAAGTCCAGTCAAGTGTGGCAAGGGATGAACAACTTATGGAATGTCTCTGTCACCGTTCACAAGAATAGCTTGTGACTTGACTTGGGATTGGATGACTTGTGATTGACTTGACAGCACTGATGGCTGGTTCACTTTACATTCTATCAAACAGCAAAACATCTTTGTTATCACCCAATGCACAAATAATATAGAAAACACAATTTGTTTAACATTTATAGGTGATTTGCCATTAGATGCATGTTTGACCAATTGATCGTTATTTAAGCCTCTCGAATTTAAGCCCCTTAAATTTAAGGCCCCCCAAAAAAAGTCTCCGGTTTCTGGTATGGAGCTTGTCCAAAAAGTGGTGCGGCGACACGGCTTTTTTTTTTTTTTTACCTGACTTTTTTGCTTCAAATGTCAGCTGATGACTGCAAATGGTGCCCGACTAAACTTAGTGAAAATATATGGGAGTCCAGAGAGGCCACATAAAGCTTATTCTCGATCATAACCCCATCTAAAAACACGTTGAAATTGCGCAGCAGCAGAATTCCAGTCAAACCAGTGAGTTTGGCGGTTTTGATACATCATCTTTCATTGAAAAAAAAACGTTTTCATTTTGCTGACGCGCATGGCTACGGCGACGCGCGCGCATACCAGAAACCGGAGACTTTTTTTTTTTGGCCTAAGCCCCCTTGACTAATCACGTTGCTGTTCTGATGAACTGGGCCAATCAGGTCATTGTTGATGCCACCCTGACATCAGCACTGACACTTACCTCTAGGCGGTACATTCTGGGAACTTCCAACTAAACAATCCTTCATTTCCACTCCTTCCCCAATGTGTGTGTTGCCGCACACTATGCTTCCCTGAATGGTACACCTGTATACAAACACAAAGACATATCACTTAAAGTGTCAAAGAGCAATAGAAAACAAACATATAAACAGTACAGACTCAAACTGTAAGGCATACCAACAGACATTGAAGGTGATGGTACAACCCCCCCCCCCCCCCCCCAACGAAAAAAGGTGGTTAAGTCCACCTGCATATCTACAATGCCAAACCGCTACAAAACTTAATCAAAAGCATAAATAAACATATTATTGTCTTTCTGCGATCCCCAAAAATGTAAAAAATAAAAAATAAATAAAAGTTTTTCATTCAATTGGCACACTGGCACAAAAATAACTTATATACAAATATTACAAGACAGTTGACGTAGGGTATGTTCAGACGGAGGGCAGTCTGTGAGCTAGCTCTTCTCCAATTAAGGAACTCAACGGGGGTTGTGTGGAGCAAGTGATAAAATCTTAAATGGGCTCATGTTCACACAATGATGGCTAACTCCAGAGCTAGATTTACAGTGGAGGTCACCAAATAGGTTACGTAATATATGTTCATGGATGGCATGGTGAATCAGACAAACCAAAGAACGACCAGATGCATCAGCATGGAGCTAGGTCAGTTGCGGCAGTGGAGCTAGGTCGCAAAAAAGAAGCCCCGCTGAGCTGAAAGTGGAGCTAGCCCCACAAATGCTGGAATTAGCCCTGGCTAGCTCCGGAGATAGCTCCAGAGGCGGAGTTATGTTGTGTCCAAAGGACAACTATTTTGGGTGGAGCTACCTAGCTCCGGAGCTATTTTCGGAGATAGCCCTCAGTCTGAACGACCCCTTAGAGTGCAAAGCTGCCAGCGGCAACAGGTTGCACCAATGGCAATATTCAATTGTACTAGCTCCCAATGTCTCAGAATTGGCAGTTAATCATTGGTGTTGATGGCCTAATACAACAAAGTCCCACAGACTTGTGCGCCTGTTGCACCTTGTTGCATCTGGCAGAGTTAAAATCAAAGTTGGAATAATGAAACCTACCCCTCACTGATGTTGACATGATCCATTATGACGGAATTGATGATCTTCACTTTGTCCCCAACCGTACAATGTTTGCCTATGATGGATCTCTTGATGGACACCTTCTCACAGACGGTGGTTCCCTCCCCCAGCATGGAGTCTTGCCCAACCTGTCAGACAACATGGGTAGAGTAGGTACTTATCATTTATCATTATGTTGATGGTTGGCGATCAACAAGTCCTGGGTTCAAATCCTTTTTTGTGCACTTGAGTATCAGGCAATGGACATCACTCCTAATCATTACATTCTGCATAGGGTATTGGTCAGCAAATTGGTTTCTGTCCTCTCACCACAAAACAATCCAAAACAGCTTGAAAAGGAGAGGCATGTGGCGCTAATACTCAGGTACTTTCAGTTGGAATTCTGATTTCAATGGCTGAGATTGGGCACTGTTGAACACATCAATCTTAGTTTCTTGTACACTCCCTCAAATCTTAGAGGCCCATTCAATAAGAAGGTATATAACTGCATGAGTTGTAAGTGCAGGCAAGGGGTATTAGAGAGGATCCCCAAAGAGAAGCAGGCATTGCCCTCTGCTCCTTCCCATCACCCTATCCAAGGGTAATGGTGACTTTTCATCTCTTTCACAACATTTGGTTACAGAGAGACTGATGCAAGGAAGCATTGTGAGTAGGTCACTTGCACACATATCATGCCAACACCAAGCGTTAACCCAGGTCAGAGGGTGAACACAATCCGTCCAACGCAAGCACAAAGTAATTGGATCACACCCATTGCCCTTGGATAGGCCAGTGGGTGTGAGCAAAGTATAGTTATAACTAAAAAAAAACATTTTTAGGAAGAAGCATCGTTGGCAAAATAAGGCAAAAGTTGGGAGGCTGAAAGGGGAAAAAATAAAATCCCCTATCTACCACTACATCACTGCATCGTCCTTAATATAAATACAAACACAAAGACACATCCTCACTTGGCTCTTTGTCTTGATGGTCGCTGTGGGATGAATTAATGGATCGTCCCCAAGAATCTGTCTGTGTTGTGTAATCTGTGGGAAGAATAGAAGGAAGCATGAGAAAAACTTTAACCCTCCTATCTGAACAGTAACAGACAGTCAAAAATCAATCCTCTTCCCCTGCCATGACTTTTACACAGGCTAGTCACAAACAGTCGGATCATATTTCAAGCAAGCACTGTGACTAGTCAAATTCAGTCAACAGGCAAAAACAGGCAAGTGGTAGCCACAGCTGGCTTATCAATCACATACAGTCAAGTCAATACTGCTTTATGTAGGCTGGGAGCTCTTAACTGTTGAAAACAGTCACTTGATTAGTTTTGACTGAGAGGACAACTTGGCACAGAATTCATGTTTGCATGAACGGTTAAACCTTAATCGTTGCATACGTTGGTTGGACTCTCCTTGGATCTCACAGTTAATCACTACAGTAACTTTTTTGGTGACACTAGACTGCTGCTTGAAAGATTTATTAGCCTGTTTGTGATATGGCAGATGCAATGGGAGGTTGCTATTTGGTTTAGGTTCACTTGTTTGTATTTACCCAAAACCATAACGCCCTTCTTATCAAGTCTGCCATATTTTTAAAAAAGGCTAATGGCTTTCACTGTGTAGCGAATAGATACCTTTGAAAGCAGCTTTAGAAAACAAGCTCGAACTGATAACGGAAGCTGAGACCCAACTGTAGACATGTTACCTATAAGTCATGTACATGATGTAAAATCTGTTCTTATAATGCACAACCACTCATGTGGTTGTGACTGTCAACTGAAATAAAGGATTCCTATTTGTTGATTGTCAGTTGGTGCATGGAGCGTTTTTATAGCTGTATGCTAGGTACATGTACTGCACACAATGTGTGTGCAGTGCAGTGCCAGCCCCAATGCGTAGTGCTTTTAGTACAAACATCTGGTTTGTGACTCTAGTGACCCAATTTTTCACAACTGCAATAATTTAATAGCTGGTCAGTGGAGACCTATGCAACTGTCACAATTCAGGGCCATGAACCTGAGGCACGTGTTGTTGCGAGGGCCTTCGGGACAAGGTGATTGATTGCCATGAAAGGCATGTGCTGACATTTGTTACCAACCAACCAACCAACGGAGAGACATGAGTACTTCTAGAGCTGCTCAGCTGCAGCTAAAAATGAAAACTTTGAATCTAAAATTCAGTTATGAGTAAAACAAAGAATAAAATCAGTCCACCAGAACTAAAGTTAGGCCAACTGTTCCTTGGGAGGATGGTATAACAGGTTTTCAAGCAAAACCATTTTAAAAATGGAAACAAAATGACACAAGTGAGAGGTGGATTTACCTGTCTGTTGGCTTCACAGTATGCTGCCACTGTGTTGGCTCGAATGCAGAAACCATTCTCCATGATGTGAGTATGACAGCGTAATGTATCACCGTGTTGGTAGTAGTCAGACATATCTCCCATGTGCTCATTCCACGATGACATTGTCCGAGCAGTCTTGGTTAATTCATCCAAACCGCCGTAGCTTGCAATATCTGAAGACAAAGCAAAACTGTCTCAGGGTTTGTAAAGGGGGAGGGGGCAGAGAGGGGAAGATGTTTGCAAAGTAAATGGGACTTTAGCCAACTGTCTTTGCCAGAGTTCCAGTACTGCTATCTTTTTGCTTACCCTTGTCTTGCTGTGCACCTTCTGGCTCCATGGAGTTGGGCTGAGGGACAAGTTGACCAGTCTTAGGCCTTGAAAATTGTTTCCTAACCAAGTATGGTATCAACTCTCCCTTGATAGTCGAGTACGTCCTGAATAAGACAATCCAATTCACAAACAAGATCCAGTTTTTGAGATTATTTAGCATTCTTTTATACTGTAGTACTGACAGCTATCAGTGACAAAAAAAATCATTAAAAATGAGTGATATTAATTAACACTAACGATCCCCATCCAGTCAAACTCCAACACCAGGGTTTGTTGGAATCTGTTAGGATGAGTACTGCACTAGTAAACTGACTGTGCTTTAGGTGGGATTAGGTATACCACAAATAAACAGAGTCCAACTGTTTTGTACCTAGTTTACCATATGGTGTTGGAATTTACAACACCTTAGGGGGTTAGGGTTAATTGCTACTTTTTCTCAAGACAGCAGCCAAACTTTATTTTAACAAAGTTTATCAAAACTTCAGCTTTAGATCCCGTATCCCTAAGGGAAATCAAACAAGATTCAGCTTCAAATACTCCAGAAATGCATCATGCCCTGGTTTGCATGACACAAGTTTCTGCATCTCTACCTGCCAACTTTGTTGTCTGCCAAGAAATCCAAGACCCATTTCTTGAGGATGTACATATGGGCGTCCATGAGTCGGGTCTTCACTTGAATGAATGGATACCTGTCAAATCAAACATCCACCAAAAAAGTGAGAAGAAGAATAGTTACTTTATACAAGTATCTCTGTGTAAAATGGATAACAATTTAACAACAATCAACAGAACTGTTTTGGGCATTATTTTCTTTACATTTCCAAGGTTAGATGTGATTCACTTGAAAACATTCAGACATTCAAGTAAATCCAAAATAACTGTGTTACTCCCCAGGATTCTCCTTGGAGAGGACTGCCACCAGTTTTTTCGCCTGGCCATGGGGAGGCATCATTCATTATAGTACATGTATATACTGAACCTATATCCACATGTAACAACCCCTTCATTGCAGTTTTCATTGGTCATTTTAATTTTAACAAGTCAGGTGTGTTTACAAACACAAATGCCCCGCAACCGTGACTGTTTCCATGACATAACACCACTCTAACATCAACTTACATGTACCTTGGTCAAATGGAACGTTCATTGACAGCATTAGTGTCTTCTGTAGGTTTTATATGAATTAATCCCTTATCCCTATGATCTCAGAATAAATACAAGATTTCTATTGTTTTAGCCACTGTGACCTTGACCCTTGACCTTTTGACCCCCAATGCGATAGGCTTCTTAGGATTGCCAAGGACAATCCACAAACCAAATTTGAAATTCATATGTAAAGTATTTCTCAAGTTATCGCGCTGACAAAATTTCTATTGTTTCAGCCACTGTGACCTTGACCCTTGACCTTTTGGCCCCAAATGCAAAAGGCTTCTTAGAATTGCCAAGGACAATCCACAAACCAAATTTGAAGTTCATATGTAAAGTATTTCTCAAGTTATCGCGCTGACAAAATTTCTATTGTTTCAGCCACTGTGACCTTGACCCTTGACCTTTCGTCCCCAAATGCAAAAGGCTTCTTAGGATTACCAAGGACAATCCACAAACCAAATTTGAAGTTCATATGTAAAGTATTTCTCAAGTTATCGCGCTGACAAAATTTCTATTGTTTCAGCCACTGTGACCTTGACCCTTGACCTTTTGGCCCCAAATGCAAAAGGCTTCTTAGAATTGCCAAGGACAATCCACAAACCAAATTTGAAGTTCATATGTAAAGTATTTCTCAAGTTATCGCGCTGACAAAATTTCTATTGTTTCAGCCACTGTGACCTTGACCCTTGACCTTTTGGCCCCAAATGAAAAAGGCTTCTTAGAATTGCCAAGGACAATCCACAAACCAAATTTGAAGTTCATATGTAAAGTATTTCTCAAGTTATCGCGCTGACAAAATTTCTATTGTTTCAGCCACTGTGACCTTGACCCTTGACCTTTCGGCCCCAAATGCAAAAGGCTTCTTAGGATTACCAAGGACAATCCACAAACCAAATTTGAAGTTCATATGTAAAGTATTTCTCAAGTTATCGCGCTGACAAGATTTGTCCGGACACACACACCCACACACACCCAGACTTGTTTCACATACCTAGTGTGGACTTTCCTTTCTTTTCGTGTAGTTAAGGAACACCAGTGGAAAAACTCATTTTTCTCAAACTGTGAAAACTCTTACAACCCAATTTTTTTTCAATGATTCCCTTTAGTGTTTCTCTTCATTCTGCTACAGATAAACCTAACCCAAAAATGCCTCTAAACCTGTTTTCCAGAAGTGGGGAAACACTGTGTGGACGTGGGCAAGTCCACACTTCGTCGCTGCTACCTACATTATGTGGACGTCTTTTGTTCGGAAGTCCACACTGCGTATGTAAGACAAGCTCACACCCACACACCCACACACCCACCCACCCACCCACCCACGGAAGGACAAGGCGGAAACAGTATGCCCCTTCGGCTTCGCCGCGGGGCATAAAAATTACAAGACTCGGGACCATATTTTGTTCCTTTTTTCTTTTAATTTTTTTACTGTGGGGGAGGGGCTCTTGTCCCAAGCCTCCTTTTGATGCAACACTGACATACAGTGTATATCATGGCAGGTTTTTTGCACAAACATGTCTCATATTTCCCTACCTCTTAAAAACTGACTTCCTGAGAGTGAGATCTTCTTCTATATCAGCCTGAGCTGCAAGAAGTAGAATCCTGCCTCCCTTCTCATCCAGACCAATGATATCTCGCTGCTCTATCTTCCTCTTGGACTTGGAGCCAGGGACATATATCCCTCCTTCAGTGGATTGGTCTGGCAGGGTGTGCATTAATACTGTCACTGATGCATCGTATGTCCTGTGCACATCTGCTAGTAGATGTAGCTCTATGTCTGTGATCAGATCGCAACTGATGACAAGTACATCAGTCTAGGGATGACAAATGTTATTCATTTCGTTATTGAAAAATCATCTCTGTGTCTGTCTGCACCTGAAAACATGCACCTCATCCAACGTGAACTTTTGAAGGTCAACTGAATGTGAAATGCATGATAATGGAGGTTTAACCCTAACCCTCCTCAATCCTCCAAAATCCTCCAGGTGGTTTTGGAGGATTGAGGCTGAATGGCAAGAAAGCGACGGTTGGAGGATGCATTGTGTCAATTGCAAGTTCGTAGGCCGTACCCAGTATTGTTAATGTTCAGTCATGCACAATTGAGCCCTGCATTATGTTCAATATCCTTCGCTCTGCTTCTGACTGTCATCGGCGCTGCCTCAACCCATTAACCCTTACCCTACTAGACCCTCCAACGCATGCCAATATGTGCCTCAAGAAAATCTCCCATGTTTTTTGCATGGCCCTCCAATATCTGCCATGTCATTTCAAGGGTAACTGGACAGGCACTCCAATACATGCCACAGAGAACAATGAGAGTCCTCTGATAACAATCAAGTGCCCCCAGCTGGTCAGTATCAGGCACCCTCCAGGGCCTCCAACTCCTGCCAATTGGAGCCTTCACTGCTACATTTAAGTATCCTCCAATAAACTGCAGCTGGAGGGCATTGGCATAACCAACTGACATGCAGTAAACTACCCTCAGAGAGTAAGGGTTAATAGAGACTGTAGGAGGATTTTGAAGGACTGAAGCAATGGTCACCCCTCCACTGAACAAATTCAAGAAATAACGGATGATTTTGGAGGATTGAAGCTGATTCCAATTTTTACATGGTGGCAATTGGAGGCTTTTGCAGGATTGAAGTTGTTCCTAACCAAAAGAGCCCAGGGAGTTAGGGTTAACAGGTAGGCAAGGATTTAGTTGCGGATCAAGGGTATCAGAAAACAAAATGATCTTCCTTGAATAAACTCTTTCTTGAATGTTTTTGTCCATAAAACAATTACAGAGCCCTGTAAATTAATCAATCACCTCCTCAAAGCAAGCCACAAATTGATTGAGATTCTTTTCAATTAGATTAACACTCTAAAGTGAGTGTTGACTCAGTGTTCAGACCCTACTCCACGGGAATCTGCGCCCTGCCTATAACTAACACTACTGCCCAGCACAATGTACATGTAAAAAGGTGGCCATTGACTCATTGGACAGGAAGGTACTGCGGATACCGAATCAACGTACAAGTGATGCCACTGGCCTTAATCCTGTCACATTATACCCTCATCTCATTTTACCTTGATTTTATCTCGTATAAATCGGAGTGATTCTGCAGTGCCCCAGTCTTCATCACTAGGAATTGTCACCACTTCCAGACGAATGAGTAATTCCCCAGCTGATGACTGAAGGGCTTGAACCAAGTCACGCTTCACCGAGTCAAAGGTGACAATGATCACACCTACAAATTATGAAAAGGTGAAAGAAAGTGTTACCAGGGATCATATGTTTGACATCATGAGTTCCACATATGTAATTGTTTCACATTATCAGAATTATTTGAAGAAAAAAAACCCAGAACATTGGGAGACACCATTTTGGAGGTATCAAACTGAAGAACAAATAGACAAACATTGGTCTCAATATTAACCATGGAAAAAAGTGGGAAAAGAATCAACATGGATTTGATACAGAACATCCAAGGAAAACTCTTGATGAAAACTACTGTAATACAACTAACCTGATGAAGTTTCAGCTCAGTGAATGCTGTATATTCCGAGAAAACAATATTCTACTATCTTGATTTCAAACAAAAGTTACTGAGTCATGTTTTGAATTGGGCCTGAATTCAGCGTCCTAGACAAGTTCTCACTGAGCCGATTGCAGCTACGCGATGTCACGCACTGAACCCACGAATTATAGAAACCGCGCATGCGTCGTGTCAACACTTGCGCGCACTTCACTGAATAAAAAAACAAACTACTGACAGAGATTTCCAACGATGCGTCTTTAGACACATCGTTGGAAAGGCATTGTTTAATTGATTTCTTTAAAATGACAGCTTGCCAGAAAGAGTAATTTCACAGGGAGTTTAGTCCCATTGCTATCTTTAAACCAAGTATGCTTTTCAACAATAATAACGTCAGTTACTTTTTGGATAGCTGCAAATGATGGACTATACCTTTAACTATAGGCTTATGAAATAAATGTATATGAGCTGCATCTGAATTACTGGACTATAGATGGCAGTTACACAAGCATCTATGGTAATTGGATTCAGTTGCTACATCACATGTAATATTGCCAGCCAACAGCCATGTCATTCTAAACAGTATAGGTTACTTACTCTCAAATCCAGCTTTGTCTAGCATATTGACAGGGTACCAGACCAATGGTCTATTGCCAACGGGGAGTAATGCCTTAGGAACGCTGGCTGTTAGATCAGGCATACGAGATCCACGACCTCCAGCCATTATGACTGCTTGATATTCCATGCTGGAAGAATTCTTAGTTGTTTACACATCAGCAAAACAACTGAAAAGAAATTGGAAAAAATATGCAACGCGTGCCTGGTGGCCCTGAAGGGACATAACACATCGAGATTTCTGCGCAGATTTCTGCGATGTCGCACATTTTCTTCTGCGATGTCGCAGAAATCTGCGCAGCATTCTCGATGTGTCATGTCCCTTCAGGGCCACAATATGATTGTGTCGTGCGCAAAATTAACCAAACATCATGGACAGCGTAATTGGCCCAGGCCCAGTCAGACCGCTGTACAGACCCAATCACGGCTAGCTGTTAAATGTGTTGTCTGGACATGCACAGAGAAAAATCATGAAACTCTGATTTCTCCATAAGCCAATCAACCATTTCAAACTGAAAGTATCGATAAAATAAGGCCATGGTGTATAAAATCAAGCTATACCATTTTCCCCCGAGTACAGTTGTTTTCCTAGTTCCGGATTTTTCCTAGTTCCGGATAGCTTCAAATAAAAACCTACCTCTTTTGGATTAGTCTCTAATAATTTTTTTTCTGACGATGTGCATTTTGAAAAGGAAAATGTAAGCTCCTCGATACACAAAGATTTTTCCAATAAAATGTTTAGAAGAGGAATTTTGGCCAGATTTCCGACTCGCACTTTGACATGTTTGGACGGTTTGTAGAAAATCGCGGGAGCTGCGAATCGATGATAAATTTTCCCCTCAGTATATCACTTGTACCGTGTGATTTTGAATATTTTGTTCGTACACTACAGTCCTATAAACTCTTCCATTGAATGCTTGTTTAATCAAAATAAGTTGTTCAGTCTTTAATTTTTGAAAATTCGCCAACGAATGACCGTATGCTTTTTGCCTAGTTCCGGATAGCATGTGCACTTACGACCCAACTACACGCGCGTTACTTGATTTTGTGTGACGTATTCTCGGTCCGTGCGTGAGTTCGAGCCGTTGCGCTGCAGACAAAGATTCAAAATCATTTACGTTTTTCTATTTTTTAAATTTGCTGGAATTCTCTTGAATGAACTATTTTTGGAAAATGAAATATATTTTATCAGAAAATATGCTTGATTCGGTTGGTTCTGGCTGAAAAAAAATTGATTTTCTCGCATGATTTTTTTTTCGCGTGAAGCAGTTTTGATCGATTCGGAACTGATTGAACCGATCTGGAACTAGGAAAAGTGACATTGGTACTTTTGACATTGTAAAATCAAAATAAAAAGAGCTTAAATTTTAAAAATTATTTCGTGTCGTGGTCTCTCCATCACTCAAGGTAAACTTTTTAATCAATGTCACTTGAATTCATGGAGTAGTTGAGCTGAAAGCAGCCTGAATGATGTTTGCTATCCGGAACTAGGGAAACGACTGTACTGCTATTCGAGTACGAGTACTTTGACATTCGAGTACGAGTACGAGTATTCCCAAAAAAGTACTCGAGTAGTACTTGGGGACGAGTACCGAGTACTGCAACTTTAACAACACTGCTAACTAGTATCGTCAGAACCCCTAAAGCTACGTGGTCCTTTTTCAATGCATTTACATACAATTTGTGTGTGACAACGCACGCGCATTTGCAAGCGTTAATATAGTCATGTTTCCTAACATGGCGCACTTTGAAGGTAACCTGACTTTCCTCGTGTAGTGTTGCCATACATCTTTGTTGACAAACCTCAAATTCATGCAGTAAAATACTACTACTTTTACCTTAGTCCGAAAATTTGGGACTCTCAATACTGTGTATGAGAGTCCCAAAACTTAAGGTATCCATATCGTGCAAAACTTTGTGCTGCATGATAAAACCAGTGTGAATCAAATTTGCAAGCTTCTTACTCACTACAGTTTCTTCAATAATCCCTGAAACTTCTGCCTAGCGAAGTTGCTGTTGTGAGCATTGCATCACCAAAATTTCAGCTTTTAATTCTAATTTTGCAGAGAGTTATCGAAATCCATACGTGAGACATCACATTGATGTGTACTGCAATGCATTGTGCAAAAAGACTCCTCTGCTATAACATTTTCATCGTTTAGATAAAACAGCGCCCTCTTGTTGATCTGAGTGAATGCAAAATGTTTCGTTTTTTAGCAGAGGGCGCTATGTTCATTTGGCCATTGATTAAAAAACAAGTAAGCTGCAAGGCTCTTCCTACACCTACCCAGAATACATTGGGAATCACACACCCATTTCCAGAGCATGGAGATTGACGTGGGTGGTTTTTGAACTGCCAAAACCTTGCCTTAAAATTGGATTTAAGGTCTCAAATTTTGCAGGTGACATGCTTGCAACTATAGCATTTTGATGTATGTGTTGTGTGGGCATTAATTAGCCAAATGGTGAGTAAAAAAACGTCAGTAGTAATTTTGCACGTTTCTATGCACTCACGGTCCCAGTCTGCTTTTACCTTTGCTTGCTATTTAACCTCTGTGAACAATTTCGGTTTCATAAAATTTAATCCGAAATTCAAAAACGGCGGCGTCCAGAAATTGGGCACAAATTGGGGGGGGGGGGGGGTGTGTTCCCTAATGTGGCGCACTTGAATAAATCTCGGAAAATTCTAAATTAACATTTAAGAATTTCTGTAAACTTGATAAATTCTGATAAATAATTCTTATCTCTACTTTACTTACATACCCAGCCAAATGTTTGTCAGAAAATTATTTTCTTATTTTTCGGGGCATTTTCAAAGGGTTCTCTTCACACTTGAAAAATCGGAAAATCACACCAAAATAGATTTATGAACAGGAGTGTTTAGAACTTGATGAAATTTCACTTTCTGTGAAATTTCAGTTAAAAATTTTGCTCTAGGTAGGCGCTACAGGCGAAAAATCAAAGTGCGCCACGTTGGGGGCCGCGCCATGTTAGGGTTCATCAACAATACCTGAGCTGCGCAGATCATGCAGATAATCGAAATTCCATTGCTTGTCTAGCATTCTTTCCAAATAGTATAATGTAGGCTTCATATATGGGCTAGGTATAACTTGAGGACTAGAAAAGACTCCAAATCTAAAACAAACAACACTTGAATTACATTTTACAAAGCCTTTCCTAGTTTCAAAGGCAAATTCTTACCATTGACGCAAGCACATGTCAAAATATGGTCCGTGTGTACGTGTGTACGCGCGGGATCTGGGATTACAAAAAGTGCGCCCTCAATAGTCGTTACGAGCCAATTCCAATATGGCGCTGCCCAGTGATGATCACATTCACTCGCGTGGAGCTAATTTAGTTTCTTTCAAAAGGTAAATGTTTTCAGTATTCGAGATGTGACTGGAATGCAAACTACGAGTACTACTTTTTTCTTGTCGAATATTTTATCAGGATAAGTCACGAACAGTCATGATAGTTGAAATATTTTTCATAGGCTAATAAGTAATATTCGTTGCCCAAATTACGGACATGACGGACACAACGACGAACTTGTAGAGAGGGCGCTGTTTATTCATGACAAAATTATATTTATACTATTATAGACTTTTCAAAGCCCACTAAAAAAATTGGGAAAGGTAACTCGCTCCCTTTAAAATTAAAGGGAAGATACAAGTTACAACATTTGCAAACATCAAAAAACGAAATGATCCAATTATCACGAAATACCCCACTGAATTGTTGGGGACTGAGTCTATTTAACATCCTTTAAAATTGTGGCTCCTGGTGTGCTGACATTTTCAAGAAAAAGTGTATTTTTCCAACGCTGGTCTGCCGACCAGTGTTGGAAAAATAGACAAAGGTAACTCGCTCCCATTAAAATTAAAGGGAAGATACAAGTTACAACATTTGCAAACATCAAAAAACGAAATGATCCAATTATCACGAAATACCCCACTGAATTGTTGGGGACTGAGTCTATTTAACATCCTTTAAAATTGTGGCTCCTGGTGTGCTGACATTTTCAAGAAAAAGTGTATTTTTCCAACACTGGTCGGCAGACCAGCGTTGGAGAAAACTGGCCTTTTTCAAAAACTGTTCCTAATTTTTCATATAATTATTCTGACTTTTGTTTGCAATTGATTACAGACCTGTGAAGGGGTACAAGCCTGCTAGACTGATTCTCCGACCTCACAATTCCCCAAATTGTATTAATTGCTCCGTTTCATCTTAAGTGGGGTCAGGGGGACCAGACTACAAGAAAATGAAAGGTTTTAGGTTTTTTTGGTTTTTCCAGCATCTACAAGCCCAAAACCTGAAACAAGTCAGTTTTACAATATTTTCTATAACATACTTATCCTCCAATTCCATTTATTTCTGAAAATTGCAGCAAAAGCAAATGTTGTACATTCCCTTTAAAGGCCTTGATTGGAGTGTCATGGCCTAGCAGTTAAGAGCACCGGACTCTAGCCCATAAATGTGGCCACATTTATGTCTAATTTTCGGGAAATTTTATGTTGAAATTTTGTTTCACAAACGTGTACAAACGAATCTGGAAATTTCACGAAAATTAGACATTTGAAAAAGGCAGCACTTTCTGATTAGCCTATAATAGAGGTGAGTATGCTTCTAAAGCAAAAATAAACTGCAAACTAAAGCCTTAAAGGGAATGTACATCATTGGCTTATGCTTTAATTTTCAGAAATGAACTATTTGAGGGGTTAGAATAGATCAAATTATTGTTACACTGACATGTTTGAAGTTTTGTTTTCAAAAATGCTGGAAAAACCAAGAAAAACAAAAATGTTCAAGTAGTCCGGTTCCCTGACTCCACTGAAGATGAAATGGATCAATTTACAGATGCCGGAAAATTGTACGCTAAGGGAACCAGTCTAGCTGACCTGCACCCATTCATGCACATAAAACCAATTAGCAAACAAAATTGGACTGAAAAAATGATAAATTTGGAGCAGTAGTGAAAAATGGTTAGGTTTTTCCTACGGTGGTCGGCCGACCACCGTTGGAAATGTAAACAAAAATACAATTTTCTTGAAAATGACTTCACACCAGGTGCCATAATTTTACAGGATGCTTTAGACTGTCATTAACCAACATCCTGTAAGGTATTTCGTAAAAACTTGATCATTTTATTTTTCGATGTTTGCAAATGTTGTATTTTCCCTTTAATACGAAAATCAAAATTTGACAAAGTTCGACATGTTTTTGTACAATGGTGGAAGTGTGGCTTTTATTTACGGAGGTAATCCAGTAATTTGGACACATTTATGGGGCTAACCGAACTCATGCTCTGGTGTTTCAGAGGCAGCAGTGGCGTAGTCCGAGTAACTAGGACTCTACAAATCGCCTTTTTTAACACTTGGACATGGTCGGGCGATAGTAGAGTCCTAGGTACATAGCCTTATTGCATTACTAATTTTTTTTTTTGACCATTTTCACTCGATCCCCCAATCAAAATCTTCAGATTTCACCCCCAAAACAGTCTTCAAACTGCCTTATGCGACCCTGTAGGCTTCAGTGGAAATTGGAAATACAAATGGTGGTGGTTAGGTTTACATACCTTTTGGAAGAAAAGAGAAATTCACCTTCAATTCGCGAAACATCCTTGTCACAAACTTGTCACAAACACCTTGTTTGAGGCTGCCATTTTGAATTCAGGAAAAGCATCAGACAGACCAATCACAGGGCACTTTGATTGGTCAGGTGACAAATCAAAGTGCCCTGTGATTGGTCTGTCTGATACTTGCCAGGAAACAGTCTAGCCAGCCATGCACCAGTCTACTTTTCCTGAATTCAAAGTGCAACTCCCATATCTCCTTTTGGTGAAATTTGCTTTTTAATTTTCATTCAAAAGCTGATCCCTCAATCATTCCTGATTTGTTTCAATATGGCATGCAGAAAAAACACTGCTATGTCTTCTGCCCACAAATTCACAACCGGCGAAGACCTAGACGTAAGCCATAGACAAGAGATTCGGATGTTGCCGTAAAATCACTTCCTTGTAGGCGCATACACTGTAGCTCATGAAATATCGCAATACACTAACTAATGGCTGTTTCATGAAATGCCAATCCCAATAATCATGGCAGTACTAGTTGTGAAATTAATCCTTCTGATATGTTTAATAGTGGACATTATAAGCTTTGTGGACTGTTTTCATGCTTTGGTTTAGAAATTTACATTGTTTTCAAAAATATTAGTCAGATGTTATTTATTTTTTTAATCTTGTCTTCCAAATTTAGATTTCTTACAGGCTTATCAGTTGTCACTGAAAAACAGATGACAAATTCACAATGAGAGTACATCAGCTAATAAATTGTCTGTGCAAGAGATCATGCATGTTTCTTCCACTTGATAATACCATGGCAACACAACCAGCAAAGCAGTTATGCACTCAACATCACCATGTGTCCAAGATGTTTCGTCCGTCTTATGTCTTGCCCAAAGGGATGCGGCAGGATGGAGTAGCCTGTAAAAGTCAACGAGTAGGTGTTTACTCCTCAATACCATTCAGATTCTTTTGCTTAAAGATTTATTAGTTAACTGTGTGCAAATCAGTGCCTAAAAGATTTAATGAATGATCGTGTCAATTTTGAAAATACAGTAAACTCAGGCCAAGTCACACTCTCGGGACCGGAGAATTTGTGACGACTTACGCGAATGCCGACATCTGCTGTAAGTCGTCATTTTGCTGACTTACATGAATGGCCTTTTTGCACACATGATTCATTGCACTAATTGGCTTCGATTCACCCTGGTGTATCTCCTTCATGCTAGAGCTGAATCCAGCAAATTAATCCTCAAATTTTATCATGTTTGGGGTATTGATAGTGGAGACCATGTGTACAAAATAGTAAAACTTGCATGTGCGCAGTTACGAATTAAATGCGTGCGTGGTATACCACGCATGCATTGACGGCAGCACTGGTATTGACTGCATCATTCAATAAGACGACCCCAATAATGGACAGAGCGCATGCGTACAGACTAGAGGGGGTACTGGTATTGATATGCTCACGATGCATATGCAATGTATGCGGTTGGAAACCCTTTTGCGACACCGATGCATATGCAGCGATCACGGGCCGTGCCAAAACACTTTTCACTCGACACTTCTTGCCAACCGCAGTAGGAAGTTGATGCCAATGCGTGATTTTTTTAATGCCGACTTACACAAAGGATTTTGTTAGGCTTTTTATGGAAAGGGGACCGAGAGTAACACGACGACTTGAGCGAAATGGCGACTTATAAAAGCTGACTTAGAAATAAAAATTCAATGGAAATGCATTACAGTCAATTGGGACTTTAGTCAGACGGCCGACTTGAGCGATTTGACGAGTTGTACGATGTCGGCTTGGCCAGAGTTAACTGTATGACTGAAAACTGAATTGATTTCATCTGGGTGTTTTTGAATGCCATTGACAAAGAATGTGTTCTTTTTTTTCAAAAGCTGATGATGGAGAATGGCTTAATCCGACCGGCAGGCCCTGGAACCTTCCATCTTCTTCCCTTAGCTCAGAGAGCCTTGGAGAAACTCATCAAAGTGGTCGACTTGGAGATGAGGAGAGTAGGAAGTCACAAGATTGCCATGCCATCTCTCACCTCATCAGCTTTATGGAAGGAGTCTGGTAAGAATAATGTTCACAATAATTGTGCAAGAGGGCAAGTCCAAGAATCGTACATGTTACGTCCCATACGTAACAAAAGTTTAACCCTCTAAAAAGCAATTAAGATATTCATGAATTTATACTGTTGGGCATCTGCAAGGAGAATACACACATGAATCTTTACGATGATTATGTAATTTAATATAAACGGTGCATTACTATGGGATAACAAGGGGGCCTTTTCTTGGACTCTGTATCTTGATTGGCCGAGAGCGAGTCACATGGCATTTGCTATTTATGCTATGTTGCTGTGCATGACCAAAAGTACTATACCTATAGCAACCAAAGTACTATACCCGTAGCAACCAAAGTACTATACCCGTAGCAACCAAGTACTCTACGCATAACAACTGGTATTCTGTGCAAATGCATAATGGTGTGCAAGTTGCGCATTGTGCATATTGTTCCCAAGCTAGCGCTACAGATCTGGGTCAAACATTTTGTGAAGGGGTAGTTTGAAAAGTGAAAGTAAATTTTCAACCAAATTCGTATTAAAATAGAAGGACAATTTAATTGCATTTAGATTAAATTAATCAGTTATCGCTTAAAATAAAGCAGAATATGTGGGAGAGGTGCTATAAAACAAATATTGACTGCTTTACCTGGTGGTGTAATAAAACGAGCCTCCCTCGGTGATAATAATAACAATTATAATGTGGTGCTTATATAGCACCTTATACCAAAGGTCTCAATGCGCTTCACAATTTTTACCCCTGTTCATCAGGCCACGAGACCACTTCTGCAGCAGCTCAATATCAGCGCATATGGCCCGTACCTTTGCAGGTACCCATTTATTCCTGGGTGGAGAGAAGCAATGAGTGACAAAGTGCCTTGCCCAAGGACACACGCACCATAACCCCAGGCTGGACTTGAACCCACAACCTGCAGCTTTACCTGCAGACCACGAGTCCAATGGCCTTAACCACGAGGCCACAGCACTCCTATAGAGCATTCTATTTTCTCTCGGCTTTGCCTCAGGAAAAATAGAATGCTTCATGGATCACCTCGGGAGGCTAGTTTTACTACACCATGAGATACAGCAGTCAATATTTGTATAATATGCAGGCTCCTTTGGCCACTGTATGAAAACTTAGTCCACCCAACCTCATATTGCAAGGTTCCCTGCATCATTTATTTTCTTTACATGTATATTAAAAAAATCTATATCCTCTTAAACAAGATTCTGTGGACCACATGCAACTTATAATGTTCTGTCCAGTAAGGGATGAAGAATCAAGTCATTTACAAACGTTTGTTTGGTTGATAGATTAAAATCAATCAGTCCAGTTGAAATTTCTTTTGAAATTTCTGACTTTTTCTTCAACAGGCAGATGGGATATGATGGGTGCAGAACTTTTCAAACTCAAAGACAGACACAAGACAGAGCTTTGTCTAGGTCCTGTAAGTTTCATGTCATTTTAACCATTAACGTGATAATTATGTGTGCACCTAGTCAGTTTCCCTTTTATGTTTATTTGAAAATTTCTAATAAGATGCCGTATCCTCTCTGAGAGGTCCCCGTTTACTATTTCCCAGATTTGCAGCATTGCTAATGTTGCTAGTATTATGACTTTGGGCTTGATTCCTGGCCACATGGCATATACGGGTTTAAGGCTTCTTGCTAGTGCACCTCGAACAAAGACATTGACAAATTGACATTGACATGGTTGAATTTGAAAAACAAAGTTAAAACAGTGCTCACTGGATATTAACAGCTAAGCTGTCGGTGCGGTGCACCTTCATCGGAGGCAATTACGGCTAGTGGTGTTCTGCTGGTTGAACAAACGAGGTAAACTCCATGTTCATCCTGTCAGGGTGCAGCGTGGCAAGTCGGAACATCACACGCTGCGTGTCTGATGATTCCATGGTAACTACGCTGACGCTCATGTCCTTCGTGGAGTGTGGGGGTGTGTTTGGCGACAGCCAGGCCAGGTTGTTTCAGCCACACGCTGCGAAGATGCTCCGTAAAGCGGTTTGCCAAGTCAGTGCTTGGTTTTGGCAATGTAGAGCTTGCCACAGCGCATACAAGTGATACAGTAGATATGTGAAGGTGGTGCATTTGAAGTGGCCGTTTACCTTGACATAGCCATTGGGACCAGCGATGGAAGAGGAGCCATTGATGTGACCACAAGTTTTGCATCTGGGACGTTTACAAGTGATAGTGTTGAGCTGGGAAGTGAAGACCGCACAATGCTGTTACCGATGGAACGGCCGTGCCTGAATGAACATAGGGGTTGGTGGACTGGGAAAAGATGGTGCTATAGTAGCTGGATCTTCCTGCAGCATCTTGAACTGTTGGAGAAGGATATCCCTGACAGGCACGTTGAGTAGGTGGTACATGTAGGTGAGGACAAGAGGGATACGCTCTTGTTGCTTGGGAGGGGCGCGCTACTTGACGCATCGCGGGTGACTGCTGAGACCCTGTGAAGAACAGTAACGGTAACAAGCCGGGTATCCACATTCCTGGAGAACTCCTTCATCTCTTGACCTCGTTTGTAAAACTCAACATCCTCACTTGGCGCAGGTGTAGGAACTGGCTGTAGGGGATAGCATCTTTACACTTCTGTGGATGGGACAACTCGTAGCGGAGGTAACTGTGCAAATCAGTGGGTTTGTAGTGACTAGTGAACCCATGTGGTGAGGAGCTTGCCATTGATAGACACTTGATGTGGAGGAAGGTGATGGTGTCAGATATATCTGAGGTGAAGCCCAGGCTGGATGGTAGTTATCAGCAATAATGAATGTCTGCACATCTTCTTTAGAGCCAGATGTTGCATTGATGATGTCATCAATGTACTATTCGAACAGCAATGGTTTTGGCACCGGGAAATCGGACATCATCTTCTCCTCAAGAAAGCCAACAAACAGACAGGCATAACTCGGACCCATACGTGTACCCATAGCAATGCTAGTGGTCTATAACTGATGCATAGGTAGTGCATCCCATTAAATTGAAGTTGTTGAAGGTGAGGACAAGTTCAGCTAGCCTGAGGCGGGTAAGAGTGACGGGAAATAGCGACGGCTCATCCCGGACGAGATGAACGTGGAATTTACCGCGTTTGTTCCACCAGTGGTACACCATTAGCCGTAATTGCCCTGATGAAGGTACATTGCACCGAAAGATTGGCTGTTAATATCTGGTGAGCACTGTTTTAACTTTTGTTTCACATTCTACTAACTGCCAACATAGGGTTGGATAGCTCAGTTGGTAGAGTGCCGGTACGGTGTTCCAGAGGTTGCAGGTTCAAACCCTGTTTCAGTCAATTTCTTTGTTCAACTTCATAATCATAAATATGAATGATGAATTCCTCAGCCACCTGAGACGCATTGGTATTATTTTTGAAGTTCCTAAATGATGTGTGTGCTGCGGAAGATGTCGACCCCCAACTAAATAATTATGTGTATCCTTTTGATATGCCACAGACACATGAGGAAGCAGTGACAGATATCATTGCAGCTGAAGGTATTCTGTCTCATAAACGACTGCCGATAAAGCTCTATCAGGTAAGTAGTTTTTCATGCATTTCGTTGTTTCCAATAATAACACCACTCAACATCCAAAGAATGTTCAAAACCTAACATGTTGAAGTTGCAGCTCAGTGGAGATAACTCTTTATGAGAAAACAGCGAAAAGCCATGCACAACCTTTTGATCACGAAACACAGTTTCATCAACAAAACTCTTTATTTCCAATGATCATTCTATTGACTGATCTTTGGAAATTACCTACATTTCTTTATTTCTTCAAATGACACCAAGCCAGATGGACTAATTTCACAGGATGTTTAGTACCAGTACCATCTTTAATCCACATAAGAGTTTGATAATAATTTGCTAGGTTACTTTTGGGATAAATGCAAATGATCCTATGCAAGAAACGGCTGCTAGAAGGATCTCATGAGATATATGTAAGGCACCTGTGAGATATGCCTTTTTTTTAGTTGGAAGGGCTTGATGGTACAAAGTTGAAGTATAGATCAATCTTTTGAATGTTGCATGAAGTTTTTCTGTCTATTCATATTTTGGGTTTTACCGATAGATCACAACCAAATTCAGAGATGAGCCAAGGCCACGATTTGGATTACTAAGAGGAAGAGAGTTTATCATGAAAGGTAGGAAAGATCACTGCTCTTTGTGAGAAATTCTATATTTGCAGTATTCCTTCAGTTGTTTTCATGTGTTTACAGCGATTGACAAAATCTTTTGAACGGAGCAGGCAAATATCTTTGTTGTTGCATACGGCTGAATTTCATGCATAATTTAATTTGATTGGGATTGTATACACCTTTTAGGTTGAATGTCGATTGGTTTGCACAACAGATTTGTATACGTTTGACTCCAGTGAAGCCACAGCCAGAGACACATATAACATGGTCTGTCAAGCCTATACAAGATTATTCAGAAGACTTCAGTTAGACTTTATAAAGGGTAAGTGTTTCCTTGTTTCTGTTCGTGTTTTTGTCTCTGCAAAAGCATCAGATGGTTTACCCTTACGTACCCTTGCTGCCATATTACACAATACATTTCAGTAAATACAGAATATTTGATGACATAAGTCATTAATCATATTTCATGATGAATTGCATGCAATATTTTGCCATTTTCTTAATACCAAACCTAAGATTAGTAAGAGTTGCTGCATCAGCCAAATGACTGACAGATAGATTTCTACCCTGGGTGCTGGGAATACTGTATTGATCTGTTTGCTTGGAATGTCTAGTTGTAGGAGACACTGGAAGCATAGGCGGCAGTTTATCCCATGAGTACCACTTACCTGCACAGACTGGTGAGGATGAGCTATTCCAGTGTGACAAGTGTGGTCTGGGTGCTAATGCTGAGACAACAGGTGGGTGCGTACAGGTTTTTGTTACTGCTGGAACAACTCATCCATGACCTAATCTCCCATCTCCAGCAACCTCAAAAGCAAATTTGTGACCCAACCCAACAGAATAAGTCACGAGTGACTAGAGCTACTTTTAAGTAACTTTGCCATTTAGCAGATAAAATCCACAGGAAGAGTTTACCCTTTTCACACTCTTTATATCGGTATACAGGGTGAGTAAAAAAAAACGAAACCCAAATGTTGGGACCATTGTTTTAGTGAAGTTCTGCATGTAGCACTTTCAATGTCTTGGATATGAAAGCCCAATTCATCAGCTTTCTTTAAGTACACGAATCATTCAAATCACCTCTGTACTTTTCAAGTTGCGGAATTTTAAACACAACCGCCGTTTTAAGGTTCTGTCCACGGATCACAAAAAAGTTCAGCGTTCTTTCAGCAAAACGAAAACAAATCACATAAGGATGTGTGTGAAGTGTTTTTGTTTTGCTGAAAGAACGCCTACCCGTTTTATGATCCGTGGACAGAACTTTAAAACGGTGGTTGTGATTAAAACTCCGTAACATGAAAAGTACATGAGTGATGTGAATGATTCTTGTACTAAAAGAAAGCTTATGAATCGGGCTTTCATATCCTAGATTTTGAAAGTGCTACATGCATAACTTCACTAAAACAATGGTCCCGACGTTTGGGTTTCGTTTGTTTTTTACTCACCCTGTATATTAAGATGTCAAACTGAGTGATATATCAAAATGAAGTGCGAGTTTTGCACTTTCTACTGCATGTGAAAGAGTATATCATTGCATGTCCTTAAAACTCATTTCGTGGGATCCATTTACATTTATTTTATCTTCCCAACAATGATGAGAACACTTAAACACATTAACCCTTCCCTTACTGTAAAGATGTATAGATAAGCTAAGGCTTAATAACTACATCAAGAAAACTGAGAGCATGTTGCAATAGGGAGGTTCCACAAATAGGGAGGTATCTGTTGCAATGTGAAGCTTCCCTGTTGCCTCTTCTTGTCTGGCATGTAAACATCAACAGAAGTTCATTCCCTAATTTATTGTCTGTGCAATGAATCATCAACAGAGGGCGCCAGACCGGTCTGCCCTGAGAGGTTGGATGAGACAGCATGCCCAATGAGATTAAGGAGCGGTATTGAAGTGGGTCATGCATTCCTGCTGGGTACTAAATACTCCCAGGTCTTCAAGGCTTACTTTGCTGACTCGGCTGGTAACAAACAGTAAGTCTTATCCTCAAAATGCTGATTTCATTGGGGAAGGGTTCAGTATCTTATTGACCATAATTTTTTTTTTAATTATGGATGTTTTGTTTACTAGACATTTGTTTAGGGGGGTGGTTCTCAAATATAGGGAATGTTATTATTCTAATGGGAATAGTTACAAATTATAAAGATAATTATGAAAGATAAGTTAGATACATGTAATTAAAAAGAATTAACTGCTAAAATTGCATTGGGGGGGGGTTGGGGTGGGATGGGTTCCAGAGGGGCCAACCTAAAGTCCTTTTTGTACATGACTGACCCATCACTGACTGGCACTTGTGAATTAGACTTGCTCAAGTCTCTTACTGACTGACTGGCACTTGTGAATTAGACTGATACCTATCTCATTGACTGATGATTGTAATTTGTGAACAAATAGACTGGTTACCTATGTCACTGACTGACTGTCATATGTAATTAGACCAGCATCACTTTTTGTGTACTTTCAAGATACAAAGTCTCCATGTGAACAGCAAAAGCCAATTTTTCATTATTTTTATCGTGCACCCACTACAGCTTATTCTACAAACTCTGTAGCCATTCGGAATCAATTGAATAGAATTCTGTGTACTCTTGGACCAGCTTTTCTAGGCTTTGCCCAGTCTTGTTGTGTGTTCCGTTTAGTTTCCCTGATGACATGGTTTATCTTGTAGGCTTACAGAGATGGGTTGCTATGGTCTAGGAGTCACCAGGATTCTAGCTGCAGCCATTGAGGTGTTGTCTTCTGAAGATGAGATTTCTTGGCCTCAAATCATTGCACCATATCAAGTTTATATCATACCTCCCAAGGTAATATCACCAAATTAAATCTCATTGTCATGTGTATCAATCAATGATTTGGTTAAATCTAGATGTGGTGCATTTTAATAGCATTGAAGAGAAATTATCAAAGATTACTATGTCATGGCCTTATGCATCCTTACCTCTGCTGTAAGAACACTCCCAACTCTCCAATATTGTCTAATTTACATTTGTTTTTCTTTTCAATTTTCATCTAATTAACCGAATGGAACTCACCAATATCCTAATTTGTTTCACCGGATTCAGGGGAAAAGCAAGGAGGAAGCTGCAATCCCATTGGCTGAGGCATTGTGCAATGACATCACTGATAGCTTCTCTCATCTACAAGAGGAGCTGCTATTGGATGATAGGGATCACCTGACCATAGGTCGCAGGGTCACTGATGCCAAGAAACTTGGCTACCCTTACATTGTTGTCTTGGGGAAACGAGTAAGTAACATCAAATTTGTATTTTAGTTTGTGTCACTTTAAAAGCATAGCTCGAAAGTTGCACCTCCGTTCATGAGAAATAAAATCAATGGGTGCCTGTATAGATTGCCCAAGTCAACCTTGATTTAATAGTCCAGTGCTGTTAAGTGAGCTCTTAAGTCATTCTCATTGCTCAACTGAGGCAGCCTTGACAGTAAACACCCTTTTGTCTATGGCTGTGGCTTATGGACATGCAGTAGTGTGTCATTCTCAAAGCCAAATTGAAGCCATAATCCCACCATTTGTTGACATTGGTCAGTTACTTATGTGAGGATCATGACGACATGATCCCCATGATAGTGATATGTACAACACGTGACTCAGATACAGAGTAAAAGAAACAAAGAACTATTAACAATTTGAGCCTGAATCCAAATGTAAAGAAAGCCTTTGTTTGATATCAAATTGTTTTAAGTGGAACACATTCATAAAAGATAATATTGTTGGGAATGATTTGAGTTACTGTAGTGGCGAAGGCACAGTGTAATTTATGACTTAGCTTTGAACATCAAGTCTTCAAACATTTTGTTATTTTTGAACAGGCCCTTGAGGATAAGCCATTGTACGAGCTTCACGATGCACAACAAGGAACAACAGAGTACGTCTCCAAAACAGAGCTTCTTGAAATTCTTGGATCGATAACTGTCCTATGACCATGGAGGACCCAAGTCAAATACATCTAGCCTTGCATTTTTACAGATGACAGTTAAAAAAGGGGAATATATTATTGACTTTTTTCCCTCTGTTCAGTAAATCAAGTAAACTCAAAACTAGCTGAAACAGACATATGGACACAGCCTGTCAAGAGAGTTGAAAAGCACTTCTGTCAATAACAATTTGATTACGACTTGGAATTGAGGGGAAAATAAAAAATTATAGTATCCAATAATACACACAATGCACATATAGCATGGCATTGCATTTTGAATGGATATGTTGACCTACTTAGTACTCACTATATTTTTATTTGAGTATTTCATGAATATTTTTGTTTGTACTTTGTATTTTTGTATTGTTTCCCCTCATTTCTATGTTGCATTGTGAACAAAGTGTGACTTTTGCATTTGCTGTCATAGTTGGTATACATGGTATAGACAAAACAGATCTTTAAATTGTGTGAGAGGGGCTGTGTCCACAGTTTATGAGTGTGGAGTTTGCTTGATGGGGCCGTATCATAAGTCCGACGCCTCATAGGTCCGACGCCTCATAAGTCCGAAATTTCGGACTTATGAGGCGTCGGACTTATGAGGCATAAATTCTGCCTCATAGGTCCGACGCCTCATGAGTCCAATGCCTCATAAGTCCGACAATGGACAAACGCTGTCGGAGGCGTCGGACTTATGAGCAGACCTCTGCTTGATTTACAAAAGGGCAGATTTCAAAATCTGTTTGTTTGTTTTCCAGTAGTGCTATTTAAATGAAACACTTTGCATTGCTTTAAACTGTTCTGTTGATCATAGAAGTAGTTGACGAATGTGTCTCGCACTCCAACCATCTAATCCAAACCTAACCCCCAGCCCCCAGCGGTACTGTGTGCCACATTAGTGCAAGGGTGAAGGGAAGGGCTTCTGGGCTTCAATCCACATGACCATGAGGCTATCAAGTTATAAAAACACAAAGTGAATGGTTGTCTTATTTTAACTGAAAATGTACATTGCATGGGCTATTGAAAGCAAAGTTAATGGTATAGCACTTGGGTTTGGACAAAATCTTGTTGAGTGGGTTTTAAGTTATTTTGCAAATACCAACATTTTGTAAGCCTCCCAAGCTTTCGTTTATAGATATGAACAAATCATATTGGTTTTCACGGTTTTTATAAGCCCAGAATGCAATACGCTACAAATATATTTTGGCAAGTTAACAATCCATGGAACAGCTTATCCCGTACACGCCTTGAAATGACATGGTAAAAGCAAATCATGGAAGTCCAAAAAAGTTGGTGTGGGTATTATCATACAAAATTTGTAATAAATATGGATTTTTAACTTATCTGAAATGTTTCAAGGTGGATGATATGTTAGTATATGTGCTCAAACTATATCCCCCACCCCGAAACTTGGGAAAGGCGTTTTTTATCCTTTCCATAATTTCTTCATTATGGGAGAGGGGCAAAATAGGTACAGGGAGTAGCTATGTGTTGGGGCCGGGTGGAATCCATAATTAAAAGCACCATAATGAATAAACGTCTTGGGACCGACATTTATTTAATAGTTGAATAAAGAAATTGATTGCAGAGGGATTTCAACCTACTAAGTTTCCCTTTGTGGTGAAAACATTGAAACTGATTTTAGAGGAAGAGGCATGAAAAGCCTCAGTCCCCGTCCTCATCCCCACTAGAACCAGAGTCACAAAAATGTTATATATTTCTTTTTTATCGCCAAAAGTGAATTTTCTGTCTTGAACCGTGTTCAATCAAGTCCTACTGATCAATGAAATAAATTTGACCTTTCTCTGATTCAGGGCTCCGGAGGAATTTTTTTTTTTAAGGGAACCAAGTCTGAGAACCATTAGTACGCAGCGCATTGGTTGAACTTTGAAGAAAAGGGGCGCTGCGTGGTTGTTCGAGCTCTGTGTATGATGAACAGCGCCCTCATGTGTCCGATGATCACCCCATTGACCGCCTAGGCCCCCCTAGATCCCTATCATTATCAAGAACCTCGGGCCGGCGTGTTTTTGGTTACGCGAAAAATTGGGTAAGTTCATGAAATCGCTGCCCCATTTTTACTGAGTCTGTTTCTACTTGCATTACTTAATTCATGTTGTTAATAAGCTAGCTGTCGATGAAGTTATATTCGACTGGGCGGCTCCCAACTCGATAGCCTCCAACTCGTACATTTATGCGCCTGATCAATATCAATCAATTGTTTCCCCCCCCCCCCTCCCCCCCTCCCCCCCCCCCCCGGGCTGCCCCACCCAAGACGTGGGGATTGTTACTTTTAAAGTGACAAAATCCCCACCCTGCGGGCAACATTTAAGTGACAGTCCCCGACATACATACGTGGGGCGCACTATTTCTGCCCAGGTACCATGAGGTAAGCATGGTAAGGCTTCGGCCTTTGCAACCAAGACTTGGGTTAAAAAATCGAAGTGGCTATCGTTACGGCAGCCGTGTTTAGCACCCTCTACGATAATTTTTGATACGCACGCAGGTATATAATTATTTGTTTCCCCTCGTTTCAGCGAGCAGTGCGACAGCTCAGTCGATAGAGGGTAGGATTTTGCACCGCGAGGTTGCGGGTTCGCATCTCAGTTTTGCACTCGATTTTTTTTTTCCTTTTCTAACCTGAGGGTTTGGAGGATTTTTTTTAAAAGGGAAATAAAGTCAGAATTTCATAACGTTCAAATTCACTTTTTTCCTTCTAATTTTATATTTTCTTCTCATGCTTTTATAAAAGTTACAGTACTACCGTAACGATAGAAAATGGGAAATGCGTTACGGCTGCCGTAATGATAGCCACTGCGTTAAAAAATAGCATTAGCAAAGCAACCACTCTTTTCCTCAACAAAACTTATATTGCTGGCTTATGATCATTCACCATACTGATTGACAAAGCGAAATCTCTCTATTTGTGGCGACAAGCGGGGAATTCCAAAGTGTGCAGTTTAGGCGTTGTAGAAAAATTCCTGCCTAATTCTACGCAGGGGACGTTTCATGGAAAATCTACGCTGTCCGGGCCATGCAACTCGAGTATAGTCGGACTCCCTATTAATTATCGCGCGGCATCCCTATTATCGCGGCATGGGAAATTTCTCTTTTTGCGTTGCCAAAACTCCTTCAAGTGGCGATTTTTATCCAGTTCACCAGTCATTAAGGACTTTTTGCCGAGTTGTATAAAAAGGACGATTAAAAAATGTTGTGTCTTTCGGGACTTTTAACGATTTTTAATAAATAATAACGTTTTCCAAAACTTGCAAATTTTCCCTCACCGTGTCTGCTAAAACCTACCGTTTATATTTTAACATAAATCTTTAATGGTGCTCTGTCCATGAAAGTTCCATTGTCTGGTTCCCATTCTTCGGCTGCCGACCAGCGTTGGAAAAATACAAGTTTTCTTGAACATGTCAGCACACCAGGAGCCACGATTTTACATGATACTTTAGACTGTCATTCCCTAACAATCCAGTAAGATATTTGTGATAATTTGATCATTTTGTTTTTTTATGTTTGCAAATGTTGTATCTTCCCTTTAACCAAAAACCCTTTAAAAAAATGACTAAATTGCCATAATGCTTCTATGATCATTTTCTCACCATCCTGGTTTTACATTTTTTACCTATTTTCACAGTCCCAATTTTGCATTTATAATCCATTTTCACAGGACTGATTTTGCTTCTACAAGTATCATGCAGCGTCCCACTTTTGCTTTTAAAATGAGTCTGTTGCACTCTGCCCCCTGGCTATGCCACATACATTATGTATGTGTCCCATACGCATACCATTTCTAATGGTCCCATAAAAAGTGCTTGGAGATCTTTAGAGTGTCTTGACTTTTGGTTTCATGTACATGTAATCATATGCTTTGGCATATTTTATACATGCGTACTAGTTGGTTCGCGTATGAGTTGGCTGGTGTACAAGTTGGTACATATACCGGGTGTGAGTTGGCTTGTGTATGAGGTGGCTCACGTACGAGTTGGCATGCGTACATGTATGAGTTGACCAAGCTGCATATGATTTGGTTCGTGTATGAGTTGGCGTGTGTAGGAGTTGACCTGTTTTGCCATGACCCAATCCGGTAAGACGCTCATTCCAGCTCCCACACTGCAAAACTTAATTCCAAAATACGTAGGTGAGGGTTTTATACCCCTCCCCAAATTGCTAGTTACTTGATTAACCCATGTCTTGAATAAAAACTTACTGGAGCTTGTGCAACGGTTGAGCCTCACATGGGTGCAAGCCCAGTATTGGTCATGTAAGCAACAAAGGAAAAGGAATCCTGAACTATAGCAGCGGCCACCTATTACTTTCATAACACATTACAGTAGCATTTCACAAAATAGTAGGAATCATTTCAACTTGTTTTGTGATGGTCATACTACATGTACACACTTACAATTTATTTTATTTTTACCAAAGCTGAAGTGACTGAATGATACTTTTTGGTATCTTGAATTGGCCAGTGGTTAATTGATATTGATTGTTGTTTTGACAACCTGCTCAATGTCTTTTCTTATTATCATTTCAGTGTACTTTGACTGCGGGCCTGGCAGAGAAATACCTCAAGAATGGCAGCTGTAGTGCGATGGCTTGATAAACTTATTGAGGACAATGCAGGTACTTTGGTGATAAGTTTTAGTTTTCAACCATATTAAGTTACATGAACCAGGATCACCTTTTAAGGCCACATAAAAAAAATACCAGTTTTTCAGCAGCATCCGCATACGGAAATTGCCACCACATTCTTTTTTTTTTTTTTTTTTTATTTTGATTAAAACTTTAAAAACTCCAGCATACTGAGCGTATCCTGGATTTGGGTTTGGAAAGCGCAATCCCATGTACGGCATGTCAGCAGCAAAATCGTCTTCATGCATGGGTCCTTTGTAGGACCCAGTCACGTGCCAGAATAAACCCGGCCATGCCACATTGCCGCTGCTCTGCAGTGCGAATAAAAAAGTACATATTTTTATGTGCTCGAAGTGCAAATTTGAAATGAGTGTTGAGTGTCTATTTCGTTTGCCAAAAACGCATCTCAACGACGTTTTTACGTCAAACACTATCAAAACTTACCCCATGCATATTTCTTTTGTCACATCGATGGTGATTGAGAGCACATGAAGCAATGCCAAACCATTTTGCCCCCTGACGTCGATGCGATGTCAATCACAATTTTTTGACCTTGCTTAGCACATAAAAGATCTTGCTTAGCACATAAACTGGATCTTGTGAAATAAATATGATAACAAACGGTGAAATATGTCAAGCAAAAGGAACACGGATTGTGTTGCTGGTGTGCGTGCCTGCACGTACATGTGCATGCATTTCCTTTCATTTTAAGTGGGTACTTTCAGCCTAAAATATTGTTTGCTTTTTATTAGGAATAAAATTTGATAATTTTACGCCACTAGTTTTGATTATTTTGATTGTGCAAATAAAAACACGAGGCACTAACTATGGTGTGTCCAAACATCCGAACTGAACAATTCAGTTTGGTTCAGAAGTGCTATGTTCGTTGAATTTTGGTTCAATTTGAATGTTCGGCTGCAGCACTCACACTGTCGTCTGATGTCGTGCATAGTCTCGGTTAGTTGGAAAGTTATAACAGCTGCTGGCCTGGTTGACAGGACTTTCCAACAATATTAAAGCAGAGGTTCTGTGCCTAATTTCTCAATATTCCTCTGAGCATCCAGTTCGAAAATATTCCCAGGTTCATACATTTTGTAGCTTGCCTACTTCTTGGCAAAAGTAGAGGGCTGTATACCTTATTTTTTTTCAATTTGGAGGCAAAGTTAACTTCACTGTACTAGGAAAAGAAAAACAAATTGTGCCTCATTGAACTTCTCAAAAAGTTCTGATGAGGAAGCAGGATTTTTTTTTATTTGGCCTAATCAACTTTATATTGAATGAGTCCATTTTGTTCGTACTGAATTATTGATCAGGCAGCCCGTTGTCCACATGAAGAATTTGTTTTCAAAACATGCAAAATGTGATAAATGCCAGTTTGTTCCCTTTTTAGAATCCTGCCCTCTCCTGGCCGCCTAAAGACAGTTTCAACAGCTGTTATAAAGTTAAACGCTATATAACAGAGCTAGTTTAGAAACAGTTGTTATACTGTTTAGGTTCTGTAAGTTTTCATAACCATGCAACTTTTTCACCTTTTTCAAATGGATAACGTGTTTTGGAAATCAACTCTTTACATTGTCAACAACAGAGACAAAGCAGGGCCTTTTGCACTTTGCTTTCACATTTTCTTCTGTTTACCTTTTCTCCTTTTTTTCAGCATTTGACAAAACCATGCCATAAAGACATTCGTGCAGAGAAGAATGACGTTTGCACTGCTAACATTTGCGACATTTGTCCATGGTCTTTCATTACAGTTGGTTGACGTTATAGGCCTTTTGTGTATTTATTGAATCTTTTTATCCTTACCCATGGAGATCCTCGGGTCGCTGACTGGCCACTCATGCAGACCCCAATCCCTGGTACTACCATGGTCATTCTCTACCTTGTGGTGGTGTGGATTGGCCCCAAGCTCATGAAGGATCGAGCCCCTTATAGTCTGAAGAATATACTGTTGGTCTTCAACTTCCTGATGGTTGTACTTTCCTTCTATACGTTATGGGAGGTAAGGCTTGGGGGAGGGGAACCTACCAAGCAGGAGAATTATTGACTTGGTTTCAATTGCATCCTTTTCAAATTTCAATAGTACATGAATATTCAGTTTAAATTCTTAATTTAGAGGTTGCTCTTAATGGTTCTCAATAGGCAAATTGTTCATGAGGATATTTCCATCTCTCTCAAACATGTAACTCATTGGGAAGTTAGAAAACCAAATAACATTGTGATTGTGACATTGTAATGAGGTGAAATGTACATGGCTTTATTTTCATTGCATTTCTCTGCACAGTTTTGGATGAGCGGATGGCTGACTGGGTATACACTGGGATGTCAACTAGTAGACTACTCAACCAGTCCCAAAGCGATGAGGGTAAGCAGTATAAACATACGAGGCAATGCCTCCATACTGCAACCATTAGAAGAAAATAACCACTCTGCAGGAAGCTGATGAGAAGACAGTGAAGAGGAAGATTCCTCGCAATGATAGCAACCCATGTGTCTTCTATTGTGGTGCATGGCAGTTCTTTAAATGTACATTATTAAATGAAATATTTCTTCTTTGCTCATTCATCACGAAAAAACAACACATGACTCTAGATTCTGCTAGAAACTTTGAGGATTCAAAGTGACTTTCCTTGTGTTCAAAATGCAAAAACTTTTTGATTATCAGTTTTGCAACAACACTTCAAAAACAACATGTTTCTCTCAATTAACGTTTGGTCAGTTTTTTTTAGCAGAAAACACTGTGACCAAAACACACACAACTTGTTTACATCAGTGTTGACTTTCGCAACTAAACGTTTCTTTTATATGATTGAATTTGTTTGAGGAGATGAATACGTTGGCGAAGGGCAAAATCCAAATTAAAAAGTGTTGACTTGGAGACATGCGCTTTGATAATCAAAATAGCCTCCAGTCAGGTCACTGTCGGCAGTCTTTACATTATATTCTCTCCTAATAATTCCATTGATCCAATTTCACACAATTGGCCTATAATATGATTTTTGTCTTGATTAACAGATGGCCAATGTGTGCTGGGTCTTCTATGTGTCCAAGTTTGTTGAAATGCTTGACACGGTAAGTCACCACCACAGTTCCTTCAGTTTTTATTTGGAAGACAAAATGCTCAATGTCTGATATCAAGAAGAATGCCTAACAAGTTTTTATACAGAAAGAAACAAAAATAGCAATGGCAACCATTGTCTTTGTCTTTGTGTCAGATTTTTGATACTATTATGTCTTACTATTTCAATCTTCAGGTCTTTTTCATCTTGAGGAAAAAGAACAACCAGATTTCCTTCCTGCATGTGTTTCACCATGCGCTGATGCCATTCAGTTGGTGGATTGGGGTCAAGTTTGTACCAGGTATGAGATGTTCCTACAAGTAATGCTGAATCGGGAGGAACCTTATCAAAGCTGGGATCCTGCACTCTGATATGTATTTTATAACTACAATGTGATTGGTTAAATTAAAACATGCAGCATATACATAAACTAAAAAGCAAAGTTCAAGTTTGTGCAAAGGTGTTTTTCCGTTTTTGTGACAGAGAGACATAAAAATATATATATTTGAACACCACTGCCCACCATGCATTTGGCTGCCATGTCATGCACGTGGAGATACTCTGGCTTGAAAATCAGTTGTGGGTACTTTGCGCAGTATGCACCCATACTGCATGTAGTGTGCGTATGCAGTATCTCCCAATTACTGGACATTTCTGAGCGGTCACACTGTGCATCTGCTAGACTCTCTTGATAGCTAGACTGTCTTGATTGTTGTTGTGTCATCTAGTGTTTTCTTTCCTTGTGATTACAGGAGGTTTTGGAACATTCCATGCTATGTTGAACTCATTCATCCATTTCATGATGTACATCTATTACTTCCTGGCGGCATTGGGGCCAGCCTTCCAGAAGTTCCTGTGGTGGAAGAAATACATGACCAAAATGCAACTGGTTTGTACACATTCATTTCATTTGTCTGTGTCTTATTTACAGATTGGAAGTTTAAATCAGTCTTTAAGTCAGATTTTGGCTTCTTTTTTTAACGCTGTGAATGAATAGCCATAGACAAAAAGTATTGTTTCAAAGAGGCCAAAGGGCCCTGTCACACTTCTGCGTATCCTAATTCCTTATGAGTTGCGCATTGAAATTTTTTTTTCATACGCAGTCGTACGCACAATACGCACCTCATATGCATTTCTATCGCATTGGCCCTAGAGAGGACGAGAGAGAGCACACGGACATGGATAAATGTGGTCAGCTTCGGCTAACCTTCGCCGAGCGTTTATTGCTCTTGATGATACAGTCCCATGTATCCTACATGTATTAACCAATACAATATTACAGTGTTTGCATTGTCTACTATTACACTGTATGTTGAGGCCCCGCAATGCAAGAATTTGTTAATCAAATAACGATGACAATGAGTGTTGTAAACCACACTACTATTACACTGTACATGTATGTTGAGGCCCCGCAATGCAAGAGTTTGTTAATCAAATAACGATGACAATGAGTGTTGTAAACCACCAAACCATGCAATTAAGCATAAAGTTACAGGTATACTAAGCGCGGCAAGTTACACCAAATAAATTACACTGAGTCTTAATACAATGGTTTATTCAAGCTACAATAACCCACAGATATGAACAACACTTACAGTTATATAAAATATATAGCCAAAGTGAACGGTGGCAATGAAAACTTTAGGATTAAGGGTTATAATCAAGATATAGAGTAATCAGAATATTAGGTGATTAGCTAGAATTAAGATTCTGGTGATTGGTTTTATACAAAATTAGTCGTTCTGATTTCCTAACCCCCCTAGTTCCACCTTGGGCGTGTCCCCGCCCCCCTCATTTCTGCCCCCTCCCCCGTCCTTCCAAGATACAGAAGGAGGCCAGGGGGAAGAATCCCCAAGTTGGGGAGAGGCAAGTTGTTTTTAGAATGCAGGGATTGGCGGCCACAGGCCCAGAGAGGCCATCCCGGCGCACTAGTGAGTTTGCCTTTCATGTGGTCAGAGCTGAGATATGGGTCCCCGAGAGCAGGCCAAGCCCGCGAGTCATATGGGGGACCCCAGAGCAGTAGTATACGTGTACTGTGAGAACTGGGGAGGGGTCTACTTAGCAGCATGCTAGAGATGTTGGGAGTACAAATGCCCCCTGGCAAGAAACAGGTTGCAAAGCAATATATGCATAAAAATGTGCCTGGCATCAAAGCCTGCGGGAAAACTGTTGACCAGGGGGGCTTCAGGCAGTCCACAAGAAAACATGGCTGAACAAAATCCAGCCTCCACGAGGGAGGTGTGTACATGTCGGGATTACACCAAATCCCACCTCACGTCACCTGAGGTATAAATTATGCCCAACAGACCCAGCCCAGAAGAAAGGCGACGACTGACGCCCAGTCTGGACCTGTCTACATCTGCCCCATCCCCTTTTTACTTGTCAATGACATTCATGTAAGATGTGCTCCAGCTCTGCCTCTAGCCTCAAAGGGTTACCTCCAACATGCAGGTGGCTACACCCAAACATGGGGCTAACTAAAGTTGTGTAAGCCGAGTACTAACTGGTTAAATGGTGGAGGGAGGGAAGGGTTTTATTTTGTCGTGTGTGAAGCTCGGCGAAAGAAAGCGGAAAAGGGAGAAAAATGCGCGAAACAATGCCAGCCTGCCTAGTTCCCCCGCAGGGATTGGTTGAAAGTGTGCTGGCTGCAGAAAGTGGACCAATCAGAGATCCCAAACGATTTCTTGCCTACAAGAAGGCTGTTAGAATGTCCACTCACGCCCCCCTGTGCCAAAGGGGTTCTCCGGAGACGAGCACCGGAAAACCGTATTGGCCCTAGAGAGGACGAGAGAGAGCACACGGACATGGATAAATGTGGTCAGCTTCGGCTAACCTTCGCCGAGCGTTTATTGCTCTTGATGATACAGTCCCATGTATCCTACATGTATTAACCAATACAATATTACAGTGTTTGCATTGTCTACTATTACACTGTATGTTGAGGCCCCGCAATGCAAGAGTTTGTTAATCAAATAACGATGACAATGAGTGTTGTAAACCACCAAACCATGCAATTAAGCATAAAGTTACAGGTATACTAAGCGCGGCAAGTTACACCAAATAAATTACACTGAGTCTTAATACAATGGTTTATCAAGCTACAATAACTCACAGATATGAACAACACTTACAGTTATATAAAATATATAGCCAAAGTGAACGGTGGCAATGAAAACTTTAGGATCAAGGGTTATAATCAAGATATAGAGTAATCAGAATATTAGGTGATTAGCTAGAATTAAGATTCTGGTGATTGGTTTTATACAAAATTAGTCGTTCTGATTTCCTAACCCCCCTAGTTCCACCTTGGGCGTGTCCCCGCCCCCCTCATTTCTGCCAAACAAGTTACGAATACAGGAACTTGCCAACCCCCCCCCCCCCCCCCCCCCCCCCCCCCCCCCCCCCCCCGAACAGTGGACCAATGTGCATAACATGTTGGCTGGGAACCGATAACTCTACAGTAAATGACCCAAGCAATTTTAGCGCAGAAGACATGTAATATTTATTTGAATGGCTGGTTTTAAGGACCACACCGAGGTGTTAACTGACCGGTGGGCTATGGACAGCAACTTACGACGAGGGAGGATGGAGAAGGGCTGATGGGTGTGATGTAAAAAAGGCCAGGGCTGCCGAAATATTTTTGCAGAACTGTTGGCTGCCCAGGGTGGACAGATGGAGGCCGTCCCGCCAGTAGAGAGACTGCTGGCTAGAGTTGATAGTGCAAGAGTGCACGATCCCGTGGGCATTTCCCAAGTTTTTGCACACCCTATGAGCATACTTATTCAGAGCGTTGACATTTTTCTTGCCAACACCCGGGCGTTCTTCTCCATAGTAGAACAGACGCAGGAGGATGTCCGACCAAACTATGCGTGTGTGGGGCAGCATGTGTCTTAACCCCTGTAAGCCCTCCTCCAACCTGCCTCGGATCTCTTTGACGGGAATTGAAAATAAATCGTTGGTCCCCAGGTGGATCACAATGGTGGTAGGAACCGGGGAGTGTTGGAGTTGTGCCCGGATAGAGGGGATCATCGATGATATTTTTGCACCCCGCACGCCCCGCCAGGTGATCAGCCCCAATGCTGGCTCATTTGGGGCATGGTCGCCGGCGCGGAAGACAATGCTGTCACCAACCACCCAGGTGCGTGTTGTACCTGCGGAGTTAATCAAAAACAAGAGCAGAACCGAGGATGCAAATGACATGTTACAGCTGGGGCAGCCCAGTGTGGGAGGGAGGGAGGACTTTGTCAGGCCGGATGTACAAATTAACGGCTTGGGATTTCCAGCGGCCTAATAATTGGATCTGCGGGACCGGGGTTCCATTCAGAGCAGCAGAAGTGGCCGCCCCAATGCGGAAGCTGTGTGGGCTAAAGCCCTGAGGGGGAAGACCTAGGGCCACTAAGGATTTACGCAGCATTTGGCTGAACTGGTATGTTGTTAGGGGTGTACCATCTACATGAACAAAAAATGGGCCTGCAAAGTGTGGCCGCAGGAGGAGGTAACTTGAAACCATGTTCACGGGGCAAGTGGGGGAGTGGTAATCCCTATGAAAACGCAGTTCAACAGAGTCGCCCCGTTGATCAGTTTTGGAGAACCTAAGCCTGACCACCAGTACAGAGTGATCATTGCTTGCAAACCAGACGTCCTGAAAGTTGAGGGTTCGCTCATGCCCGGCGGATTTGCTAGCAGTTGTTAGTTCCCCAACTCGGAAAAAAAACGAAAAAGGCCAGTGAAAATGCGGCACAGAAAAGTGCAGCCTCAAGATTTGACGAGGTGATTGCACGCAGAATGTTGCATATTTTTTCGAGGAGTTCTGCCGTGATGGGGCGCCTAGGGTCGCAGCGGCGGCCCTGGCGGCGGCAACCTTCCCTCATTTTCCGAACGATGAAGCTGTCGGTTGGGTCGGGCCATCCGTTAATTTTATGTACATAAGCGGCCGCGGCTGTATACGTACCGATTGTGGAAGGGGCGAGGCCTTCCAGTGAGAGATGGGCAATAAAGGCTGCAATGTGGCCACATGGAGCTGGCCAGAGGGGTGGGAGGCCAGCATGATGCCGGAATTGGATGAACTGTTCCACGCCCTTGCTATATGTTCCCCAAGTACTACTCGCAAAGGATGCCCCCAGGAGTCGGAGGGCTTCCGTGTTTATAGCCTCCATAGAAATGGTGGGACTTCCAGCCCGTCTTTGGCTGCTGAGGGAGCGACCTCTCGAAATCGATTCATCTGTGAACGGGAGAGCGCGTCAGCGATGTTATTATGTATTCCCGAAATGTGTCTGGCCTTGAAGCTAACGTTGTCATGGAGGCACTGGAGGACAAAGAATCGGACCAGTTTCATGATCTTCCCACATTTTGATGACTGTTTGTTAATTATTGAAACCACTGCCTCATTGTCTGACCTGATAATTATTTTCTTCCCGGCAAGGGATTTCCCCCATAGTGTGAGAGCCACAACTACTGGGAAGAATTCTAGCCAAGCGATGGATGGGTTGTCATCCTTGACAGATTGAGGCCAAATCCCGGTAAACCATTGGCCCAGAAAGTACCCCCCAAATCCTATGCCCCCACTAGCATCTGTGAATAGTTGAAGATCTTCGTCTAGTGCCCAGTACTGGTCAGGAATTATTGTCCTCCCGTTAAAGCTACGCAGGAACACCTGCCACATGTTCAGGTCTTCCTTCGCGCCCTTTGAAAGCCTAATTAGGTGCCAAGGTTGCTTTACGTTTTTTGTGTCGTCGATCAGTCTCCTGAGGAAGGCTCGTCCAGGAGAGACGGCACGGCACACAAAGGATAGGGATCCAATGAGTGATTGGAGATTTCTGAGGGTTATTTTGGAGGGACGGATTGCCTCCTGAATCTTTTTGGTGATGTTGATAAGTTTCTCTGTGGGGATTGACACAGTTTGCGATACGGAATTAATTTCCAACCCCAGGAATGTCAGTTCTGTGGTGGGAAGGACTGTTTTTTTTCGTTTGCTAGTGGCACCCCTAGTTCCCCACAAACTTGAATGAAGCAGTCCAACGTGCTCTGGCATGAGAGGGGGCCACCTAAAGTTGCCCCCCCGACCATCAGGAAGTCGTCCACATAATGGCAAATGTGTCCAGAACCTGAGCGTCTATTCACAACCCACTCAATGAAAGTGGAAAACTTCTCAAAATATGCTGGAGCGCATGCTGCTCCCATCGGGAGTGTTTTGTCAACATAGATTCTGTCCCGCATTTTAATGCCCAATAAGCAAAAATCATCAGGATGGATTGGCAGAAGACGGAAGGCTGACTTAATATCGGCTTTGGCCATCAGGGCCCCCCTCCCCGAGCTTACCACTAAGCTAACTGCGTCATCAAAGGTGGTGTATTGTACTGAACATAATTGTTTGTCAATGCCGTCATTGACAGAGTCGGATTCGGGATAGGAGAGGTGGTGTATCAGCCTAAAGCTGCCTGGGTCTGTTTTGGGAACCAGACCTATCGGGGAAATTCTAAGGTTTTGAATTGGACTCGTTTCGAATGGGCCCGCCATGCGCCCCAGCTGGACCTCCTTATGTAATTTATCGAGTGCTATTTCAGGGTTTTTTCTAACGGAGGATAAATTCTTAGAATCCCTAGCTATGCGGAGGCCGTTGTAACCCAATTTGAATCCAGTTGTGAACCCAGAGCGTAGCGTATTTGCTACCTTTGTGTTGGGGTAAATCTCTAGCCATGGTAAGAGACATTCTATAATCACTGGTGAATGCGCGAGGCAACATACGCAGTTGGGAGAGCTAGTACAAGGTTGATGCGGGGGAAGATGTGGGCTGAGCCCCCTAGGGACGAGTGGTATTTTTCTTGTTGGCAGGGGTTTTGCAAGCAGACGCCCCATGTCCGGTTGAGAAGCAAGCGGAGCATTTGTTGGGGAATGGGCACTGTACCCTTGAGCAGCCCGGTGTCCGATTGAATGCAAAGCAGATGTTACTGGTGCGGGGGGGTTGGCGGGATGGCCAGCGAAAAGAATTGTAAGCTCGTTTGGGTGCGACGAGTGGGGGCCCCCCTTGCCCGCCTGTGCCTACGTACGAAGGCCCTGGGGCAGCAATGTAGAGTGCCCACAGCTCCCCATCAATGATGGACCATGCCCTAGATGGGTGAAATTGCTGGCGCATGCGAAACTGCCGGTCGTATTCCAACCAACCGCGGCCAGTGAAGCGTGCAGCCGCCATGCGAACCACGTGCATGTATTTAAGTAACTCCTGCAACCGCACGGGGTGCGCACTGAGGAACACAGATGCAAAAACTAGGAATGCATCGGTCCATGCCAAAATGGAATTTATCTGCGTTTTTTTCTTTGTGTCAGTCACGCGTAATTGGCCTGACTTATCCAATGTGAATGTGAGGTTGGGAGGTTGTGGGTTAGGTCCGTGGCGGTCCAAGAGCGTGTCGAGTTCTAGAAACTCGCTTTTTACAATTTTTTCCTTGACCCCAGGTGATACCGTGCTCCCTAGGGGTTCACATATGGATAGTAGGGGCCCCCCTCCCCACTCAGGGTTAATGGCAGTGGTGGTTGGGTTGATCTGGTTGGACAGAGAAGGAGCAGGTTGAGAACTCATCATGCTCAAAATGGGTTGTGAGCTTGGGGTAACACAAACAGTAGCCATGTTGGCCATATTGGCACTGTACTCACCCGAGGTGGATGGGTTTTGGTACCCCTTGGCTGGCTGTCCAAGTTGGCCAGATGAGGTGGAAGACCCGGGTATGGGTGTAGTCGAAGGATGTGCCACTGGAACACCTTGAAAACCGGTGAAGTATGATGGGGCCATGCCACTGGCGTAGGCCTGCTGGTAGAGGGGATGCATGGCACCGGATGGGGCAGCACTCGGTGTGGGGATGGCCACTGGCGACGATGTAACCACGCCGGCAGGTGGGCTGGTGTATATGGGCGAAGGCCGTGCGAAAGCCGGCGGGGTGCCAGCAACGGGCGCCGGCGTCGCGGCAGTGGTGTATGTCGCGGCCCCCAGCTGCAAATTGCCACCGTGTGCGGCCGTTTCTTGGGCGGCTGGCCGTTGAAAGGAGCTGGAAGCCCCGCTCGAGTTCCCTGCCAGTGGTGTGGGTTGCTGGCTGGCCGGAATCTGGGGGTGGACCGGGCGACCGGCGGCGTTTACGGCCGTCGCGGTCACGCTGGTGGCTGCAGCGTGAGTACGTGTGACCTCAGGCGGTATGACCTCCGCTCCCGACGACAGAGGGCGTTGTTCCTCGGGACCGTAGCCTGCAGCATCGCTGTTGGCGACCGATGGCGGGTTTAGCAACGTCTGCATTGCTCTGGCTTGTGCTCGAGTTTGGCGAGGATGATGGCCTAGGGGACATTTTTCCCGCTGTCCGCCGTCCCTTGGGTTCTTGCGCTTGCGGCCTCTGTTACCCGGCATAATGCGGGGTTCTTGGGCGATTTGAAGAAGTCGAAAATTGTCGAAAGGTACGGAGGATTTTATTTTGTCGTGTGTGAAGCTCGGCGAAAGAAAGCGGAAAAGGGAGAAAAACGCGCGAAACAATGCCAGCCTGCCTAGTTCCCCCGCAGGGATTGGTTGAAAGTGTGCTGGCTGCAGAAAGTGGACCAATCAGAGATCCCAAACGATTTCTTGCCTACAAGAAGGCTGTTAGAATGTCCACTCACGCCCCCCTGTGCCAAAGGGGTTCTCCGGAGACGAGCACCGGAAAACCGTATTGTGTAAGTTTTATGTACGCAGGCATACGCATGGTACGGCCCAGTACGCCGGATAGTTTTGGGCATGCACAAAACTACGCTGCGTACGCTGTTACGCAGGTCATACGTTATAAATACGCAGCGCATCGGTCCTGCATCTGTCGAACGCGTTACGAGTACGCTATGTGTTCGTGGGGGATAAGCGGTTCATACGCGGTAATACCGCTGACCTCCCGGCACGCACCCCGTCAGCATATGAGCCGCTGTATACATAGCGTACTTGCAGCGAAGATACAGCGCGCGCTGAACGAACTCATAGCGAATGCTGACGTATTGCACGAATTAGTACCACTCGTCCTGCGAGTGGGCAGCGCACTGTACTTATTCGTAACTTATGAGAAATGCACAGATAGCGTACTTGCCGCAACTCATACGCATCTCATACGCAGTGGATGCGCTGAATTCGTTACTTGTACGCTAGATGTGCGTCGCACATAAGTCAAAGTGATCAAAACATTTCGACGTTAATTGAGCGTACGGCTGCGTATTGAAAAATTTTGATAAGGAACTCATAAGGAATTACGATATGCAAAAGTGTGACAGGGGCTTAACATTCCTGAAAATAATGGATGGTGCCGCCACTCTTTAGTTGTACCTTCCTTTGACTCTTTCACTATGGGATTACTCACCTTAATTAGAAGAATTTGAAACAGTATGCAATTAACTACTAGCTTGAATATTGGCTGATCATCTCACAGGGGGTGCAATTTCAAGCAAATATATCGGCTTCTTGTGCAAAAAAAGTTAACATGGTTTTATCTAGCTTGGGTCGGCGTGTCTTTCTTGGTGATTGCACACCCATTTTGAATTTTGGATAGTAAATAACTTGCTGTAACACAATGTTATTACAAGTGAAATAATAATAAATTCAGCCATCATGTTCAACATCCTGTTCTACTCAAGTGCACATGACATCATCACTGGTTCTTGATGGTTTTTATTTCTTTCTTTGTTTTGGTAGACCCAATTTGCATTGTGTATGATCCACAGTGCTCAGCTCATCTTTATAGACTGCGCCTATCCCAAGTTCTTTGCCTGCATCATCTGGTCATATGGCCTCATCTTCTTTGTCATGTTCATGGACTTCTACTTCAAGGCTTATAAGAAGGGGGCATTGGCATCAAAGAAAGGCGAGCAAAATGGTGTAGACAAGAGCAAAGTTCATTAATGAAGAGCCATTCTGTTGGTATCAGTGAACCGGTGCTAACCGGTTCTTACTGGTACCGACAGGCTCAGACCAGGTCTACATGTACCTAATTCTCACTTATTTTAAGTGGTATGGACTGGTCTTGGTTTAACAATCAGACTGGTTCGAATGATTTCTGACTTCCTGTGGACTTATTATTAAATTAGGCATATAATTGTTATTTATGGTTTGTAGTAACAATATATAAGGTGTGACTCACTGTAAAACATAAAGGTAATTCCCTATCTACCGTTGTGTTTGTATTGGCTCATCAACAGTTTCACGTGTTATGATAGCCGGTTTTAAAAATTCAAAATGTTTTAAAAAATGCTCCTTTGCAAATACATCAGTCATTTTATACCTTCAATATGAAGAACACATTGTAGGCTGGTGATATCATTCAAATTATTTATAGTTGATGTTCTAACACCTTTCCCACAGATTTTATTTCTTAATTGGCCGTTGTTTTTACTATTTTACCATGCATGACCAAAAAGACTGTACAGAGGCAGTCTGAAAATGTATTATGCACATAGCAACCAACACATCAACTGGAGGTCTGTGTGCACATGGATATAGGTGTACGCATTGCACGTACTGCTCCTGTGAGCTACAGAGTCTAAATCAAACATTTCATGAAGGAATAGTGTGGAGAAATTTTCAACTAACTTCAAATTCAAATAGAAGTGCATTTGTTTTGGCTTGTTGTTTAATTATGTGGATGAGGCATTGTAAATTAAATATTGACTACTTTAACTCGTAGTGCAGTAAAAATAGTCTCCCTCTGTGATCCATGGAGCACTCCATTTCCCTTAGCTTTGCTTTAGGAAAACAGCACGTTCCATAGATCACCTGGGTAGGCTAGTTTTACCACAACGCTTAATATAAATGATATATTATACATAATGCTTATTTCTATTTATGTCAATCACTGACGGCCATTTCATTCAAATAACCATAAAATACACACACAGTAAATTGTGCATAATTTTGAAGATGATCTTCATTCTGAAAATGTAGGTAGTAGCAACGGTCCTGTTTTACCTGATTTGTTAAGGTATTTTTTAAACACAACAAAATATCCTTTTTTGAATTATTTTATTATACCAAATTACAAAAAAATCTGAAATCAACCCTGTCTGACACTGATATGAGGGCAGCTGAATTGAGTTGTTATTTATTTAAGTTCAAAAATCAATAATGGAATTTGAAAAAGTGGCCATGTGATGCCTTTTTTTTAGATTAATGCACGACGATACAATGTGTGCTTTGCTTCATTTTTATACCTGTATATTCTAAATATTATAATCATATAAATGTAGAAGTATGTACCCCAATCATAATAAAATGACCTCTATTTTTTTAAGGGGGGGGGGCTTTTGTGAATTGGGTAGTTATACGGTAGTCTATCAGCATGTCCACCACTATTCTAGGTTTCTGTCATTAAAACAGTAGGTACTTTTCTGGGCACTTTCAAATGATCATATGCAACTTAAACAAGTCCAATTGTTTCTAAGAAATTGGAGGGAGTCCTAGTCATTCCATCAAGTTTTGAAGGCTAACTATTCCTAATTCATTGAAGTCCTTCAGCTGTACTAAGTGCAGCCAGAAATGTCGGATCATTGGTTGAGCAAATACCTGAGGCTGACAGAGTTTTTTTAATGTTCTTTGCACATTACAGTGAACAAAAACATTTCATTTTATAATGCCGATGATTGGAACGTTGAGCAGTGTTTCAGTGTGCTGTGTTCTGTGATATTTATTGTTATATTTTGACATGTTGAGAAGATGAATGTGTAACCAATTGCAAATGTATTTATTTTATCAATTTAGTGGATTTTTGTGACAATGTTTCCGCAGAAAGTAGTGAACTTGTATAAATAGCAGATAGTTAATTATGATATGTACCATCATTAAAAATCTGTAAAATAAGAAAAATGACATTGTATTTCAGAAATGTGTGTGAAAAATGTTGGCATCACCTGCTGCAATAAGATGATGGTCCTGGCAGGAATGTTATTAATGTATGACTGGGTTACACGAGTACATGTAATTAGTTAAGAACTGGAAAGTCACCCCCCCCCCCCCCCCCCAGAAATGAAGGGAAAGACCTTAGATGTGATGATATTGTTTTTTTGTTCATATGTGTGCTTTCCTATGGGAGTTGGACGAGGACCAATTCCCCTCATCTCTACCTGGCTCCTACACTAAAGCACATGTGTTGGAACAAAGCATTAGGCCATCATATTTCAGGGTTATTCCTACATGTAAATTGCGAGGTGTGTTAGTGTTAATTTTTCCAATTTTTTGGTATGACATGCATGTCATTGGAACATGTCAAAGAACATGTCATGAAAGGTCTAATATTTTGAAATCCAACCCGATTACCTCATGTGGTGTGAGTCATCAAGGACTAAATACAGTAGAGTGCTAATGAGTTCAAATTATGACTACGTATCCAGATAACATACCTAAGTGTAGACTCCTCTCACAAGTAACTCCTCACAGTGAGAAAGAGGGGAGATGTGATGGACACGGGGAGGCCTTTGCCACTGTGTGTAAGGTGCCCATCTAAATCACATCCGGTCGGTGCACATTTAGGAGGGCCGAGTTACAAGTGCATGCATGTACTTGGTGTCCTGCACACTTGAGCTTTTTGTTAGTTGGCCACAGTAATAGCTATTATTCCCATACATGCATTTATACCCACAAGGGTAATCTATTTGGAAATATGTGCTAATAAATGCTGTAATTGACCATGCATCATGTATTGCTATGTGGCTATTTCTTACTTGTTAGCTTGTCGGAATAGTTTATGAATATGTTTTGTTGTAGTCAAGTTCATCATAATTCCTCACAAGTCCATTACAAATCCACCAATCTAGTCTCAAATCAATTCTCAAGTAAAATGAAATGTGACAAAAGGCTTTCCTATCCCATATTACTTGTGACTTGACTTGTGGAAGGACTTGTGATGAACTTGAATACAACACTGGAACATATGACAGTTTAAAGCCATGTACATGTACATAGATTATTTAAGGCTTCATATATATGTACGGAGAATGTCACACCTCAAAAACAATGTACATGGCCCTCTTGAGCCTCCATACAGAGAACACTATTACCAAATCAAACGAAGGAAAAAGATCAATGCATTCACTTGAACTTGTACAACTAAAATGTCTTTATTATCTGACTCATTTCATGCTTCAAACACAAAGGATACACTAGGGATATCATTCTTCACAGCACAACTGTGCTAGAAAAACCTAGTAGAAGTTGCACAACAGGGAAGGTGTCATTGGTGAAAATACAGCAAACAAAAATTATATGTTTGTCAATAAGATGGTTCGAATCTATTCATCCTGTGGACCCACTGCAACAATTGTTTAATATGTTTAAAACTGAGTATATCTGATGACATGGGTGATGAACAAATGTCTGATTCACTTATTGGCAGATAGTTTCAGCACACAACATTATAAAGTTACTCAAGAAGTGGCACAGTCAAAGAAATGACAATTGATGCAATATGATACACATGTAACATCACAATCAAGCAATCCCCTCCAATTTAATACAATGTATGCAATCTCTCCCCATGTCTTTTCCAACAAATTCCAGAATCATGAACGGCATCATCTTAAGTTCTCTTTAATTCAATTTCAATCTTCAACTGAACTTTAAACTTCCTTGAAAATCTGTTTTCATGTTTCTTTTTTTTTTGAAATCTTACTAAACACACACATCTAAACAATAAAAGCAACTTTGTTTCAATCTTTGAGCTTTTCCTTTTCCTCTCGTAGCCTCTTCCTCTTAGCCCGTGCTAGCAATCGCTTCTCTCGTTCGTACTCCTTCATACGCATCACAAAACTGCAGGAGAAAGTGAAAATAATTTCTTAAAACTGTGAAAAAAAATTTGTTAAAAATGTTCATTCAACAATGCATTGTGTTGGCAAGGCAGTCAGAGTTTCTGCCTCCTCCCTCACATGACTAGGCTAGGTGAGGACAGTATCTGCAAGCAAGTAAACAATTGAGGTTGGCTTTTCTCTAGGGACCTCATGGGCTGAGAAATGACTGACAATGTGAAGGGATGATAACTAGCACATCAAGTGAACAACATAAAGTTGTAAATGAACAACATACAGAAGAAATAAACAATGTTTGCTTTTGCTGTAATTTCCAGAAATGGATAGATTTGGGAAGTAGTATTTTATAGCAAATGTTGATACACTGAGCTGTTTGAACTTTTGAGTTCATAAATGCTGGGAAAACCAAGAAAAAAGTGACGTTCTTTTAGTATGGTTCCCTGAACCTACTTCGGAATTCAGATGAAATGGAGCAGTTTGTAGATCATTAGGTCATGGGAACCAGACTAGAAGACTTGCACTAGTTCACGCATGTGTAACCGATTGCAAACAAAATGTGGACTAACTACATTTGGTAAATTAGGGGCAGTTGTAACCAAAAAAGTTTTTTTTCAATGATGGTAAAATACATTTGTTTTAAAGGGAATGTACAACATTTGCTTTTGCTGCAATTTTCAGAAATAAATGGATTTGGAGGATTAGTATGTTATAGCAAATATTGTTAAAATGACTTGTTTCACGATTGGGCTTGTAGATGCTGGAAAACCAAGAAAACCAATCATGTTCTTGTAGTCTGATTCCCTGACCCCACTTAAGATGAAACAGAGCAATTTATAGACTTCGGGGAATTGTAAGGTCAGAGAATCAGTCTAACAGGCTTGTACCCCTTCACAGGTGTGTAATCAATTGCAAAGAAAACGCAGAATAACTAATTATGAAAAATTAGGAGCACGTTTTGAAAAAAGCCAGTTTTCTCCAACGACCAGCATTGGAAAAATCCCATTTTTCATGAAAATGACAGCCTACCAGGAGCCACGATTTTACAGAATGTTTTAGACTATCATTCCCTAACAATCCAGGAAGGTATTTCGTGATAATTTGATCATTTTGTTTCGTAATGTTTGCAAATGTTGTATCTTCCCTTTAAAGGTAATATACAACATTGTTTGCAAATGTTGTATATTACCTTTCAGCATGCATCATCACTATCATTAACTTCACTCATTTGTAACTGGGTTTGAGAAAAGCAGGCAAAAAATGTTTTTAAAAAAACCAAGAGGCTTTTGCACTAGCTACATAAGAAATCTTTTATGAAGGCTGGGCTGGTAACAACTTCCCACTTCTTTAAACAACATTATCTACAGTTGTTTGTGAATTAAGGCAAGTTCAAACATACTTCCTGTGAATATGAGCAAACATGAATGCAACTTAACAAATTGGACACCAAAACATAGTTGGGAAACTTGGTCTACTTTTCTAAAACCCAATAACAGTTACTAGTTTTTTTCACATGGAGTGATGTGAATATACTTACTCTCCATATTCACAGTGTTCATAGTCATGTTTTGAATGCTTGCAGGCAAACACGTTGGGGAAGTTGTCTCTTCTACACTTATACCACGCAATGAAGAGATGAGCACAGTAATCTCTGCGATCCAGAGGGACTTGAGCTTTGTTCATTTCCTCCTGCGTTGCAATCATCACTGAAAAGGGAAGGAAAAACATTTGAAATCAATCTTTCTACCAACAAATTCTACAAGTGGTACAAGGAACTTTGCTGCCTTTTTGGATGCAGATAAGCTATATCCTGCCCTTGTTTAGGGAGGGAGGGGGCATAGCTTTTTATTTAATGCATTTCCCGAGTTGCGAACTTTCCAAATTTCAAATAAGTTACTGTTTAATTATTTATAACAGTATTTATTTATGCATTACAAATGGAAGCATCCTACTTTTTGTAAATCTGAAAATGTTAGTGTATGGGATAACATACACTGTAGTCTGATACCCTGTCCCCATTGTTCTTCGGACTTCAAATATGGGTACATACAGGTAGCTGGCAGTGAATCCAGAATAGGCTCTCCTTATAGTGTATGCAAATAATATGCATGACGTGTATATTAGCAATAGGCCACGAATAGCAATAGGCCACAAATATGCAGTTTGGGAGGTGATGAGCTTTGATTTTTGCCGAATTCGAAAGTGTCTCTGGCAAATGTCAATAAATAGAGGGGCATTACAGTTCAGTATTTATAACCTATGCAGTTGAAATGCTTGAAAGTTGCCTTCATGGAGACTGTCACGTGCCGCGTGACAATTTGGAGTGTTTTTATGCGAGGTTGGAGCATGGAGTTGTTGTTATTGACGCCACGTTTACGTGTCTACATCGCATCCAACTAAACACCAAACCACTTCTCACATGGCCCTGCATTCTATAGTTGCTCCTAGCCCCCTAAATGAGGCCAATTTACTGGACTTCCTCCGTAAATAAAGGCCACACTTGGAACATGAACCTGAAAATGTAGAACCTTGTCAAGTTTTAATTTTCACATTTAGACTTTGTTTGTAGTTTATTTATGCTTTAGAAGCACACTCACCCTCTTGAAAGCGATAGAAAATTAGTCCCCCCTTTTTCAGATGTCATTTTGTGTTGGAATTTAGATACGCTAACATGTGCAAAATTAACCTGGAAATTACACGAAATACAGACGTCTGAAAAAGGGGGGATTAATTTTCTATCGCTTTAGATGGTGAGTGTGCTTCTAAAGCATAAATAAAATACAAAGTCTAAATGTGAAAATAAAAACTTGACAAAGTTCTATCTTTTCGGGTAGGCCTACATTACTTCCAGAACTGTAAGGTACAGAAAGACCAATTGAAGTTGCTGTAGCAGAAAATTCTCAATTTTTTCAAAACTCCAAAATCTCCTGTCACAAAATGTTTGACCTCAGTATTTCATAAGTATTATCTTGATGTGGATTGGTACCTCTGGGGTGGGTTGAAATTCCTCAAATGTCAAACAAAAATGTGAAATTTACCAGAAGTTCGTTCACCAGGATCATTGGATTCTTGCACTCGGTCGTCTCTCATCATTTGCCGTCGACTGAGGGCGTTTTAATTCTCTTCAACAACTACAGAGCAGCTTTCATTTCATCGCGCGAGGCACAAAGACACTCTCGGAATGAAATCCACGCTGTAGTTGGTCAAGAGAATTAAAGCGCCGACGAGAGACGGCTGAGTGCGAGACTCAAATGATCCTGGTGAACAAAATTCTGGCAAATTTCACATTTTTGTTTGACATTGGAGGAATTTCAACCCACCCCAGAGGTACCAATCCACATCGAGATGAATGTCAGTCACTTCGGCACCTAGCCAACTCGGCACCTGCCAACTCAGCACCTTGTCCACTCGGCACCTTGCCAACTCGGCACCTAGTCGGCACCTAGCCAACTCGGCACCGAGCCAACTCGGCACCCAAATTTTGCCTCTTTCTCTTTCTTTTTCTTTCTTTTAATATGTATGTATGGATTGCTGATACCCTTAGCATTGTTCTGGGTGATGTGCATATTCAACACATTGTATTTGGAATCCATACCTTTCATAGGCCTATCACAAAGAATGAACATATACCCTTGGCTTTGGTTTCACCCATGTTCCAGCATGAATATTGAGAAAGGCATATTGTGCACACAAGACATTGTTATATTTCAAATTTCGCTTTTTTTAACAGAGCTGCTCAGCACAGATGGTCAGCACTATTGGCCTATAGTTTTATCCATTCAGCCAAAAATTGTGTATTCACAACAAGGACGAGGTTTTATTAAGTGTGTGCATGTAATCTTTCATTTGGTTAATGTTGTAATTTGCATAACAAATTCAGAGACCTTAAGTGTTGGCGTTACAAAATTCAGATCATTACTTGTCTTTCAGGTTTTATGAGAGCATTGCATGAATTCAGTGAGGTTTCATGTTTTATTCCCTTTTTTACTTTGTCTGTTAGTTTTGTGTTGTCATGGTTGTTTTTGGAATTGACTTGAGCTCTTATTTGGAATGTTAAATTGGCCCAATGATCAGGGATAATAATAATACTGTAAGCGCTGTGATTTAGTTTACTAATAAGAGCGTTCTTAAATGCCAATTATTATTATGATTGTTATTATTAATTACAAAATCCTCAAGAAATCCACAAAGCCGGGCAAAAAGAGTGAACTTTATTTCAGTGATAACTAAAATTGAAATAAGAAAAGGAAAACAGAAATTTCGGGTGTACATTATCGCAAATCATGTGGCAGGGTTTTATTTAAACACGGACATTTTGTAGAGCAGTAGACATGGTAGAGCTAAGTTCAAACATTTACTTGTAGAGCACTCAATGTCTTTCTTTATTAAAAAAAAAAGATAATGTTAATTACACCCAGTTGCAAATTAAAACATATAAGGTCCATCTTGGTTGCCGCACAGAAATAACACGCACCCTTAAGGCTTATACAAAGCAACATCCCTACATTTTGTGAGGGATTATCTGAATAAAGGTTTTGTATTTTTAAAAGGAAATGTTGAAAAAAAATCATATTAATCAACATTACATACAAAAACAATAGGATAGTGAAACCATGGAACTAAGATCCCCAAATGCCCCCCCCCCCCCCACTCAAATACTCAGGAGAGTGCAAGATACTTGATAGTTAAACCCTAGTCCATAATTAAACTCCCTCAGTCATGGGAAGTTCGTGGTGGAAAAAAACAAAACAAATGCCATGCAAACTAGATAACAACGCCGTCACAATTTTGTAAGCCCGCGATTGCCATTTGCTAACATTATACGTACACTTTACCTTGCGCACGCAAGTTTAAACTTGCGCAAGGGTCTTAAATTGCGATCGCCTTTTAGTGGGGGGGCCAATGTACTTCCGTTGGCATGTCATGTTAATTTATGGCAACCATTATAAATGTAATCTTATGAGTCCTGAGAACAAGAAAATTGATGTTGCCATTTTTTCCATTGACCTTTAAATACCTTGACCTGAGGTCAAAGTTCATGGGTCATTTTCACCTAAAATTTGCCTTTCGGAAGGGTTTGCGAAGATTTTCGAGGCAAGTGAGCACATATTGTATTTGGTTGAGAGTTTCTCCATAATAATAAATGTTATTATTAATGTATTTATGGGTTTTCCTGAAGAAAACATGGGAAAATGTCACTTTTGCCCGAAAAGGGCTGGGTTGTTTTGACCATCTCACGCAGATTCCGGCCCCCCCCCCCCCATGACCTCGGCCATCGAGTGACGAAAAATTATGAAACTTGGTACATGCATAGAACAACATAACATGAACAAACCCAAGAAATTTCATGACTATGGGTTAAAGGGTTTTGGAATTACGGCTAATTAATTATTCATAAGCACGTATGGTAATTCAATTGTGTACACTACGTATGTGGGGAAATTCAGTTTTGACGGAGAGTAGCGCCGAAAATATTTCGCTGCGCGGCAACCTGTGGTTCGAATTTTGTTTTTGGTATCAAAAGATGTGCAAGACTCGAGGCTAAAAAGTCAGGACAGCTCAGGCCGTGAAATGAATAATTTTTTTCAAGAGTATCGCGGAAAAAGTTGAAAGAGGGAAAATCCGCCCCCCCCCCCTTTTAGGGCCTAAATATGACCAACCCTTTAGTGCCTGGCATCTAAATATGAAATGTTGTAAAGTGTCCTCTGCAGTACCACACTCGCACAGGGTGTTTGTCGGTTGAGGAAAATCCCCACTTCTTTTGGTGCGAGCCACTCCAGAGCGGAGGTGATTTAAGCACCTCCAGGTCTTCCATCCTGCATTGGATCCTGCAGGTAAGGCTTCTGCAGGCTTGATTGGCATCTCATGTAGTGGGGGAGACGCCACCAGTCTGGTCAACCCAGGAGGCACACACTTGGGTCTTAATAGCAGGGTTGATCGCTTTCAGGTGACTCACAGTGAAGCACTGCTGTGACTGGTCAAGAACATCGGTCAACGTCTTCCCTTGGGGGACCGTGCCTTTGAAGACGTACTCTACTCTGCCTTTGAATACTACAACGAAACGATGGTTCTTCAATAGAACACCAATAAACTGGATAAGGGTCAGGTCTGCTGTCATGTCCAGGATCTTCTGAAGGGGTCAGCAACGGTTAACACTGTCAAAAGCAGCTGTAAGATCAACAAAGACAGCGCCGGTGATATATTTTTTCTGATGGAAGCAGTCCTTAATGTACTGAGTGAGGTTTAGAAGCTGTCCCGTTGTAGATTTGCCGGGACGGAAGCCTGCCTGCCTGTTCCTGTATCAGTTGTTTCTCAATGAAGAGGCAAGAAGGTTGAGGAGGAAGTATTCCAGCAACTTGAATGTGTGACTTTGGGACGATAAGTTTTGACATGCATTGGGTTTTTTCCGGGTTTTAGGAGGGCGATGACCTTCGACTTTTGCCACACTTTAGGTATTGTTTGTGTGGCGAGGCAGGTGTTGATGAGCTGGAGTAACCAATTTGAGGCGTTTGGTCCAAGATGTTTCAGTTCTTTGGTGAAAATGTTATCCAGTTTGGTTGATTTCCTGTTCTTTATTTATGCCAGTCGCAAGTTCATTAGCAGAGAAGGATTTGATGAAGCCAATAAGGTCGATGGCGGGGTCTTTCTGGCGGAGCTTGGCTTTCGGTCGCTTATCAGGAGAACGTGGCACTTTACCATTTAAATAGCAGTTGTTGTGGGCTATTTGGTTGGCGGTGATGTTACAATGCTGTTCACTTGGCTGAGCTTTTTTTATATTATACTCCAGGCTTGGAGGCCATATATTGGCTTCTTGGCCATATTGGTGGTTACCACAAGGGTTTGCCACAAGCTTTGAAGCTGTTCTGATATGGCTGTTATTAATTCCTCCCCAGATGAGATGGTATCGACAGCAAGAGAGTCGTTTTCATACATGCGTCTCTATTTCCTGTAAAGTTCAGCACTACGGGATGCTGCTAGGCCTGGGATGTAATCAGTGCGGCAGCCCCTAGGGATGTTCTTGCAATTACAGTTTCACCAATGACGATGCGGTAATACTGTGAGTAATCGTTTTGGCTGACAAAGTGTGCAATTGAGGGCTTTTTGGTGGGGTATGCCTGAGATCAAAATCACTTGTGAAATGCGATCAAAACCTCGGTTTGCTCCATAATTATACTCCCCCGATCAGTCGGCACTATTTTGGAGCTATACGGCACTATTTTGGAGCTATTTTACGGCGGGAAAAAGACTGTTAATAGTAGTAGTAGAAACATTTATTCAATGTTGCCATTTCCACACAATAAAATGTTACAATGCCGTGTAAACATTATTATACAGAATAAAATGCAATGAATTATGTAATTGTGTATTTACGCTTACTTGAACAGAATGCTTGTAAAATGAGGATTTTGTTTTAAAATTAATATTTAATTATGGTTTTCCCAGTTACTTCAACAATTGTATAATATAGCATTCCTTGGAAAGATACTTTAATTTCGTTCCAGAACGTCGTTGGGCTCCATTGTTTATTCCGAATTCGAATGTAATTCCTATTATGTCTCCAGTGTAATTCGCAAATATAATATAAAGCATTCAGATTCGTCCACGTTTCGGGAAATTCGTCTAATGTGGAGATAGGTGTTGAATTAAAAAAACATGCTTTATTATTTTTTTAATTTGTTATTCGTAGTTTCGTTTCCTTTCGTTTCCTTTCGTTTCCTTTCGTACTTTCGTTTCGTTTCGTTTAGGTATATGTTCTGATACCTTTATATTTGCGGGCCGCGTTCCTGTACTTCTGTCAGAAGTCAGCACAGTTAATCAAAAGACATCGTCGGCAATGTGTTTTTTTAGTTTTTTTATTTTCGTCTTTAAATCTCTTCGTACATTTCTGTTCCTGAATATATTGTAGTAAATTTTGTAATAAATTGTGTGTAGGGCCTACCTATATTTCCTATGAATCCCAAGTAAAATTAATACAATAAATTAATGCAAAATTATATTGAGCATTATTTTCTCTCGCCCATTGTTGAAAGTCTCGAACGAGACGATGATGGATCCATAATTTTACCTGATTTCAGTGTTCCTTTTTTTCTCAAAGAGAGAAAATTTATTTTGTCTGACAAGTCTTGCTTTCTGGTAGTAGGCCCTACTTTCAAACCTGTGAAATCATTGGCTGTTCTTGACTAAACTAATCACTCTCGCAAAACACAGCATTGTTAATATTGTTTGTAAAAAATAATGAGGAAGTTTGAGGGGAAAAAAACAATGACTATACCGGTACATGTTTTTGAACATTTTGAAATAGGCCTATATACCTTTTGTCCGGAACAGCAATGTGTTTACAATCTATCCAGTTCCCTTTCCCACACAGTTCCTGAATAAATTAACCTCGAAAAAAATACACTTTTTTGTAAATTTCAGTTGCCAGTAGGCACTGAGAGCTATGGGTTTTTAGTATCTGCGCAAATTCACATTTTCAAGAACTTGTATTCTAATAAACTGTTATGTTGAGAAATTGACTCCTACTTTTTTCACTTTAGTCATGAAATTTCTTGGGTTTGTTCATGTTATGTTGTTCTATGCATGTACCAAGTTTCATAATTTTTCGTCACTCGATGGCCGAGGTCATGGGGGGGGGGGCGGAATCTGCGTGAGATGGTCAAAACAACCCAGCCCTTTTCGGGCAAAAGTGACATTTTCCCATGTTTTCTTCAGGAAAACCCATAAATACATTAATAATAACATTTATTATTATGGAGAAACTCTCAACCAAATACAATATGTGCTCACTTGCCTGGAAAATCTTTGCAAACCCTTCCGAAAGGCAAATTTTAGGTGAAAATGACCCATGAACTTTGACCTCAGGTCAAGGTCACTAAAGGTCAATGGAAAAAATGGCAACATCAATTTTCTTGTTCTCAGGACTCATAAGATTACATTTATAATGGTTGCCAAAAATTAACATGAAATTTCGACGGGAACCCAAATCTGCACATTGGCCCCCCTACTATTTGCGCAAGTTTGTAGTTTGCGTGCTTCGAGAGTCACTCGCGCAGTTAAAACTTGCGCGCGCAGGTTTAAACTCGCGCGTGGGACTCAAATTGCGCTTGACAGATGTGCGGATAAATGGAGTGTGTAGCGGGACATTCTATACAGAATGCACTGTAGAGTAAATACCTAGCGCCCCTTAGGCTCATAATGGTACAGCCCATATGTCCTATTGCATTGTGGGAATGTTTAGACCATGCTTCATCATAAGCCTGTTGCGGGTACCCAGGTACCCGCCCGCGGAGGCCAAGAACCGTCTCCATTTTATTGGGTCGGGTACCCGTAACCAAATTTATAAATTTCGACGCAACATCCGAGACAAAAAAAAACCACAAGTACACATGTACATGCATTCAAATATTACTAACAGAAGATTTACAAAGTTCAGAGTGAGTTTACCGACGATTCCAAACTCCATTTTGCGGTTTATAGTTTGTTTTCAGTTTTATTTAGACTTTGATGCGTCTCCAGATGCCCGAAAGTGGCGAAACACGATAGTATCAACCCATTGTTTGTATTTGTAATAAAGCTTCTTGTAGCCGCTAGCCAGGAAATCATCTTCTCTGATGCCACAGATGGCGGGTAGTACCCATAACAAGTCCGTAACCTAAGATTTACAAAGTCCAAAGTGAATTACCGACCATTCAAAAAACTCCTTCTTGCGGTTTTTAGTTTGTATTCAGTTTTGTTGACTATCTTTGAAGTTTGAATTGATGCGTCTCCAGAAGCACGAAAGTTGACCCATTGTATGTGTTTTTAATAAGTTTCTCGTAGCGAGATGCCAGGAAATGATCTTCTTTGATGCACCGCAGATGGCGGAATAAACAAACGATACTAAGTGATTGGCATTTTAATTGCAGTCACGCACAATAAAAAAAGATGACAAAATGTAAGCCTAAGTTACTTTGCTGTGTCTGTGTGATTATTTCTTGTCCCTGACATTCCCTGTCTCATAACCTTAATGTCCGGTGATCATCATGCCACGTTCAGGAAGTAGCCACGTTTGGTCAGATTTTGAGAAAAAGTCAAAACTGTTTGTTAATTAATTGTTTTTCTTTAACCCGATTTTTTTTTTATGTACGATGTCTCAAAACCTGAGAAAGTTTTCAGGGCATTTATAATTTCCTATGATCGAACAAAGTGTAGAAAAAAAAATATACCATTAACAACAAATGATATAATAAAAAAAATAACCGCCCGCCAATATTTTCTGCGGAACTGGCCAATCACAACGCACGTACTGTACTGACTGCCGTGCCGGTCGTCGTACGCATGCCTAGCCGAGTAAGCCGACCATGCTGCGCGATCTGCATGCATGCTACAACCAGCGCTGCAGTCAGTGGGCCACCTGGGCTGAGGTGATGGCCGGATGGACTCACTGGAGAATACACAACGGGGAGCTCTTGGAAGTTCGCCGACTTTGTCATCGATGTCTTCAAACTATCACCTTGCGTTTCTTTTATTTCATATTCATAAAACTCAGACCTGTGCTGTATATAATAGACATTGAATTTGCAATTCCTATTTTTTACTGACAAATCGACCTTTTGCAAATCGGTATACCTGCACAGAAAGCATTATAGAACACAATGGGGCATTTAGAAACGAAAGCACTTACTTCCGGGTTGGCGTTATAAATGAAAAACACTTACTTCCGGGGTTTTTTTGGAGGGGGGGAGGGCTTTTACGGGTACCCGGGTACCTGACCTTGACTGGGAAAGGGTAGCCGGTTCCAGTCAAAACCGTAAACAAAACAGGCCTACTTCATCATGGCTGCCATTCAGCCATGACATTTCTATGTCGATGTTAATAAAGATAGTATTACTAGTAATAGTAATCATGTAAAGCCAAGACGAGTCCGCAAGAGTCCCAATCCCCTCCATCCGAACCTGGTAATGGTCGGTAAGACCGTTACAAGTGGCCCTGTATAAAAGTGTATTAGTTGTACACAGGTGAATTCCTGCATGTCAGCTGGAGTTACTCAAGCATTGTCAAGCTAGAGCTACATGATTATATATGAGCTGAGTGGAATAGTGTCGTAAATACACGGCGATACGTTAGCCTCGCCTAATAAAAGTTTGAGCAAACGTGGGCACTCACCCCTTTCTTCTCTACCCTCTGGGAACCCATAAAGTGGATTAAAAGTTGGTAATTTGTGCAGATCAGGAGCAGTGTCCGGACTAGTCACGTATGCAGACCACACATGCCCCATTTTAATTGGGACTTTGCAAGTTTTGCACTGTTTGCTACTGTCCCGTTATAAGCCCATCGATCTCAGGCTAGGCTAGGCCAACATCGTCCCCAGGGTGTCGAGCAGTACGCGCCCACCACTACCTGCTCTCTGGAAACGCGGCTGGAAATAAAGTAAGCACTGGGGACGAGGTTGAGGCTAGGCCGACGTCGATATCTCAAAGTTTGCGAGAGCGCCCTCTGTTGAGGATTGTCGCCCGCGCTATCAGAGTGACCGTTTTAGCCGATTTTCGTCAGACTTTGACAGATTTTTTTTTTTTTTTTTTAAACCAAGTTTGACAGAAAATTTGACAGAATGGATTTTTTTGCAGATTTCTGGCGGAATTCTGCAAAAATGGTTATTTGACAGAAAAACACAGCAAATTTGAAAAATATGGTACATTTGTTTTAAAGAAGCTTCAATCTTTTCAAACAAACCCTTGCATAAAAATGGGACAGGTTGGCAACTGCATGCGTTTTGTCTGAAATTTTTATGTGACAATAGATTGTTTATAATGTAATTTGAACCTTAATTAAGGCAATACTCATAGAGCTGTATAATACAGCTCTATGGCAATACTACAAATCTGTATTGCAGATTTTTGAATCGCATTTAGCAGAATTTGGTCATGACCTTACGGTCACCTAGTCTATGTAATAGACGCTCGTACGGAGCACACGGCGCGCTCCGTAGAACGGGTGATACTCAGACTAACGGTCACCCTGCGTATTATGCAAACGCAAACACACGTGCACATGACATGACAATCGTCACTGTGATGATGATGAATGTTTTCGTAGATGCTCTTAATTTCGCCACCCAAAGACCTTACTCTTGTGTTTTCGTATTCACTTTAGTATTTGTTAGTTATTGGTGGAACTGGTGGGGTCTGTTTGAAAGTGAAACAATGGTAAGATTTGCTATGCTTGCTAGATTCATATTTCATGTATTGTTGATGTACCCTAACGTGGCGCGGCCCCTAACAAGTAACATGCCTAACGTGGCGCACTTTTATTTTTCGCCTGTAGCGCCTAGCTAGAGCAAAAGTTTTAACTGAAATTTCACAGAAAGTGAAATTTCATCAAGTTCTAAACACTCCCGTTCATCAATCGCGAGTTTATTTACCCGTTACAAAGTTAAAAGAAAAAATTATTTTGGCGTGATTTTCCGATTTTATTTTCATGTGCAAAGTGAACACTTTGAAAATGCCCCGAAAAATAAGAAAATAATTTTCTGAAAAACATGTGGCTGGGTTTGTAAGTAAAGATTATAATGATTTATCAGAATTTATCAAGTTTACAGAAATTCTTAAATGTTAATTTGGAATTTTCTGAGATTTATTCAAGTGCGCCACGTTAGGGAACACTCCGCCAATTTGTGCCCAATTTCCGGATGCGACCGTTTTTGCATTTCGGATTAAATTTTATGAAACCGGAATTGTTCACAACTTGGTTAAATAGCAAGCATTAAAAAGGTAAAAGTACTAGTATTTCATTGCATGAATTTGAGGTTTATCAACAAAGAGGTTTGGCAACACTACACGAGGAAAGTTGGGTAAGCTTCGAAGTGCGCCACGTTAGGGCACACGAGTATAGGGCTATTCATCATTAATTTTGGGAAAAAATGTTGCAACCTGATGCCACCCATCTTACACGATCTAAGTGGTCCCTGTTTACCTGTTTCGCATTTCCATAGTAACATGCTATATTGTACGTCAGTACACTTTGGATTAGGGCCCAATAGAACAAGACCAAAATTGTCTTGTCTACATGAAGATTATTCAGCGTTCTCAAAAGTACAATCTTTGTACGAGCGGTTCATGTCGTTCTGCTTTCCTTCGAAAGTCAAATATCAGTTCTTTTGTTTTGGATACATTCAACTGAAGGTGATAAGCACCGCACCACTCAGTAAATCTCCTCACAGCTGCGATGTAGTCATTTGTTTTCTCCGTTGTTAGGAAATTAGTAACTACCGTATCGTATATTTGATAATAGTGTATGTTTCATTTTCACTAAGGCATTCACTTGTGTACAGGGAAAACAATGTGGGGGATAGAACGCATATAACATCTCTCTGGGGGGGGGCGATGATGCATATCTGTGGATCAAGAAAAGTGCTGACTAACATTAGGATATTACCATTTCCTGTTACCAAGCTTATACAAGGTTATCCCTTTGATAAAAGGGGAATTACCCATGGAGCAGATCTATAGAAAACAAAACGGTTGGCTTATTGTGGTTCAAAAATGAATAGCAACCAGTTACATTAAAGTTTTCCAGGCATGAATAGAAAAGTAGTGACTCATGATTAAGTTGCAGTATTGGTTTTCCCGGTTGGTATAATTAATAGATTTTGTAGCCAAATTGATGATGACAAATCACCCACTTTCACACGAATTTGGATGCGGTTTAGATCAACATTTCTTCAAAATAAAACTAAAAGCATGCAATTGCAATTATCAACAATTGAATTACAATAATAGTTCATTCAATTATAATGTCATATTGGGTCAATCAAATTCGTTGTAGCTTCATGTTGCGTCAGTTGTGGTTGTTTGAATTCGCCAAATAAAGCAAGCATGCGTGAAATGTGAGCAAGGGAATTCCAAACCAGTTCATGTAATTAACTTGTTCTTCAGAGTTCAATAAAGTGTCTTTGTTCCAATTTGAAAATAACAAAAAATGTTTCCGACAAGACTCAGCCACAAAGCAGCAGCCACAAAATAATCATATTGATCCCTTAAGTTTTGCATAAAAAGGAAGTTGACTTGGTGATGTTTATGAATTGAAGCATGTTTAAGGTAAAGATAATTGAGAGAAAAGTTTAAGGTTAAAGAAAAACCCAGATCGCAATTTATAACTACAGAAGATAAAAGAGCAAAAGGTACCGTAACAATTTAGAACGTATAACACAAAAATAAACATGCATGTGAACAGGGTAAAAAGAGGGCAAAGGATCTCTAAGTTTAACTTTATACTCAGTAATTTTTTTTTATATATCTACATAGTTTACTGTTATGTTTCATGTTTAATTTTCTCACATCAATACATTTTACCTTTAGATTTAAGACGGATAACAGATACTTTGAACATATAACAAGATGAATAAATTTCACTCTATGCACATGTACAGCTTCTCTTAATAATGTATCCACTGTCAGTGTTAGAGTTCCCCTCTTCAATTGTCAGTACAACGATCTGCTATTTCAATTTGTAAATCTGTACTGTACCAGTTGCAAAACCTTGACATTACCTTTCTCATTCAGCCACTGAAAAGATTGTTCATACCCTCATATCATCTTGTTGAGACTGCTGCAACTCACTTCTTAACGAATTATCCCAAACACAGCTTGCATAATTACAGAAACTACAGAACACAGCTAGCATAGATGTAGTACAAGTCGTAAAACTCACACAACTCCAATGTTGCATTCCTCAATTGGCTGCCTGTACAATTTTGAATAGTTTACAAATCACTGCTTGTTTTTTATTTGGTTTTTTTTTTTTGTTTACATGGTTCTACCCCTGAATACAATTCGTAATTTGTTAATTCATTAAAACCCTTCTCCATGTGTAGGTGCCTTGGGTCTTCAAATTCATCCCTGCTTGCAGTACCCAAAACTATATTTGGGGACTGATCCTTTTCTCAATTAGGACCTATTGTATGGTACAAACTTCCACAAAATATCTGTAATATTCTACCTCAATTTTATTCTACCTTTAATTTTTGAATGTGCTCTGAAGACCCATCTTTTTCAAACAGCATTTAAATACATTTAGCTGCTTTGTTTGGTCCTCATGTTGTATTTTGTGTATTGCATTGTTCCCTCCCTTTTTATGTTGAACTTACATGAAGTTAATTGTTTCTCTGCACCTTAAGCGCATCACCTTGATGTGCTGTACATCAGGGCTCAAAATACCTACATGTACTTGATCACGAAACAGAAACCAGTGATAATTTAGGTGCCATTAAAGTGTTTTTTTTATGACCGAGGAAGTGATATGAAATTTGAATCTCATTTAACTAGAAGTCGAATGTTCGTCTTACTATGAAATATTGGTACGTTTAGAGTTCACCTTAATTTTTCCCCCTGCTTTTTAAAAGGGTCATTCAGAATAGTCAATGTTTAAAATTTTCGATCTTTTTCGAAATTGATTTGACCCACCCATCCACCCAAATTTTTGATTTTTAAATGTTGAATGGCTATTAAATATATCATATACACTGAAGAACAAAGTAATGCTACAAATGAAGCAGACATTTGAGGTTAATGCTGTCCTAGCTCAGGAGTTTTCAATGGCATTTAACTCCAGGCTTCCAGCATGCAACTTTGTAGTTGAAACAGAAGAGGAAATTGCCAAGCACGCAAAACGTTGTACAATGTTTTCTGCATGTATGACAGCATAGCGGTACTTTCCCCACTCTCCACCGCTGTGACCTGGGTTCGAATCCTGCCTGGGCCAGTATGGATTGGGTTTTCGGTCCCTACCTGATTCCGTGGGTTTTCCCTCGAATATCAATTGCCGAATAATTACACATATAAACAGGTAAATACAATAATACACCCGGAAATTCCTGGGAGCGTAAACTTCGGACATTTTCGGAAACGGGAAGAATTCCTCCCGTTTGGTCACTTGACATTGGTGGCTGCCTGACCTAAGATTCATTGGAAATAGTCAGAATCTAGGTTAATAATAGGCCTATATGACAACGGAACAGCACAGACATGACAGACAATCTCTAACAGGCCGCTGTTCCCCCCCCCCCCCCTCTCTAGTATTATTTTTTTGTCTATAATTTTAATTGAAACTGAATTTCTATTTTCAGTTATTTCCTTTGACCCACCCACCCACAATTTCGAAAAAAGATCGAAATTTTTAAACTTTGACTATTCTGAATGGCCTCCAACAACCACTACAATGTACATGTAGTGAACAACATTTTCATGCACATACATGTAACTTGGCTTCAACCTTTCCAATTTAACAGCTTCAAATGTATTCTTCTGATTTTTAGATCATAAACCTGCAATACATTAATTTTTTATTCTTTGCAAAATTGGAATTGTGTGAACCTGGTGAAGAATCAGCAGTTATTATAGAAATGATATTAACCTTAGACTTCAATACATACGTACGTAGTCAAGATACATCAGGATGAATAAACTTCACTTGTACAGTGTCTCTTAATAGTTTATCCATTGTAAGTGTTAGAGTTCCTCTCTTCAATTGAGGATTACAGGGCCAGGCACCAGGCATGCTTGTTTGCACAGTACTTGCATCTATGTGCAGCCACAATGAGGCTGCTCATGATTATATACAGGTGCTCACAACTCTCTTTCACCTTACAAGGAAGTATTGATGTTAGTTAAAGTAGACAAAAAAGCAGCATTGTAATGGTGTTTTACAAGAAGCAGTGCAGTATGCACATTGAAGGGCAGGTTCTCGATGATGCCAAGACCTTACTCAATCTTCTCATTCCATGAAACTGAGTTTACACATGTGTGTATGCATGTGTTATGTGTCTAGAAATAATGGAGACTACTCAATCTGCTGTCGATAAAGAGGCTGAAGTGAAATTTCTGCAAGCTTAAATAAGGACATCTCAAATTTGGATTCCAGCATCAGTGTGACATAATGTGCATGTACAGTGTAGCTCTTCAGTCAGGAGAACCTTGCAGTCTCCTGATGTAATCATTACAGTCAGTTATCGTGGTTATAATGCCTCACCCTGCTGTGTACATATCCTGCTCCACTCTGCTAATACCTCATTAGGAATTCATGGCAATAGCATCAGGACCTATTACAAAGCTCAAGAGATTTTCATCTTTTGTGTGGGGATTTAGGATGTTTAGCTGCACTTCAAGATCAGCTGTAGTGAGTATAATCTGGAAGTTGTTAAAGCATAATCAACACCAGTTGGTTTGATTACGCTGAAGTTATGAGCAATGGTGTAGTGTGTGTTAGAAACATTTCTGTCTGCAGACAATGACAGAACTTAAGCTCACATGTCCATTTACAGGTAGTAGCCTTTTTTTAGCTGTTCCCAATTTCAATTGGGAACAGCTCTTGTTTTCGTTAAAGTTTTTTTAGCTGTTCCCAATTTCAATTGGGAACAGCTATTGTTTTCGTTAAAGTTTTTTTTTTTTCCTTTTTTGGCTTTTCCGCATAGTGCGGAAAAGCCTTTGTTTTTGTTCTCATTTTTTTTTTTTTGGCTTTTCCGCATAGTGCGGAAAAGCCTTTGTTTTTGTTCTCATTTTTTTTTTTTTTTTTGGCTTTTCCGCATTGTTGCGGAAAAGCCTTTCTTTTTGTTCTGATTTTTTTTCTTTCTTCTTCTTCTTCTTCTTCTTCTTCTTCTTCTTCTTCTTCTTCTTCCTCTTCTTCTTTTTTTCCCAAAAGCCCATAGGCTTTGTACACGTTTTTTCTACACGCCACTTTTGGCATTAATCTTTGTCAGACATCATTCAAAGTTGGCATAAGCATAGTCCCTATAGCAAAGATGTGTCCCGAAGATTGACGTCATGGTGACGTCATCGACTAATTTATTATAGATTTTTGAATATTTAATTTTCCCATAGACTTTGTACACAGAAATTTAAAACAAACTGTCGCTTTTCAAAGGGCATTTTCGACTCTTTGCCGGTTATTCATTAACACCACTCTTTGTCCAAGCAAAGACCCTAATTCAAACAACATTGTGGAATGATGACGTCATGATGACGTCATCCTGTATTTATTTATAGGCAATTAAATTTCGACACTTTTAATATTTAAAAATGCATAAGAAATCAATCGTACGCGTCCGCAGCATTCTGTTGCCGGCAAGTGGTAGAGTAGATTGAGGTCTTTATTTCATTCAGTGTGCGTGCAATCACGTGACCCTTGCTTCCGGTCGAAAAAGGCCCAAACCGGAAGTGGCTTATTATTTGAAAATGGTAATAGAAATGAACTTGCTTTTAACGGTGTTAGACTCTTGGCTAAAAGTATTCTTCAAATCATCTACCAATGACGTCATGCAATCTTCGACCGCCCCTCTAGCGACAGGTTGAAAATTAGCAAAAATGTATTTTGAAGAGATGTCTGTGGCGAAGTTTGTCGGAATTGCCTAAATATTGGTGTATATGATGACCTTGACCCACTTAAGACGTGTCCGAAGTTTAAGGCGAATGACGTCATCAGACCGGAAGTTATAATAAAAAGACCCTTTTTCATTTGAAAATTCCTGAAAACTCAACCATGGCAGTTTTTATACTTGTTTTTACTTTAATTGTCGATTGAAGGGTAGGTCTAAAACATTTTGAAGTTTCGAGGCGATAAGCGAACTCGAACATACCCTGCGCACGCTTAAAACTTCACGTTGACAATACCTCTGCTTCAAAACATGCACATGTACATGCACGTACGTTGTACATAGGCACATACATCGTATGTCAGTCAGCCTGCAGCGCACGTGCTGCTGAAGTCAAATCCTGTCCACAGTGACCGTTTTAGCCGATTTTCGGCTAAACTTTGACAGATTTTATGTTCATGCATGCGCATAGACAGGGACGTATTATAGCACTTTTGGCATTAATCTTTGTCAGATATCATTGAAAGTTGGCATAAGCATAGTCCCTATAGCCAAGATGTGTCCCGAAGAGTGACGTCATGGTGACGTCATCAAGTGATTTATTATGGACTTATGAATAATTAATTTTTCTCATAGACTTTGTACACAGCTTTCTCCACAAGTCTTTCCCTATTGAACACTGATATATCTTACTGAGTAGTTCTGAACTTCGGCTGAGAATTACTATGAGAAGGAAAAAGAAATCGTATTTTTTTACGCCTGTCATTTGATTGAAAATATTCCCAAGAGTTAGAATAGCAAGTAATATTTTATAAAAATGTTTCAGTTTAAAGGAAAATCACGCATTTAAAGGTACAGTTTTTCTGCTGTGGGATTTTTAACCTATTGACTTTGTACACGTTTTCAAGCCACCATTTTCATAACTTGGCGATCTGGAATCGTCATCAAAGTTACAGCCAAGGAAGACCCTCATACAAAAATTATGCCAAGACTATGACATCATGATGACGTCATCATCAAGTGATTTATTATGGATTCATGTATAATTAATTTTTCTCATAGACTTCGTACACAGCTTTCTCCACAAGTCTTTTCCTATACAACACTGATATATCTTACTGAGTAGTTCTGAACTTCGGCCGAGAGAATTAGTATGAGAAGGAAAAAGAAATCGTATTTTTTTAAGTTTGCCATTCGATTGAAAATATTCCCAAGAGTCAGAATATCAAGTAATATTTTATAAAAATGTTTCAGTTTAAAGGCAAATCACGTATTTAAAGGTGCAGTTTTTCTGCTGTTGGATTTTTAACCCATTGACTTTGTACACGTTTTCAAGCCACCATTTTCATAACTTGGCGTTCTGGAATCGTCATCAAAGTTACAGCCAAGGAAGACCCTCATACAAAAATTATGCCAAGACTATGACATCATGATGACGTCATCATCAAGTGATTTATTATGGATTCATGAATAATTAATTTTTCTCATAGACTTTGTACACAGCTTTCTCCACAAGTCTTTTCCTATACAACACTGATATATCTTACTGAGTAGTTTTGAACTTCGGCCGAGAATTACTATGAGAAGGAAAAAGAAATCGTATTTTTTTACGTTTGCCATTCGATTGAAAATATTCCCAAGAGTCAGAATATCAAGTAATATTTTATAAAACTGTTTCAGTTTAAAGGCAAATCACGTATTTAAAGGTGCAGTTTTTCTGCTGTTGGATTTTTAACCCATTGACTTTGTACACGTTTTCAAGCCACCATTTTTATAACTTGGCGATCTGGAATCGTCATCAAAGTTACAGCCAAGGAAGACCCTCATACAAAAATTATGTCAAGACTATGACGTCACGATGACGTCATCACCTAATTTTTTAATTGATTTTTGAAACTTTACGTACATATTGTGAAGTCTTATATCTACAGAAATGTAAGTCCGATTGGGTTGAAACTTGGTATGTGGCTATACCAGGATGTGTTATAGATTTAAAATGAGGTGACGTCATGATGACGTCATCCTGAGATTTTATATGAATATTTATTTTTTTGGACCTTTTAGCCATATCTCCCGAACGCAACATGCAAAATGCAAAATTCTTTTTTGCATTTGGTCTGTTATGGAATAGCTATTCGCACAAAACTTGAAAAATGTGTGACGTCATCATGACGTCATCAAAATGCAATTTTTCCAAACTCATATAAGAAAAGGTCCAATTGTCATGAAACTTGGTGGGTAGGTAGTTAATCATACTAGTATGCAAAGTTCGAAATGACGTCACGATGACGTCATCAAAAATTTAAAAATAATTGTCGATTTTCAAAGTGCGTTTTCGACTCTTTGCCAGTATTTTATATAGATCACTCTTTGTCCAAGCCAAGACCTTGTACACACGCACATACATCGTATTGCCGAGGTGAAATCCTGTCCACAGTGACCGTTTTAGCTGATTTTTCGGCTAATTTTGACAGATTTTATGTTCATGAATTTTATATTCAGGGCATATTATTGATAAAAAAAATCATAATGCGGAAAAGCCCTATGTTCTGTTGCAAACAGACATAGATCTCTAGTTTTTTTTCCTTCTTCTTTTTGTCGCCAAAACCCCATAGACTTTGTGCACGTTTTTTCTCAGTGCCACTTTTGGCATTAATCTTTGTCAGACATCATTCAAAGTTTGCATAAGCATAGTCCCTATAGCAAAGATGTGTCCCGAAGATTGACGTCATGGTGACGTCATCGACTAATTTATTATAGATTTTTGAATATTTAATTTTTCCCATAGACTTTGTACACAGAAATTAAAAAAAAATTGTCGCTTTTCAAAGGGCATTTTTGACTCTTTGCCAGTAATTCATTTACACCACTCTTTGTCCAAGCAAAGACCCTAATTCAAACAACATTGTGGAATGATGACGTCATGATGACGTCATCCTGTGTTGATTGATAGGCAATTAAATTGTGACACTTTTAATATTTAAAAATGCATAAGAAATCAACCATACGCGTCCGCAGCATTCTGTTGCCGGCAAGTGGTAGAGTAGGTTAAGGTCTTTATTTCATTCAGTGTGCGTGCAATCACGTGACCCTTGCTTCCGGTCGAAAAAGGCCCAAACCGGAAGTGGCTTATTATTTGAAAATGGTTATAGAAATGAACTTGCTTTTAACGGTGTTAGTCTCTTGGCCGATAGAATTCTTCAAATCATCTACCGATGACGTCATGCAATCTTCGAGCGCCCTCTAGCGACAGGTTGAACATTAGCAAAAATGTATTTTGAATAGATGTCTGTGGTGAAGTTTGTCGGAATCGCCTAAATATTGGTGTATATAATGACCTTGACCCACTTAAGACGTGTGCGAAGTTTTAGGCAAATGACGTCATCAGACCGGAAGTTATAATAAAAAGACCCTTTTTCATTTGAAAATTCCTGAAAAATCAACCATGGCAGTTTTTATATTTGTTTTTACTTTAATTGTCGATTGAAGGGTAGGTCTAAAACATTTCAAAGTTTCGAGGCGATAAGCGAACTCGAACATACCCTGCGCACGCTTAAAACTTCACGTTGACAATACCTCTGCTTCAAAACATGCACAGGACAGGACGTCCACAATGTACATGTACATGTACATGCACGTACGTTGTACATAGGCACATACATCGTATGTCAGTCAGCCTGCAGCGCACGTGTTGCTGAGGTCAAATCCTGTCCACAGTGACCGTTTTAGCTGATTTTCGGCTAACTTTGACAGATTTTATGTTCATGCATGCGCATAGACAGGGACGTATTATATCACTTTTGGCATT